CTTAGGATCAATGCGTCGATTAGCATTGCCTGTAACTGATTTATATTTTCAAAAGGCGGCATGAAATTGCCAAAATGTTTAAATAAGTCAATGTGTCAGCGTACATACAAAATAGTCTGTTTAATATTTGCTACATGTACTTGTTCCAAACAGTCTGCGAAAGAATGATTAAAAAATATATCAATTAAAAGTATCAGAGAAAATACTTGCAATCGTTAAAATACTGTATGTATTGCTATTGGTAATTAGGTTAGTTGTTTATTTACACATAATTATGTTGTTCAGTGTGCCAAGAGCGTGTCAAGAGATTCCATTAATTGTCACAGGGCGTGTAAAGACTTTTTGACATGGTCTTTACACGTCTTTGCACTGCGTGTGCCAAGAAGTGCAAAGAGGTGTAAAGAGTTGAATTCATCGCGTGTCAAGAGGTGTAAATAATTGGCACGTCTAGAAACCCGGCGTGTAAAGACCAGTTTCTAGACGTGTCAAGAGTTGGAATCCCATATTTCACGCAGTGATAATGATTGTTAGATCAAAGACATTTCAAAACATATTTTTGATTATATCTGTTACGTCCTTATTATGTGACGAACCCTTCATTTCCCATTGGATTACATGGGAATGACGATTTTCAAAAATTCATCAAATTTATCATCAATTTTCGACCTATTGTAATTGAGGAAAAAAATTGAGAAAATTTGGAGGTATTGGAAATAAAGTCAAGTTACGTTTCTATTAATACTATAAGTTATTTCATCGCCGGTTAAGTAAATAAAAATGCAAACGTAAAGAGGCTTTAACACGTAGTTCAATGGGGGAAAAAGGTTGCCAAACTTATGGAGGGGAGTGTAGATCAAAGACATTTCAAAACATATTTTTGATTATATCTGTTACGTCCTTATTATGTGACATTATAGTCTAATGTTTGTGTTCTGATTTTAGTTGTTGATGGCAATAATGATGTTTTCACATGCTTTTCATGAATCTTAAAGATTTGCAAAATAGAATAGCTTTAAAAAAGAGGGGGAGAAACCCCAGGGTTCAAATGACATACACTTATAATGTAAATCTGTATTGAGATGACATCGTCGCTGATTGGTTTAGCGAGTCGATCGTTGATTGGTTTAAAACTAGGTCAATTTGAAAACTTTGAAAACCAAGATGGAGAGTACGTTTTCGACAAAAGGAGGTGTGCGAAGGAGGAAATCGTATTTCATCAATTGAATCATGGGGTTTTCCCTCTCTTGCTGTGAAATTTCAATAGTTCAAGTTCAATGTTGTCTGTTCTGAAAGATCCTAATTAAGATGAATATTCCGTCACAAAATAGTTCAAGATGAAGCAAAAATCTCCGAGTGAAGAGAAGCAAAAAAGAAGCGAGTCATTTTTGAGATGTCATAAATCTGACTTAAACCTAACTTTCAACTAATTATCAATAGTAAGTTAGGTGATAATTAGAGATTAACTTACATCTAACTTACAACTAACTTTCAACTAATTAACGTAAATAGCTCATTTGCATATTGATGGTAGTTAATCGTTAATTCAGTTGCAAATTAAGCGTTAATTAAGTTGATAATTAGCTCATTTGCATGTGAATTTTTACACCTAGCTTTCAACTAATTATCAATAGTAAGTTAGGTGATAATTGGAGATGACTTTCCATAGGCTTTTTTCAATTTGGTGGGCCTCAGGAATATACCAATGAGGTATTGCTCGCCAAATATGTCGGTAACCAAGATATAATAATAATATACCATGAACCCATTCATATCCCACTTCGAGTCGTATTAATTTCAGTCCAATTGAGAGATTTTGATTCCTCGAGAGGAAAACCAAGGGTTGTGGAACGGAAACTTTTGGACGAGACATGGAATACACTGGTGATCCGCTCGATTACGCTGGTTACTGGAACGGTACAAATGTTCAATTTTCGAAATTTTCTCGCTCTGATACTGGTCAGAATGACTGTTTCATCTCATTGAAAACAAACGGCATGCATAATTTATCATCTTTCACTTCTAAAACAGCATAAAATCTGACAATGTCATCACTTTATGCAAAAATAATTCAACTTCAAAAAGAATGGTATTATATTTTTGGGTTTTTAAGCGTCGTGTATCTTCTTTACCTGCGCCATTCGAGATTGGTACGATCACTAATCATAGGGAGGTAAAACACTTCGCATTTGCTGCACCTTAATTTATTTCACGAGAGTGCCCCCCCCCGCGATATTAGTGGCACTTAGTATCCGCTATTGCCCTGTTCCGTTTTCAAATTCAATGAGGAAGTCGTTTGAGGGTGATAGTAAGTGGTAAATTAAAACGTTTTTGTTCTGAAGTAGATTATTGGTTGATAGTTAACATATAGGATGATTATAATGATAATTAGTCGTAAATTAGGCCCATGATTTAGAAATACAAACCCCCTAAATTTAATTTCAAGATGGTGGAAAAAAGAAAACATGTGAGAGATATTTCTCTCATAAAATTGAGAATTATAACGTGAATGGTGCGTATACTACCATGAAATTTGGTCAACATTATTATAAGGGTATGTAGAACATGAATACAATGTATGTTAAATCTTATTCACACTTCTTTCTGAAATGTTTATGAATTTAAAAATCTTTTTGAATCAGATCATATAATATTAATCCTAGAATGCAATTTAGGTACTAACATGGGTTACCTATATTTCACAAGTAATCCAAATGTGCTCTTCTAAATAATGATTGTTAGATCAAAGACATTTCAAAACATATTTTTGATTATATCTGTTACGTCCTTATTATGTGACATTATAGTCTAATGTTTGTGTTCTGATTTTAGTTGTTGATGGCAATAATGATGTTTTCACATGCTTTTCATGAATCTTAAAGATTTGCAAAATAGAATAGCTTTAAAAAAGAGGGGGAGAAACCCCAGGGTTCAAAGATGACATACGCTTATAATGTAAATCTGTATTGAGATGACATCGTCGCTGATTGGTTTAGCGAGTCGATCGTTGATTGGTTTAAAACTAGGTCAATTTGAAAACTTTGAAAACCAAGATGGAGGGTACGTTTTCGACAAAAGGAGGTGTGCGAAGGAGGAAATCGTATTTCATCAATTGAATCATGGGGTTTTCCCTCTCTTGCTGTGAAATGTCAATAGTTCAAGTTCAATGTTGTCTGTTCTGAAAGATCCTAATTAAGATGAATATTCCGTCACAAAATAGTTCAAGATGAAGCAAAAATCTCCGAGTGAAGAGAAGCAAAAAAGAAGCGAGTCATTTTTGAGATGTCATAAATCTGACTTAAACCTAACTTTCAACTAATTATCAATAGTAAGTTAGGTGATAATTAGAGATTAACTTACATCTAACTTACAACTAACTTTCAACTAATTAACGTAAATAGCTCATTTGCATATTGATGGTAGTTAATCGTTAATTCAGTTGCAAATTAAGCGTTAATTAAGTTGATAATTAGCTCATTTGCATGTGAATTTTTACACCTAGCTTTCAACTAATTATCAATAGTAAGTTAGGTGATAATTGGAGATGACTTTCCATAGGCTTTTTTCAATTTGGTGGGCCTCAGGAATATACCAATGAGGTATTGCTCGCCAAATATGTCGGTAACCAAGATATAATAATAATATACCATGAACCCATTCATATCCCACTTCGAGTCGTATTAATTTCAGTCCAATTGAGAGATTTTGATTCCTCGAGAGGAAAACCAAGGGTTGTGGAACGGAAACTTTTGGACGAGACATGGAATACACTGGTGATCCGCTCGATTACGCTGGTTACTGGAACGGTACAAATGTTCAATTTTCGAAATTTTCTCGCTCTGATACTGGTCAGAATGACTGTTTCATCTCATTGAAAACAAACGGCATGCATAATTTATCATCTTTCACTTCTAAAACAGCATAAAATCTGACAATGTCATCACTTTATGCAAAAATAATTAAACTTCAAAAAGAATGGTATTATATTTTTGGGTTTTTAAGCGTCGTGTATCTGCATGCGCCATTCGAGATTGGCACGATCACTAATCATAGGGAGGTAAAACACTTCGCATTTGCTGCACCTTAATTTATTTCGCGAGAGTGCCCCCCCCACGATATTAGTGGCACTTAGTATCCGCTATTGCCCTGTTCCTTTTCAAATTCAAGCTGTGGGTTTTTAAAACAACAGTCACAAATTCGACTTTGGGACAGAGACTGAATCCCGAACCCTCTAATCAGAAACCTCTTGTACCTATATCTTGCCCGGAGGTAACCTTTCTGTTCCCGAATATTTGGAAAAGAATTCCGACCATTTCAAACTACACTGAAACAATGCTGAATCGGGCAATAAGGGCAATCTGCAACAACTACGTTTTCGCTTCGAAATAAATTAAGTTGAGCATTTTACGTTTGGCTTGTTGCACTGCTTGAATGCGCATTCCCAGGTGTCTTTGAAAATAGCCGAACTTTTCGTTTTAATGATTTAACATTACAACCACTTATCTCCAAATTAAATATTTTGTGCGATAGGCCCTTCCGCCATTATAGCTCGGCGGCTTTTGATCATCTAAAATATGATATTTGGCGATATTTAGATCATACTTTCAATCGGTATAAAACCCATATTCATTCCCTACAAGTAAATAACCTCCATTTATTGAATCATGAAGTACATGAATCAATGGCGTTTTATATTCACTGGTAGCAGGTGTTAATTTCTAATCTTTGCGGGTCGGAAATACATCTGTGGGAGGATCATTGTACCTGCCTTATTAACACGTCACGTCAGGCTCTACCAGCGTTCGCCTACGTAGGATTTGCTACGGCGATATTATGCACATATGCGGCAAGCTGTAATATACTTAGGATATTAGCAGTGTTATTAAATCAAGGGAACCGTATTGTAGAATACAGAGACAGAGAAATCGTTGACATTCTTCCCTTGATTACAACGAGAACACCTGCCCTGCTCATTAGTGTGCGAGTGATGCTGAACCGGAATACTGACGACGAATGTTGGATTATATAATAATCGATTGTAAAATGGAATTATATGCGACGGAACGTGAACATGTAGGTGTTTAGAATTATAAAGAGGCGATAGCACTAAGGCAACAATCAGAAATTAAGCATTAGAGTATTACTCGTTGGAGATACACAATAATGCAGAGTGTTTCTAGCAGTCGCGAGCATATTATTCACACCATGCACAGCAGGGACTACCTAAAGGGAATATTGCTGTGTTCTAGTACAATACTGCTCACAAAGGGGGATATACATGACATACATGTGCTCTAATGGAGGACAACACTGGCTGCAAGAATTATTCTAGCTCGTTAAGGTTAGCATATTGTTTGTTTCAGCTGTATGTTTACGTAATGGAAGTGTGCTGTTCAAGGAATATACAGGGTGGGCCATATTTTTATTTTGACATATATTTTTTATTAGGCATGGATTTCAGAAATCGATTAAACAATCTTTCAAAATGGCATTAGTATACGTATGTAGATAGATAGGTATTTGTGGATATTCAAATATACGACCAGATTATCAAGAAAGAGATCGGGAACGCAAATTCGCAGTAACAAGGTACTTAATGAAGTTACAATTTTACAATGATGTACATAGACCCAACATATTGAAACGAACTGGATATCAAAAATAGTCTATTAGACAATATGTGTAGTGTTTAATAACAGTTTATTTTTCTTCTCAAATTGGAACTGCAGGACCGGAGCTTATACAGACAAACAAGGTCGTTTTAATATCAAGAAAAATAGAAGCAAATATCGACAGTAGTTGAAAAAGTCAAATATTTGATTTATGGACATGGTCAGGAAGATTAGCCCCCAGAACCTTTATCATGATACTGGATCGTTTTTCGGTCTGGAAATAATTTCAGAATGTTCTGAGAACCCTATATCATACTTATATTATGCATCTCCCAGACATACGAAGTTTTGGAATGTCAATCTGATACTATTTTTTAGTGTGACTAAGGTCGGTGTAAAAAATATTAACCCGTAATTGTAAATATGTACTCTGACCCATAGTGTATGTTAACATTTCTGATCCCTGATACTCCTGGGCTATACATTAAACTGTTAAGTCCATTTTAGGAATAATTGTTGAATTGATTCCTGTACCTCCAACTACCAACATTATATTTTTGAAATCCGTGTCACAATAAAAACGTATTTTGGCCCACTTTGACATCATGGCGTAACATTTATCCAAGTCTTAGCCCCCGGTTTTACAATAAATCCAAACGTCCCAAATGGCAATAGTAAACGAAGCATGACGTAATAAATTGACGTATGATCCTCAGTGATCCTCAGGTGTTATTTAGTTGCATTATTCCTCTTAAAATACAGAATATGAAATGCACTTCGATAAACACTGTACTAATACCATGAGATTTATACATAGTGGAAGTCATTGGGCTTTTAAGGCTTCACTTCACCCGCGGTGCAGATGGGAAATTGTCAATATTAAAAATAGATATCATTTAATAACGGGTGTATTGTGATAAGTCCTGGAAAACAGGAACACAGTTTACCTTCTAATAATATTGTTGATTGATTAAATTCGGAAGGGAAATAATTTTACGTGATTTATCAAATTGTTTCACTTCCTGTTTTTCTCATACTTTTAACTCATGCGAGATTTATTTATTCCGATCCTAATTACTTTTTTATTAAAGTGTTAAATAACAATCAAGTTCTAGTGTTTTCTAGGATACATTCAGCAGGTAGCTGTTGACACGTTCTTGCGCGAAAGTAAGAACGTGTTTGTTGTTGTCGGCATTGTGTTGTGATGTCGTTAACTAATTAAATCGTTTTGGTGCTGTTTTCTTGATTTTGATTTTTTTAATTTGGATTGAATATTTGCCGTTGTTATTTTAATATTTCGGATGATTACGCCTTTGTTACGAGTTGACCCTATTTTGCAACTATGCTCATCCTTTTATTGTCATTTCAGAGACCCTTGTTATACGCACCAAGTACAATTTTCATCCTTACTAGAAGAAACGCATTCATTTCAAAGTAGTCATTAAATGAACCGTTTTGACGTTTTTTGTAACGTTTTTAAGGTGGATATGCATGGAGTAAAACTCTATGTGGTGTATGCAGTAGCCGGTGTCGTGCCTCTGTAACAGCTTTAATAATTAAACCAACTATTTCTATTATCATAGCGAAAAAAACGCTCTAATTTCAAGCAATTTCATATTACGTCATGCAGAATTCACAATTATATCTCAACAAGTAACTAATCTAGAGATGTATATGGCTGCATGATGAATTTGTTTCAATTTATTGTAGGAAAGCGTCAATTAGAGGTTTCTCCCAATCTCCCTCTAGGAATTTGTGCAATACATTGTGATGTAAAATAGATTAGTATAGTTGGTTTACTGACTAATTGCCCTTTTATCTAAAAACATCTTCTTTTACATTTGCCTTTGTCCCAAATGGATTCAGTCAATTTTTTCGCCGTGTCGGTACTTAAAAATAAATGGCGCTGGGAAACAATGGGAATTTAACATAATAACGAAATCATTCCTGCTGTGGACCTCATTATGTTTTATATACATGGAACATTTGAGATTATTTCATTACAGTTGTATTTATGATGCAAATGTAATTATGATATTTATATAACTCAACTTCATTTACTTCAGCGTATAATGACTTGACCATTATAACCAGTATAATCATTATACTCTGAAGTAAATGAAATTGAGTTATTTAATATATTACCAGAGTGATGAATCTACACAGAAATGATATTTTTAATTTTGTACTATATCAAACGTTTGCCTGTTATAAAACCAGGATGAAAAATTGGCCCCTAGGAATGACATAGATTATTGTAAAAATGAGTTCACAATTAACAATATAATTAATTTAGTTCATACTCATTTAATAATATTCCATAGAATGTATTTCAGGTTCTAAGGAAGCTAAGGAAATTACTCAATTTCGAAAAAGGAGCACGTAGGTTATCGCAAACAATTTCAAACAATTCTTACTTGAATTATGAATATCTTTTGATCATGAACATGGGTGTATCTTTTAGATCCATTCATTATCTTCAAGAAAAGCATATATAATGATAATTTAGTTAATCAGACCTTAGTGATATTGAAGGGGCAATGGACCAATCAACATACTTTTTCAAAAATGTTGACCTAATTTTCACCAAAAATGCAACCTATTATTATATTGTTAAATGCATAATTAGAATGTGCTTTGAGACATGTTCGATTTCCTAAAAGGAAAATTTGATTGCTCCAGGGACTTTAAAGATATTCAATTTGGATGACCAAAATGAACTGAAACCAATGGATAGCATGAGATTTTTCAATGGAGAAATAACATGGGGAACACTTATCTTAATGCAATTAAGTTTTTCTTTCAAGAACTATTTGTTACATCAAAATAAAGAATAGTAATGCATTTAACATTGTAAAAAATGATTGCATTTTTGGTGAAAATGGGGTCAACATCTTCAAAATGGGGTCAAAAAGTGTGTTGATGGGTTGATTGTTATTTAAATATCTCTGAGTTTGTTTGAATTTATTATTACTGTGCATAATTTTCTTAGAGATAATGAATTGATCTAAAAGATAAACTTGTCTTCATTGTCAGAAAATAGTCAAAATCCAAGATATAACCTTCTGAAATTGTTTGCGATAACCCACGTGCTCCTTTCTTCTGATTTCCATGAACAATTTGTTAATCATAAATTAAAATGACACGGATAAAAAATTACAAGATTCATAGATGGACGCTGTTTTACATTTCTTACGGATCAATGACAATACAAACCTTGGATACATGTCAACGTAAAACTAATACCTGTATTCACGTTCACGTACAGGTTATAAGAATCGTATATGGAGACCTCAAAACTGTACCAGAAAGCAAAACATGAACGTGAAACGTGATGTGGGTGTGTGTGGACGTACATTAAGTTACGTTTCTTCGAATTTCTTAAACATGTTCTTCAAGTTGGATTATTAAATCACAAAACTATTTTCTTCTTCCTTTAACATAAAGGTAAAATAAAGATTGTGAAAAGAAGAAAAAATAGTTTTGTGTTCTTCGATTTGTTTTTTGCTTTACAAGTGTCACCCACTTGTAAAAGACACCATAATAGCAATACACATCATAATAAAAACAAACAAAAGAATACCAACCCACCCGTAAGCGCACATGAAACAATACAACCTGCTGTAAGTGTAGAATTTAACAACTTTATTCTATTTTGCTCAAAGTTTCATATATTTTACACGGACAATCAACTTGTGTGGAGAGCATTACCACATCTGCATTAACTTTGACGCAAAATCAATACAACTAACATACTAGAGATTTTATGTATGACGTGAATACAATTTGATGACCACATTGGAATATCTATAGTTTCAACTCCACGAGGTGAATGACTAACCTTTCAGAAATTAACTCCATGCCCATCATGGGGATTTTAGTTGTCTCGCCATTATTGTTTGAGTTTATTCCACGAAGTGATCTCACCGCAATGGGTGTTATGCATTGTCATTAAAGTCTTTTTTTAAAATAACCATATGTGAATGAAGAGGTTTTGAGATTCTCCCATTCCAGTCCACGGTGTTAAATGGTTAAACTCATGGGTCGGAATTTGCTCAAATCGATTTTTTAAAAGTTGAGAAAGATAAGATATAAGAATGAACAATACGATATAATTCGCTTTATTTCTAAGAAATCAGTGCCATACCATCTTGATATGAAATTAATTAATACTTCAAGCGGTGTGTGGTCAAAATGTATACGCAATTCATTGAACTCTCGCCATGTTCCAAATACAGGGGTCTCTTTGGTGAGTTAGTTTTCTAATTGCTTTTATACATCGACGATACATTGTAAAGCAAAGACGACCGAAGAATCGTATAGATGATATGATTTTTGACCTGAGATCACTTCTATCCATGAGTAGGAGTAGATATTGATCGCGACATTCTCCACGAGTGAGCCCAGCGAGAGAGTGGAGATGGGCAATATCCACGAGTGGATTTCAAATATAAACAATCCGAAACCCATACCGTACATTGTTCATTTGGTATAATTCCTTCACAATTAATGATAATGATTTCGTTTGAATATTATATGTCACCAATTTTGCAAAATAATGAGCTTATTGGAAAGGTATAAAAGTACATGTAATGCACAATATTTAAATGAAATAAAATACAATTTCGTACAATGTCATGACAATGGTCTGATTTAACAATTTTGGCTGTATAGTTTACTAAGCGTCTTCATTGATTAGATAACCTTTGGTGCGCTAATTGATCCTGTCGTCATATTATGCGTGGGGTACATTATTCCAGAAGTGTTCATTTTTTATAATTCCTTTACAATTAATTTCAGTGGTTAGAATTTTTTTTAATTTCAAACGTCCCTGTGTTTAACTACATAATGAATATAAACAATCGCTAGATGATTACAATAAAATCTTTAATCGCACAAATATAAATAGCTATTAGTGCTTTGGGTAAGCTGGTCCTTTATATGTGTATGTACATCATTAACACTTTTTGCTGTGTTTGGACCCATTAAATGAAATATCTTGGTCTATGATTGTTAAAATGACCAAATCATAAATATGAATTGTCATATCACATCGTAGTGACCTACTTTCGTTCAAAATGGCGGCACAAACAGCTAGCTCTTTGTTGCATTGCCCGGTATTGGAGAAAATTGCAGATATCATATACGAAACATACGGATAAAAATATAAAATGAATATTATAAGTTCATTTTACATATAAAGTGATTTTTCAAGAGAATCCCGAAAATGTGATTTTTACACAAAAATATAGATTTCATCTTAAATTTCTAGCGCCTTGTTTATACCGTTCATATTTAGTTTTCCTCAATTTGTGTTTATTTCGACATTCAACAAGTTTTCAAGGAATTGTTTATTTCTAATTTCGAAAAACATTGATACGTTGCAAACATATTTCAGGAAGCTGAATCCGGATGTATTCTTATCAGGTTACCATGGTGTAAGCGGTTTGGTTTATTTATGAGTAATTTCGGTCGACAATTAGTATATTAACATCACTATGAGACACATTTGCGTAAAGATGGTCGGTACCAGTACTATATACGAGTAGTTGAGATTCCAGAACCGATTAGAATCGAAAGTAGCGAAAATGATAGAATGTCTTAGCATAATGACGGAATGGAACGTGTTCGAGAATAAAATGAAATCATCATTCTCGTTAGGGGTGCGATGGAAATCATTATTTTGCTTAGTTATTAAAACAGTAGCCGCTTTGTAAATGTATTGATTGCTATTAATGAACAGAAAACTGGATGGAAATCTCATCGGCAAACACTAGACAAAGACCAAGTACAAGTACATTTTATAATTTATTGATCCTGCGGTAATCCCATGTACCAACCAATGTGTACATTGTTCACGGTACATCATCAACTTATACCGCAATGATATTTATTTAATCCAGAGTCTACGCCTTTGTAACAGCGACACTCATCAAAATAATTACTGCCTCCATATTATCAAAATAGAAAAACATATACGAAATGTTAGTCTTGAAATGAAAAAAAGTTACTCTTTTCATTGAAAGGTGTGCTTTCGGTTTGTTTCATACTTATATCTTATCAAATATTTGAATTACAAATTGTCTTTGTATTTTTACTCTGACATCGTTAACTAATGAGAATGGAAACAAATAAAAGTTCATAAATTATATTACAAGGTAGAATTATTTAATCAACCATAATTGTATTATACACGCCCCTTCATAAGTTTGGCAACAATAAGTCCCCTTTGGGATCACTTGTCAATGTGTTTTATGTATGGCAATTTAAAAAAAAGTTCACATTAGTCTTGAATACCCGAACTTTTGTGATTAATGAACAAAATATTGATTTAAACATTGACAGGGTTATATATATATTTCATAACTATTTTATTAGAAAGAGAGGGAAACAGTTTGATAACTACTGTATCTCTCTAGGCTTTGATATAGTGATATGAAATGACAACTTCCGGTTACCAAATTTAATGAGTGGAGTGTACGTTGTCATTGACTTTAATCTGTTTTACAGAAGTAGCAGCATTACGTTTTTGACAGATGGCCCATAATGGACAAACCAACACCAATACACAGGTAAAATCTTACTTTTGTAATTGTCATCACTAAACCTTTACGTTAGCAAGGTCTAACAAATATATCCGGTGAATATGGTAATTTTTATACAAAAATGATGTCGATTTGTGTTCCTTGTACTACCTCAACTAGTTGGGGATGACTACCTCTGGTCACTTCACAGCTAAGCTAGTAATGACGTATGTCCCCTGATGTTATACTTGACACAGTTAATTATTAATATATTGTACTTTTAAAGGTTTAAAAAGGGAAAACTATACGTTCAACTGACTAAAAACAGCTCAAACGACCCCAGCCAAAATTTTAAACGCTCAAAGAATCTAAATATGCTCTCTTGTCTTGTCTGTAAAGGGGTGCAATTGTTTTTTGACATTGTATTCACAAAGGACCAGGTATAGTATGGCAAGCGATTTTAGACAGCCACATATTTTAACATGAGTACGTTCTCAATTCAAAAATAACATTTCTTATCAATACAATTTGATATATTTCAAGTAAATGTTCAAGGATAAGAAAAAGATCAATCAAACAATTCGAAAAATTAGAAATAGGGACCCCATGTCAACATTTGGATTGATATTTTAAAGGAAACATATTGTTTTAATAAAAACAATTGTATTTATGGCCAGAAACTATTCATGGTGAAAGGTACACATATGACTGTCCAAAATCACTTGCCATACTATACCTGGTCCTTTATGCGCACAGTATTGTTTTTTCCAGACGCACGACTCTTTAGGTCCAGAAAAATTTATCCCAATCTATGTACTCGGGGCTGGTGTGGTCGGTGGTCTAATCCTTGTCATTACAGTTATACTATTTTGCAAATACTGCATAAAGAAAAAGAAAATTATAAGAAGGTAAGCACTACGATTATTGTCCATGTTGCTTTATGTATTTTTGATATACACAAGATCAAGAGAACAAATAAGCAAACTACTAGACATTCGTTCAAAAGGACATTGGAAAACAAGGTTTTCAAGATGGGCCTTATCCCACCACATAAATCCTTTTTAACACAAACAGACTCGTTTTCATTGTGAAAGAAAATTCCCCGTTCTTCTTTTTCTTGATGATGAATCAGTTTTCTTTCCTCTTATTTGAAAAAGTGTTCCATCAAACATAATCAAGGCGAACTGTAAATTTGCATTGATACCCCTAATATCTGTTAAACTTCCTCATCTATATACCCCTTGAGATTAATTCATGCCATTTTAGTAACAATAACAGAATTGATTCCTTCATCTTCAACGTTCTTTTGAAACGCATGACGTATTATAAAAATGTTATTGACCTCGAAAATATGGAGTGTTTTGGCCTACCGTGTATTACTTATTTCCATAGGGTATTAAGTACTGTACCTATAGACATAATGTAACATGTGTTCTTGTGACGAATATTGCTTTCTATCAAGAGCATGTAACACAAAGCGTAATACCATGGTTACCATGGAAACAATGGTTGTTGTGACCTTGTTTCAATAACAATTCCACCAAGTGGTATTACTGCGATTAAAGGATGTACCCTGTTGAATATTATCTGTCACCAATTTTGCAAAATAATGAGCTTATTGGAAATGTATAAAAGTATATGTATATATACCACAATATTTAAATGATACAAAATACAATTTCGTACAATGTTATAACAATGGTCTGATTAACAATTTTGGCTGTAAAGTTTACTAAGCGTCTTCATTGATTAGATAACCTTTGGTGCGCTAATTGATCCTGTCGTCATATTATGCGTGGGGTACATTATTCCAGAAGTGTGTAACATAATTCCAAAGATACTTCGTGATAATTTTATTCGATATTATTCACCGTCATATATATACTTTTGCAAGTCACCCTCCATTGGGTGACGCATTTAGTATTTTAATAGATTCAATGCAATAGTATACGGTACACGCGGGGAAACACCGCTAAAACGTAACCCATGTATAAATAAAACATGATTTGCTATGATTGTCGCGAAGCAAGAATATAAGAGTTTTAGAGAACTGTGAAATACAAATAAATATAAACAGCAGATTTTCTGAGCTCAAGAGAATAAAAGTAAGAATATTATTAGTGCAAGACATGCACAGAGAAATTTTTTACATATGTTTTTAGACTAAAATGCACTAAAAAGGATGGAAATAGTTCTCTAAAATACATTAAGAATAATTCGGTGGTCACGTGTGGTTTGGCACGTTTCTTATGATAAGTGTCTGATAATCTTACTTCAAATATTACTTGCAGGCAAAATGTTATTCGAAAGCACGAGAGTCCAAATCGAACTACATTCAGGCCATACACAAAATATGAAAGAGTTGGATCATTTGGCGAACAGAAGGAGTGTTTGGAAAAGAGTTGTACCTCGAGTCCAACAAGTACTCGAAGCCACAAGAGTTTCCACTCCAAATCTGATCACGACCACGGGTAAGCTTTACATGGTATTGGCATGTTTATGTATTGATATAAGATCTCCAATTGATTGGGCATGAGTATTTTTATACATGTACATGTACAATCTCAATGCCAATATTGAAAATGTTTTAAAGGGAAACTCTGACCTTATAATTTTTGGGGGGGATTTTAATGCTAGAAGTAAAAAATGGTGGCCAGATGATGTAAATAGTAACATTGGTAACTTGCTTTATGACATTTGTGTGAATAACTCACTTACTCAGTTTATAGAAGAACCCACAAGAATTACTACACAATCTAAATCCTGTCTAGATTTAATTTTTTCAAATTTTCCCGGCCAAATTTGGAAAACTGAAGTTAAACCACCTATTGGTGGAACTGATCACTGTTCGACTTTAGCATCACTTGATGTTTCACTACCAAATAAACAAAATGTGGTTACTAAGAGATCGTGGCTTTATAGCGAGGCAAATACAGTCAACCTGAATCAGGCTGTTAAGGATTTCGATTGGAACAGTATTTACCTACAAGATGATGTTAACAAAATTACATCAGATTTTACTACTGCACTTTTTCATATATTTGAATCCCATATACCAAGCAAAGTTACAACCTTGAAAACTAGTGATATGCCCTGGTTCAACAAGGATATCAAGTCAGCTCTCAATAAAAAAGATAAATTGTACAAAAAAATGAAAAAGGACAGCAATGACTTAAACATCAACCAATTTAAAAAGCAAAACGCATATCTTACTAAATTAATTACTGAATCAAAGAACAACTATCAAGATAAACTTTGTAATAACTTGGATGAAGAAGCAGCAAATGGCCTTAACTACTGGACAATTATAAAGAAACTTATAGGAACCAAGTTTTCAACAGGCATTCCTCTTCTTGAGATAAATGATAAAATTATTGATGATGACTTTGGAAAAGCAAATGCTTTTTTAAATAAGTTCATGACTAAGTTCCACCATAATATAATTGATAAGTCATTGCCGCCCTGTCCTATGAAAACAAATGAATCTTTGACTTATATAAATATTTCTCGAAAAAATATAAATGATAACTTACGGAACCTTAATTCATCTAAAAAAGGTGGAGAAGATAATATCACTAACAAAATGTTGAAACTTGTGGCTGACTCTATCGATGTTGAACTAGTTAAACTATTTACTATTTTCTTGGAGACAAATACATTTCCTGATTGCTGGAAACTGGGTATAATTGTTCCTATATATAAGAATAAAAATTCAAAAACAGACCCATCCAACTACAGACCAATCTGCCTCCTCAATAATCTCTCAAAGCTTTTTGAACGAATAATTTATACAGCAATTTTTGACCATGTTTCCTCGAAGAACCTCATTTATGAAAATCAGTCCGGGTTCTTACCAGGCCATGATACACAGAAGCAACTATTTTCTATTGTTAATATGTTAGCCGATAATTTTGACTCTAACCTCGCAACCCGTGGAATCTTTTTAGACGTGGAAGGTGCATTTGACGCAGTCCCACATTTTTTGTTACTCCATAAGATGAAATCTTATGGATTAGGTAACAATATTATAGAGTTATTGACCTCATATCTAACAGATTAGACAGGTTCCAATTTCAGAATATCTCAAGGGAAAGACTTTTTGAGGCATTTTTTAGAAAAAGCAACAGACCTATTTTTTCTGGATCAGTTTTTCATGCTGATAAAGATATTAAAAGATGACAGCTCAACGGGGTGGTCACGTTACTGCATTTTAGCGTTTTTACCCCCCTAGGATATTATCTTAGGGGGTACTATAATATTAGTTCATAACTCAAAGGATATATGAATTATTGTTCTGAGTTCTACAGCATACATTGTTAGTACAGAGATGAATACTATCCTAAAGTTATAGGTTGATATCTTTGTTGGTTTCGGAAAAATACAATTAATTAGAAAAAATATGCAATTTTTGTCATTTTTTTCTTGCTTATTTTATATTTGTAGCTTCAAGCAAAATATGATAACTTTAACATCTCAAAGTAGTATTCTAACAACATTCCCAAGCTATGTTTGATATTGTAATACATCTATTATAGTGATGAAGAACTATTTTGTAATTTTAATATGACTTTATAATGCCCTACCCCTGGTAAATAGAAGAAAGTTGGTGTGGTTTTCTTCTGGTTTTAACATTTTATTGACTTCTTAGTTGAAGATACAATCAATTCTGTCAGTTAACCATGAGTAGCTTTACAATGGTTAACTATTCCCATGAATAGAGGGTTGGGACCTCAAAAATACCAGAACTGTTAAATGGCATCCTTGGGCATCCTCTTCAGAGCATTTTCCTTATACTCCGATGAAATCTGCAGGGGATACTATAAGAAACCTATATATCTAAGATACTAATGAAGATACTGAATTCAAATTTTCAGGATTTGGTCCTGGTATGATAGGTAATCTGTATGACAAAAATGACAAAAAGAAAAAACTCTGTTGCCATAGTAACAAGAATACCATACTATTTGTTTCCTAAGAAATGTGTTAAGAGGTTTTGTCATTCTCTTCATATTTTTAATTCTAAATATGTCTACAATGTGGGATGATTAGAATTATGGTAAAGTAATCTTTTCTATCATTTTATTGTTTTCTAAAAACAGAAGTTGCTAAGGCTATTTCGCTTCTATGTCATAAAGATATGATACGATCTCAGGTCAATCAATAAATTTCACAAGTGACACTCTATCTTATGAAGAAAATACTATTGTATATTTGAAGACATGTCAAAAATTTGGTGGAAATAAATTTTGTCACTCCTGATTTGACCTGCAAATGTTCAGGTAAGTTATCACAAACAATTTCAGACAGTTATATCTTTGATTATGACTATTTCCTGACCATGAAGACAGGTATACAGGGATAATAAAGTCAATCGGACTTGGAGATATTTCACTAGCAATCAACCCATCAATATATTTTTTCAAAGTTGTTGACCTCATTTTCACCAAAAATGCAATCATTTTAATAACAATGTTAAATGCATTACTATTCTTTATTTTAATATATCAAATAGCTCTTGAAACGAAAACTGAATTCCCCTAAGATTAGTGTTCCCCATGTTATTTCCCCTTTGAAAAAATTCATGCTATCCATTGGTTTCAGTTCATTTTGGTCATCCAAATTCAGTGTCTTTAAAGTCCCTGGAGCAATCCACTTTTCCTCTTAGGGAATAGAACATGTCTAAAAGCATATTCTGATTATGCATTCAACAATATAATTAAAGGTTGCATCTTTGGTAAAAACTAGGTCATCATTTTTAGTAAAAAGTATGTTGATTGGGCCATTCCCTTTAATATCACTTAGGTCTGATTAATCATTATATTTACTTTTCTTGAAGATAATGAATAGATCTAAAAGATATACCTATGTTCATGGTCAGAAAATATTCATAATTCAAGTTAGAATTGACCTTTTTCCATATAAATGAAAAATAGATGGCATCATGGGTATTGGAAGAGCTTGGGTAGGGCTAGAGTACATGTAAATGCATTGCCAGAGTCACTTAATTTCTTGATTTAAGAAGTAATTCCATTTGGATCAACTTAAAACATCATTGGAATGTAACTTTATGATCTTATTGACATGTGGATTGTGATTTCACATTAAAATTGTGATCCTTGGAAGAGTAAATGAACTTTTTAAGGTTTTTCAGCATTGTGTCAATGGGGATTTAGCCTGACCTTTTTTAGACAACCAGTAAATCATTAGAATTTGAATAATGGTAAATAACAGTGCAAATCAAAGTTGTTTTGATAGAGAATTACTCACAGAATTCAAATATGCCATCAGATGGAAGAAAACATTAGTTTTTAATGGTTAAAAATGCAGATCTCCTAAAATCTCATTAAAAACAAGACCTTAATGAGATTTCAAAGCTATATGGAAAAAGGACCATTGTCTGAAGTTGTTTGCGATAACCTACATGCTCCTTTATAACATTATTATGGAAATACTATCAAATGCTTTAGTCATGACAGTTGAAGTAATCTGAAGTCTTGGTATTTAAATGCAGAATCAGATCTATGTAGAGTAAACAAAATTGAAAGCAACAAGACAGTTGACAGTACAGTGTGATGCAACATCGGTGGGAAAGTCATCTTTGGTTAATAAAAAAGATTCTTAGCTACTTTTCTAACATCTGGCTGTGATGCATCATGTCTTAATGAGGACTCTGCTATATGGTCAGATGATGAGAACTAACAGTTTTACGGAACTTTTGCCATGTTTTGCACATTGTAAATGACCCTTCTGAATGGGTTGTAAAGGTATATACCAGGAGGTATATATGGCTCAAATGACTCGTGCCCTAGTACATGGGGCACTGTAGTACATGTCTTGTGCATGATGACCACCATAGTCTAGTTGCTCAAATGAGATCAATTGATGATTATAATGTTTAGACTTTATGTCAATGTCCTCTCTAGTATGTGATTACACTAGATTTCATTATGATACATGTACTAAATTGAAAACTTACATATAAAATATCTTAAGTCCTATATTCTAGTAATAAATGAATTAGAATGTCACCTAACATTTGATGATGGTATGAATTTATTGATTTGGTGTCTATCAATACATGTTTCTAACTTAATGCTGCAAAATGATTAAATTCACCACATCCACTTTCTTCAATTTTCCAGGGGTAGGGCACTATAAAGTCATATTAAAATTACAAAATAGTACTTCATAACTAAAGTAGATGTATTACAATACCCCATATAGCCTGGAAATGTTTTTAGAATACTTCTATGAGCTGTTAAAGCTGTCATATTTTGCTTGAAGCTACAAATATAAAATTGGCAAGACAAAAATTGCGTATCTTTTTCCTGTTTATTGTATTTTTTCTGAGACCAATAAGGGTATCAACCTATAACTTTAGGATAGTATTCATATTTGTACTAGCAATGTATGGTGTACAACTCAGAACAATAGCTCATATATCCTTTGAGTTATGAACTAGTTTCATAGTACCCCCTAGAATATTTTCCTAGGGGGGTAAACATGCCAAAATTCAGTGTCGTGACCACCCCGTTGAGCTGTCATCTTTTAATATCTTTATCAGCATGAAAAACTGATCGAGTAAAAATAGGTCTGTTGCTTTTTCTAAAAAATGCCACAAAAACTTGAATTATTAGAATTGGAACCTGTCTAGATAGGAAATTAAAAGTAAGGATCAATGATACTTATTCAGACATTTCATGTAATGCTGAAACTGGTGCAAATATTCCTCAAAATCTTCAAAATCGAGACTCCGGATCCTATGAAATAAATAGTGGGGTTCCCCAAGGTTCAATTCTTTACCCCCTATTATTTTTGTTATATATTAATGACTTAGCAGACTCAGTTCATAATTGTAAACTTTTCTTATATGCTGATGATAGTTCGGTCTTCTTGACAGTACCCAAGAATGAATCAGTTGAAACAACAAATCAAAAAATTCAATCAGATATCAATGAAATGGCTAATTGGTCCACTAAATGGAAACTCAAATTTAAGGCATCTAAGAGTAAGGAGGTTATCTTTCAATCTAAACACACACGAAAAGTTAAGAAACAAATTCCAGTAACAATGAATAATGAGCAAATACCTCTTGTAAATAGCCATAAACATTTAGGCATCATTTTAGACAAACACCTTAGCTTTGAAGAACACATTAACTCAGTGATTACTAGGTGTAATAAAATGTTAAATCCATTAAAAGCACTCAAATTTTCAGTTAGATCAAAACACTTACAGACAATTTATATGGCATTCATTCTCCCACATCTCGAATATGGCAATATTATTTTTGACAGCGCAAATCTAAACCTCTTAGCAAGTTTAGATAGAGTCCAATATAGAGCGGGTCTTATTGTAAGTGGTTGCATCCAAGGGTCAAACTCTGAGAAGGTGATGGCATGTCTTGGATGGAGATCCTTATCCAATCGAAGAAAAGAAAAAAAACTAGTTTTTATGTTTGACTTTGTAAATAATTATAAGATGCCTTCATATGTTTCAAATGTTTTTGAACAGTATAAGAATCAGGTAAACCATCAAAGACTTCGTCGTAGCAATGATTTTAAGATCCCATTCAAAGCATCTGCTAAACTTAGAAAGTTTACAGCTTTATCCAGTATTAAATTATGGGATAATTTACCTGATGAACTGAAACAAGCACACTCACGCAACTCATTTAAGTATAAAATTAGAACATTTTTGAATGGGAAAAAGAAAGAATTCACAACCCCAAAAGTAAACCTATCCAGAGATAAAGAAATTGTCTTAAATAAAACGAGATGTGATCTCATTTTTAGGCAGCATCTTTTTACACATAACTTCAAAAATATTCCAAATGCCAAATGTAAATGTGGTCATTCTACTGAATCAACCAAACACCTATTGCTCCATTGCCCTCTTTTTAATACTCAAAGACTCAATTTTCACAGAGAACTAGGGGGACTGCCATCCTTTAATTTAAACTCTTTTAATAATAGAAAACAGGAAGACAGGGTAGACTTTTTACTTTTTGCAGATCCTTCTCTTGACACAATTACAAATAAAAAGGCTATTGAATTAACAGCCGAATTTTTACACTCTATTGTCAAGGAAGTTAAATAGTCCAATATTCATTAATTTATACATATATCTCTGACCTGTCTTCATGTTTTCAAGATTATTTTCATGTTCATAAATATGTTCTATATCTATCATTTTTACATTGTGACCTATTTTAACTTATATTGTAACTACTTCAACAGGGCCAATAATGCTTCGGCGTAGGCCCTGCATCTGTTTGTATGATGTATTATGAAATAAAGGAAATATAAAAAATTGAAATTGAGTATTTTTATACTTACTTCTACATATACAATAATGTATATCTATAGCAACATCCTATATTGGATTGACTTTGTCCAAGAGAAACCGAACGGATTTAACATATTTTCGCCTTATGTATAAATTCATCTAGCTCGAAAACAAAAACACCAATGGGGATTTAAAATGGTGTAAAAGGTAGAACATAGCTAAGCTTAAGAGGTAGTAACAATATTCATTGGCATCTAACATCAATAATTAATCACAAGTTCACGAGAGACTGATCTGAGACAGTCTTTAAAAACAAATATATTCACATATTCTTCAATCATTGGCATCTATCAACGTACGTACGTATTAACTCGATCATTTGAAAAATGTTGGAAATTTACTTTATCAAAATTGAAACTTATGAAGCAATATCTAATTTGAAATTAAAATCTGATCTACTCATTACGTATGTGTTTTATTTTAGTGATTCTGACACATTGCTCAATGAAGAAGACAATATAGATTACGCTGTATTAAAATACCAGGAATCACTTAGAGGTATGTCCATATAAGGATTTAAGTTATCTTGTTACCACCATTCATGTGACATATTTGATTCAGTGTAATAGAATTGTATTTCTGATAAGTAAGTAAAGTTACAATTATAGAATCATTAAAAAGGATTTAGGTAGAGGATAGTGCAAGTTTTTATCATTTTGGATTGTAGAATAATTAAAAAGGATTTTGAATACAATCTGGTTAGTACCCTTTACCCAATTTGACTTGGAAAGATGATTAGCACTTGAGGAAATGTTTCAGTTTCGTTATAGATATGTGACATAATATGTTTAATATCCTTGCGTGTATCTGAGATCATTAACGTTTCGTGTTCATTGTTTGAATTGATCTTGGTAGGAAGTGGCTGTGATATAGTTTTGAGTTTGAAATTAAAACTGCTACGATAAAATGTTAGAAGAAACGTCTTAAATAACTCGTTTTTTATTTGAATTTAAAGTGAAAATAAAATTTGATCCCGTTTTAAAGTTTTCGCAAAAAGGACCTCTCAATGGGAAAAGTGCGTCCATAAACATGATAAACATGTCAGTGGACAGAATATTCGCTTTGGGAATATTGTTCGCAGTATTTCGCACTATGGTACTTACTGTTTGTTAACATGTTCACTATTCCAGACAATTGTCACCCCGATGACGATCCAACAAATTTGCTCAATCATGATACAGAAGATGAAAAAGTAAAAGGCGATCAGGGAAGGCGACTATCATTCCAATTAGCTAGACCCCAAGAAAACATATATGTAGATAAAGACCCAAAACGATGTGCTTTCAAGAACTCAAGGCAAAGGTTTGTGCTGACTGAAGCATGTCACGCAGCGTTTGTGCTGACATACTTGTCTCTTACTTATTTCTCCAGTAGTTTTATTCTATATCATCAAGTGATGTGTGTTTATTTGACATTTAACTGTATTATACTTGTTATATCTTGCATTTTCATAATACTGTCACTTCGTTTCTATATTCGTTTTTGCATTGTAGATTTGTTCAATCATTACTAGATAGTACAGTCTGTACCCTTCCTCCCAACAAGAGCATTTAAATATTGTGGTTGTTGTGCAAGATCGTCCATTCCTGGTGAGGTTTGATAATTCTCGTGTGAACTTGTATTATGTCATATTAATTTCTCTTTTAATGACATGACTGAGTACAATTTTGTGGAACGACCTTTCCAATAAACAGTGCCACCTTGCCACCTTAGCTTGCATGTCAAAAAATCCAATATCAATGAAAAAGCCACTTATTTCAGTCTAAAAGAAGCTGTTTTTTTCCGAGCAAAAGTACTTTTGTGTTTTTTCATTGATTTCGCCTCCTATATTTGACATAATTATCCCGTCCTTCAATGCATGTTGGATGTACTACATTTCTGTCCATAAGTACATCACCTAAGTATATTTACGGTAACATGATGACTATCATCACTAACCTTATCACTTATCACTCAAAGGCATTGTTTAAACTTGTCCAACTTAGCAATTATACCATTAGGCTACTTTATAGAAATTTTCACTAATTTTGAATTATTAATTGCTGAGAAAATACTTGTCAGAAAGTGTGACGTTTTTTGGGACATCCGATATATTGGCTAGATTGATGACGTCATTGGTTGTAAGGTGCAATTTGTCCAATCAAAAATGGGATGAACATATCTTTGACATCATCAACTAGCCAATATAATCATCATAGATACGTTAGTTGGCAAGGCTTATTGGAAAGGTCTAACATAGCTAAGTTAAAACATCACAGCAAATCTTAAAAAGCATGGATACTCAGTGTCTATGGTCCCATTTTGTTGTTGTTAATAAACAGTTCATCCTGCATGCGTGATTTCTAGGGATGATGGATAGCTGAATCTTTTTGGTGGTGCATGAAGCATCATGCATGTCAAACTAGTATTTTGAACACTCCTTTTGTTTTGTAAATATGAATCTGAATATTGTGATGTACGTTAAACATATACTCGAGGTTGGTTCCGATTCAAATAGAAGGGATATTGGGGATATCTTAGTGTTTTTTGTATATCTCTGTGGGCATCTTTGCTTAATGAGCTGTAGGTAGCATATGAAAAATCATTACAATATAGATATAGATTTTCATAAGTAAAGATGGCCATGACATGGCCACAATCCAAGGTCGAGTGCACTATAAAAGGCACTGGTAGTCATGTTTAGATGTGGTTCAGACTTAAACATGGGGTTTAGAGCCCTTAGGAATGTATATTTCAGCTTTTGTAGATAAAGAGATGAATGTGCAGTGGCTGGGGCTTAAATAAAATAGGGTTTAATCTCTAAGGGTAAAGGGCATCGCTTCGATGTCATTATAGCTATAATTTAACATGCTTCGGGTTGAATATGAATTTTATTTCCCATAAAATGTCCCTCTGAGAAACCCATATTCAGTTCATCCCACTAAATAACGTTTGTATGCCATGATCGTGTATACATGACGAAGGAAATTATCATCTGATATACTAAAGAGCAACAATTATTTTTAATAATTTGTCAAGTCACTTAATGATTAGGAGAATAATGACTGAATCGTTTGAAATCGTCTCATTTCGACTCTTATTTCGACCTATTCATCAAATCTCCTTTGCCACATCGGTTCAATAGAGCATGGGAACTCAATATTAATTTCATTTAGTGATTCTAACTCTAGGAATCCACTTAATAATTGATGAAACCAGGAAATAGATTAAATTATGAAAAATAGTGTTGGTTTGTCCGCTGAAGTTTCTCATTGATATTAGCTTTGTTGATAATAGATTCTCAGTTCGGGCAGTTTTCCAATTCCAGTTGGAAAAACTCCGTTTATAAATTAACTCCAAATTTTACCCGGTTGAGTCCTTGGAGATGGAGACACTGAAATTGAAGTTATAATGAGACAATGCTCATCCTATTATTCTTTGTGTCGGGTCCAATTCACCTTCTTGAATTAGACCTGTTTAGGCGTATGTATTCATCAACAGCAGGAGAGATAATCAGTTCGAGACCCCTCCGCTCCTAAGTGTGATCTAATATTAAGTTTTTTATTTATTTATTTTTTAAGTTAGCCCTTTGTCGGTAGCCTCTGTCACTGCTCGATATAATGCTCAACTACAAATATTAGTGCCACATGGGTCTTGTTGACACTCACAAATACATTGACTGGTCCCGCACTTGACCCTAGATATTTCATACACTGCATAGACATTCACAATGAAGAAAATGCTCATTCGGCAAATTGTTCAGGATGGTCAAATACCACGAATCTGACATCAGCTGTTCTAAACCTTATAGAGTCTATTTTTAATAAAAACGAATAAGTTTTAGCATGTTACTTTTATTAATTTAGTAAATCAGTATATCTTCTTCCAGGTACACAGATGGAGATTTTCACCATTTGAAGATGACAAAGATAGACAGATCATTGGAGCGGTCACCTAGAATAGCAACCATGATCCACCAGAGTTCCGTTGGTGGGATGACCGGACTGAGATCATATAGCCTCCCTAACAGGAACTACAGATCCGTCACTAATGATGAGATGATGGTTCTAAGTGATTTAGATGAAGAGATGAATTTTGATGTTGAAGGAGCGACATATGTAACTGTACCTTACTCAGAACAAAGCTTGATAGGCAGCAACGAAAGGGACGTAGTCGTAGAGATACATGATACTCCCGGGAAAAGTGACGAGGACGAGGAAGGAGTAAAGTTAATTCATACGAAACCTATTATAGAATCTAGAAGGAATTTCGTCAGTGCAAGAAGTAACAGTTCTTTGCGTGAATCTCATGATATTCGAGATCGAATCAGTATTGCAAGTCAGGGAAGCATTAGCAGTAGAGAGAACTCCAGAGACTTTCATAAAGGTAGCCTTGCGAGCGTGCGAGACCGAGATGCTTTGACTAGTGTACGTAGTTCAGTTAGTCATTCAAGAGATACAAATAGTAGTCAAGGTAGCTTGCGTAGTAGTAGTCGAGATTCTAGGGAGCATAATAGCGAGCTTCATTATGGAAGTATGGCAAGTATGAGGAGTGCTTCTCGAGAAAGTACGCATAGAGATCATGACATGAGAAGCCAAACATTCTCAAGAGAAAATGCAACAAAAGAACAAGATAATGAACGAAGAACTAGAGGGCATAGGGAAGTACTCTCATCTCTCAAGAGAACAACCATGGACGAGAATAGATCTGAAAGACATATACGAGAGCCAGAGAAACGTAAGTCCTCTATTTCAAGTGACGTGCCTTCTGAAAAGGGTACGTTTAGTTCTAGAGAAAATGACAATGCCATGTCTGGACATAGTCGATCTAACAGAAATGACACAAGGGCACGAGGCGTTCGGAGTCACTCTTTCTCAAGGGAGAGCAGTTTTGACAATGATTCAAATAGTCGAAATCGTGACATAAGAGACATAATGAAGCAAGGAAGGCAGCGTGCCGTTTCAATCCATATAAATTGCCATTCGAGGCAATCCAGCCCACCGAAAACGTTCAATGTAGTCAAGCCCAAATTTTCGCAAAGTTTAGAAGTGGTTAGTCCTCTGGAAAAAATATCCATAAAAGACAACGACAGGCGAGTCCAAAGCTATGATGGCGAACTGTACGAAACAAAAGAAACAAGACGGTACCCTGTAGACCACTTGCAGATTACACAGTTTAATAACGGACCGTTCTACAATGCTGACTTTGAAGTTATGTCAGAGAATAACTCCCCGCCAGCGTCTAAGAACAAAGTGCGATATAATGACCCAGGGAGTTACGAGGACATTAACAATGATACGATAGTAGATGATATGACTCTATCCGAAAGTGATGACACGGACACGCTTAATGGTGCTCAAAAATACCGTGACATTTGGACTTTAAGAACAACATTAGAAGAAGAGGAAGGAGATGAGCTTAAAGATACGATAATGGTAGATTGTATTACCTCTCCATCTCCTGATCATTCTCCAGAACAGGAACACGCTAATGCATCACATACAACTTCATTTGAGTCTAACACTGAACCAGCACTTTACATGGAAGAAAGTGACACAAATCAGGACAATGTACTGATGGCTTCTAATAATCTACTTCATCCGAACTATGAAAATCGGCGCAAAACCTACAGAAGTATACTAACGAAGCGATTGCAGAGGCTGGAACCAAATACCAGTACAGAAAATAGTTTTGAAACTAGCTTAGAAACAGATGGTGACTTCTCTGATACAAGCAGACACGAAGCCACAACAACTTCGTTTGAGTCAACAACTGACAATACAGATAGCACAAATGATAGTCAGACGCACAGATTGCAGCAGATGAAAGGGGACAGTGGTTACAAGTCGTTAGAGACAACAAAGTCATTGGAGACGCAGGAAACTGCACCTCCAAAGAATAAGAAGCAAATCAGTTTTGCAGATAGTCTTGATGAGAAAGATGAACCCAAGGTATACGAAAGAAGGACTTCTAAAGAGTACACATCGGATAAACGGCGGCAAAACTCAGGCTCAGTGCCACTCAATCATAGTTTTGAGAGGGGTAAGACTGCATCAAAGAAAAGAAGGGAATATCGCAAAGAAAGACAACTTGTTCAGGTATATGAGAGTATCAACGAACCAGAGACAGACTCAAAATCAGATCAGGGTCCCTCTGGAGACAGTTTCGATGATGGTGGACATCAATATAGCCAACCACCAAGTAAATTCTCTGTTTTTACCAGATTCTTTAAATCTCACCAAAAAGAAAAGGAGCGTACTAAAAGTTTATTTCATAGAGACTATAGTATCGATATAAAAACAAATAATATATTTCATGAGTTCCTTCGTGAAGATCCATATGAGGATAGTCTTAAATTAAGATCATCGAGGATACAAGGGCGCCAGCGTTTTCACCGTCTCCATAAGAAACACACAGAGCCCGATATGCTTGAGAGCCGAAGAAGAAACAAACTTGTGCCAGAGATGAGAAGCACAAGTCTAGGATCTGATAGCAGTGCCAGTTCTGTATGGAGATTATCTCCTCAAGAAAGCATAGAAGAAGAATATTTGCGATCTGAAAGCTCCAGAACATGGGGTTTAAGGAGGCCTAGTGAACCAACAAAAACCATACATGAAATCCCAATCATTAAACTGCCAACGGAGGATGAGGGGGCAGAAGTTTGAAATTCAGTGATATTATATGCATGCATACGTTTTACTTTAAACACTGTGATACACTCGTTTTTTTGGCTAAGGCCAGGGACAATATTCATGATTCTGATCTATGGTATTTCATATTTTAAATCAGCCATTCAGGCCTATATTTTGAGAATGTTACCCGTTTTACTTTAATATAAATAGGGAATAACTGCTTTTCTCTGTGAAGGCAAATTCTGTTTGCAAAATTGTTAATTTTTATAGTTTTTCATTGATATATCTCTTAATTTCCAAGTTGTTGATGCTATGCAAGCAAACCAATCTTTTGCATTGAACACTCTATCTACAGATAAAAAAAATCATGAAGATTCCTTAAGTTATTCCAAAAGTTCCTTAAGTTATTCCAAAATGATTGGGTGGCATTTTTGTGTCACCCTGTATCTGATAGAATATAGGCTTCATTGGATTGATTAATCAATCACACTTTAGTTTTTTCTTTGAATGAACCTTTAAAAATGTTAAGCTGTCAATACAGAAGAGACCGGGCTCATGAGCAACTCGTTCTTAAAAAAGTTACAACCAACAAGGTGATAAGAAACAATATACTATTTTCCCTGGCTCAATATATCATATTGTGAAAACTTAACATATTTGTGTCCTCGGGATTCATATGATGAAATTATGCACCATACTATGATTAAAAGGCACAAAAGTGATATATATTGCACCTGAAAGCAATTGGCCGCCTTGTAAATTAACCAACGTGCACAGAATCTAATTGGATCTGCTTTTGCATTTGTAGAAAAGTTACGAGAATCTTAAAGTAGCCATTTTGAATTATCTGTTCGAAAATCGTGTATGTTTAATTTAGTCTTAATTGTCTATACGTTTCCTGTCGAACCGTTCGATCAGTGATGTTTTCTTGTGACTGTAGTTTAGAAATCTAAAAATGATTACCCGCGTTGGGTTTAAAAATCTTGATAACATGACCCATAATAGGTCACTGGATATCAAAGGGTTTCCAAGCCATTATGCCTTTGCCAAAAGATGTCCTGTCTTTCGAATCTGATTTTGGTAGAATATTTCGTTTTCTCCATTTTAACTGATTGTATGATTTTTCTGCTATACACACCTCATAATGTAGGATTTCGAAATAAATGTATGCATTTAGAATTCACTAATATTTCAATCACTATAATTAAATAGGCCTACGTCATATAAAGGATGTCTCAAGAAGATTGTACCAAGACAAATATGGAGTAACTCCGTGAGGAAGAAAATGAATATTCTTAAAATCCGCCATGCAATGATTTGACTTTTGTAACCAAGGCAATCCATATCGTGATCAGTTGCAATCGTTTTGTGTATTAGAAAACTATAGATCCGTCTTTGCAACTTCTTTTGAAGCAATTGGCGTTCATGTATCTTCAAACGTTGTTTTTGCTGCAAAATCAAACAAAATTTTTTGACAAGTAATTAGAATTCGTGAAAAATGAGAATATCGTACAAAATATGAAGGCAGGTCATCTTGCTGCAGAGACAGCGGCTTGAAAACACGTTGAGATCCGATGCTGATTGGTGGAGACATGTTGTACATTTTCGTGAGTTTGTCATTATTTATCGTGGAATAATTTATTTAGTCAAATGCGCCCAATGCCAGGGTTGCCATGATATATCCAAAAATTCACTGAATTCCCTGACTAAAACGCATTACTTTTATCTACGAACAATAAGTAAGTGACATTATGGTTTTACTGTTTTCTCATTTCATTTGTCTATTCTGCTTGTGTTCCAGTTTCAACATTTAAAGTTTCGCTTGCTGAAAATCTCCTAATTACTAATTTCCCACTGGCCTTTCTAAATAATTAGGAAATTCTCCTATTCTGGGTTTCCCTTTGCTTGCCCGTCTACATGGCAACCCTGGAGACTAAAAACTAAATTCATGAACTCATTATTCGAATTATGATGTTAGCTTACAACGTCTTTGTCCTACTTACATGATGTCAGTATTTCTGAACACTTTTTAAGTGTCTGCTGTGCATTTTAATGATTAAAGTGAGAATCAGATGATGATTTCAAAAGACTGTCTCTTTCACTTTCGACTCGAATCATTCCCAGCCTGGTAATTCAGGAACTTATGAAAATTTATGATTTACCTATAGCTAGAATAAAATATTTTCGCATTCATGTATTTATTTTTCTATAAACTATTTTTAATAAAAGCTTTAAACACTTTCTTCAATTGTATGATGAGAGAGCGGCGACTGAAAATCCTTTGAATCTTGTTTCTGGCAGGCGGAATACAAAGATTTGTCGCTCTCTGATCTCTAGTGTTTGTAAAACTTTGTGTATTTGTAAAACTCTTGAAATAAAGCTACAGAACACTATCTTTCCAAAGGCGTATGTTTTATTGTTTCTTGTTAATGATATTTTTGTTCATAAAAGGTGTAACAAAAACAATTGCGTAAATCTTTACAGTTTTTACGAGTTTAATATTGAAATAAAATTGTGTAGTTTAGGTGCAGTGTTGAGTATTTAAGGCCCAGTCCAATCCTACTCTAGAGAATATCGCAGTTGAAGAAGCACAAAAACCATTCAACAATACTGGAAATGCACCAATACACTCCTCAAAAAGACCAGTCTTTCCTCATAGGTTTACTACATGTTAAACCCCATGTTATGCATTTTATCGTATGATCTGTAAAATGAAGCCCTTTGCTTGGTCAGTTCTTGTGCTGTACCAATCTGTATTGCTAGTGAGATTGTCCCCGTTGATCATCTCCGTCGCAATACAGAATTCGAAAATATTGGTACGGAGGGGACAATCTCAGCAGCAATACAGAGGATCACACGATAAAAACGTTATTGAATGATTTGAAGTGCAATACAGGATATATTCTGTCTCGATATTCTGTATTGGCACTCGACTTCGTCTCGTTCCAATACAGAATTTCTCGAGCAGATTTATATCCTACATTCACAGGCTGGTATCGAAATATTTGTCCGCTGTGACGGAGCATGCTATTTTTCATAAAAACACTAAGAATACTTCACGATTTATTTTTTAACTAATATGTTTCGTTATACCATACACAATTACTTACTCCATGCAATGGATATATCATTTGCGGGTAACTTTCACTTCTGTTTGAAGTCCAATTACGCTGGGAAGAAAAGTTATTGAAAATGGCGCCGGAGTATCATACTTCAAAATGTACCATTTTAGAGTTTGATACTCTGGCACCGTTTTCAATAGATTTTACTCTTAGCGTTATTGGACTTCAAACAGAAGTGGAGGCTACACGCAAATGATATATCCATTGCATGGATTAAAGAATTATCTTTGATATAACGAAACATATGAGTTAAAAAATAAATCGTGAAGCATTCTTAGTGTTTTTATGAAAAATAGCATGCTCCGTCACAGCGGACAAATCTTTCGATACCAGCCTGTGACATTGCACTTCAAATCATTCAATAACTTATAGTATGTTTGAACTCTATTTTCTAAGCCCGAAACAAAAGAAAAAGAAACATACACTCCCCTCCATAAGTTTGGCAACCTTTTTTCTCCATTGAACTACGTGTTAAAGCCTCTTTACGTTTGAATTTTTATTTACTTAACCGGCGATGAAATAACTTATAATATTGATGGAAACGTAACTTGACTTTATTTCCAATACATCCAAATTTTTTCCTCAATTACAATAGGTCGAAAATTGATGATAAATTTGATGAATTTTTGAAATTCGTCATTCCCATGTAATCTAATGGGAAATGGAGGGTTCGGGGCAAATCAGAAATCGGGATATCTTTTCAGTAAAAGATTCAGCAAAAAATATTTTTATATAGAAAATTGAATTGTCTAACTTTTTTGATCACTAAGTGTTTAGTTTATTTGATGAATATTAAAGTTACAGCGCTTCAAAGTCATTTTTGAAAATAATTTTTCGCCTCTTGTGTTATTTCAATGGGAGAGGTTTTTTGAAAAACAATTTTGACTTTAAAGCCCTATAACTTTGTTGAACCTGAAGAAACAATTTTTTGTTAAATAAAGTTAGCAAATTCAAATGCCTAACTCGTATTTTTTGCAAGGACTCGGATGGATGGATATTCTGTCATATGACTTGCGGCAAACCTACCATTTCCCATTGGTTAACATGGGAATGTCGATTTTCAAAAATTCATCAAATTCATCATCAATTTTAGACCTACTGTAATTGAGGAAAAAAATTGAGAAAATTTGGAGGTATTGGAATTAAAGTCAAATTACGTTTCCATCAATAGTATAAGTATTTTCATCGCAGGTTAAGTAAATAAAAATTCAAAGGTAATGAGGCTTTAACACGTAGTTCAATGGGGGAAATAAGGTTGCCAAACTTATGGAGGGGAGTGTATAATAGGATTTATTTGTACTGATGCTCTAATAGGGCCAAACGTACATCCAACAATAAAAAAGAAATTACAATAAAAAATTTTAAAAGAAAAATAAAGAAAATAAGATTACGTTCTTCAAATTAAATAATATACTGTTTTGAAATAAGGATCTTATCTCTAAGAAAAATTGGTCAATTTGAAGCAAGTTGAAAATATACCTTTTTGACCTTGAAAAGGTCATTGAAGGTCATCTCATAAACATAAAGTCAGATTTGAACTTCTGAAAACATGTAGATGATTTTGTAAAAATTGAAGCCAGTTTTGAAAAGAAGTTGTAAGAATTTGTTACAGACGCCGATCGCCAACCGCCGTCAAGACTGTGGGAGCTATAATACCTTTCTTCCAATATACTTCATACCGCGCTATTATAATTTTTCTTTTACTTTAAAAGCAAGTTCATTGGCACTTTTCTCTATGTTATCATCAAGTTCATCAGACATCTTTATTTTACATATTATACATATCATAATAATGTAAATGGATATGTACCTTGAATCTATTCCCAGGAAATCTATCTATATTTTCGGGGAAATGTTCAATTTAATCTCTCCGTTACAATAGGTTAAAAATTAATGTTTTAGATGAATTAGAAAAAGGGTAGAACCCATGCTAACCGTAGGGAAATGGTTGGTAAGGCGCAAATAGATTTTTGATATATAATTAAAAATAATTTCCTAGTGGACATTTGTTTTACTTATTGCATGCTTGGTGTTCAGCTCACTTTATGAGACTTAACGACACGGAGCATCAAAATATTTTTGGAACTGATTTTTGACCCCCTGTGTTATTTCAATGGGAGGTTTGTTGAGAAATAATTTTAACTTTGGTGACTTATAACTTTGTAAAACCCAGAGTAACAAATCAATTTTTATTGCAGACAAGTTAGCAAATTCAATTGTCTATCTAAATTCCATTCATTTGACAGCAATATTTTCTCGTATACTTTTGGCAATCCAACCATTTCTCCTATTGGTTTGCATGGGTTCTACCATATTTTTTAAATTCATCAAATTAAATTTAACATCAATTTTTGAGGAAGAGGTTAAACAGAAAATTTATTGAAATATAGTGAATAGAGTCAAAGTACATATCCATTTACATTATCCGTTTTTCTTTCGTTGTGGGCTTAAAAACAGAATTCAAACATTCATGGGGTTTAACATGTAAACCTGTGAGGAAAAAACTTCAGTATCTGAAGTTACTAAAGGATCTGGCGGCACCTAAGTCAATCTTTTTTTGAAAATGGGACTTCTAGTTCGGGTTGATTCCCCATAGACCCCATGTTACAAAATCACAAAAAGTGAAATATCTTTTCTCGTATTGGACAGATAACATTTTCTTTTACTAGACAAATTAATTAGCATAATTTTTAGATACATAAGGGTTATGAAAACTACTAAAACAGATGGAATTTATGTAAAGGGAACTTTCTACTATATCCTGCCATGCTATCTGACCCGAACGAGTCACCTGGTGGTGAAACTGGTAATCACCTACTCGCATCTGCGTTATTCAGTTCGCCATATCGATACCAATCCTTTATTTTTTGGTAGGGCTCAGACATCTTTTTTAAATTCGATTATGCTTAACATTGGCCTGTCATTTCGTCAAAGGTCAACGAAGGTCATGAAGGTGAAGTCTTGAATTTAGAATTTGTAAATACTCTACAGAGATATTGTGTGTTGTGCTGGTTGCAATTGCAAAAAGTTATACTTTTTTTTCTTAAAGCATATTTCAATGAAATCCATGTTTGATTTACGTGACATAATTTACAGGAACTTGTTTTCCTCTAGCCTTGCCCAAGTCAGTTTTTTAATTATCGGATCTTGAATTATTAGAAATCAAGTTAAGTAAAAGAGACCAACTTGGGCAAACTGATTTACTTTAATTTCAATAATTAAATAAAAAATACATAAAAGGACACGATTATTTCAGAACGGAATGTACTAAAAACCCTTCGACCCTTCGACCCTGCGACCTACGACTTACAGCGTGTCAAGAATTTTTGAAATATATTTTTATAAAAACCCTTCGACCTTCTAGATATTTCTCAGTCCATATGAAGTTGCTGGAAATATTACTTTGTGTATAGAACTTAAGAATCTGTCCCAAGAGAGTTAAAGATATTTAAAGCTGGACTTCGATCGGAGCCGGCGATATGATTTTGGAAAGGTTTCTTAATGAAGAACGTGACGTCACTTCCGAATCATAGCATTCAAATTAAGTAGAGTTTAATTACTATCACAATTCATGATGTAACGGTGGTCCAGCGGTAGAGGCCCGGGTTCGAATCCCGCATTCGCCTTTTTATTTTTTTTAACTAAATGATTGTTCTTTGACATTACGCAGATAATTTTTTTTTATTTACATAAACTTTATATTAGAGCTTGAAAATGTAAAAACAATATATGTCAACATATTGCGTTTTGGAGCGATGTGCAGGTTTAATGTATTCATGCACATTCGAATGTGAACGTTTCTTACCTCCTCAGTAAAAATATTTGTGCTTTTCCCATCACATTGTAACAGTGGCGCATCGTGCATATTTTCAGGAGGTCAAATTTTTTATATAGTTTAAAAGAGAACCGTCTTTTGATTTTATCAACTTTGATTCAATTTGGATTTGTATAGTTAAGAATCTAATGCCAACTAAATAAGTAGATTCTTTGTTTTGCATCTTACAAAATCCAAAGCATGCAAGGGTACAAGGAAAATAAACACAAACCGTCAAGAAAAAGCTTGCAAGCTAGGTCATATCAGGTTCGTATAACCAGCTTTTGCCAATCTAAGTTTTTCAAAAGGATCAAGGGGTGAACATTTGACAATTTTCAAGTGGCCCAGAAATCTTGAAAATGCTCAGAATCGTGAAAAATTGTACTGATTTTGAGAGAATATTTGGCCAATGGAGTGGTCCACTTGAACCCACGAATGTCCCCCCCCCCTGAATATATACATTTTAAGGGCATAAAGGTTATTACAAACACAGCTATACAACTATATTTATTAGACATAGATATGAAACATTTCAGAACTAGATAACAGCAACGCGAGGTGGAGCAAATCCCATCGAACTTTTGATCTCAAAATCGTTCAACTACTTTTCAAGTTTTAGTAAAAAAGTAAAATAAGACGAAAAATTTCGAACGCAATGCGTGACATATACGTAATTCGTGTGAAAAGTCCGAACGAAATGCGTACGTTATTTTTCGGCGTTCGTATTTTTGCTGTGTAGACGAACTTTTTTAGAAATTTTTCTACTGAAACATTTTTGCTTGACAATTACCAGGTAAAATGCGTATTTGCGTGCACAGGGAGCTCAAGTTGGAATTATACGTAATCATTTAGTAAACTGGACTGGGAAATCAGAGGTCGAAGGGTTTTTCAATAAAATATATTCCAAAAATTCTTGACACCCAGTAAGTCGTAGGGTCGAAGGGTCGTAGGTCGAAGGGTTTTTAGTACATTTTTTATTTCATGTTTCAAAGCTTCGAGTAGCATGTTATAGAGATACAATGATTTACATTCAATAAATGGAAAATTTGAAGTATTTTTTCAATTTATAAAGAACCAAAGAATTTATACAAATTACAAATCTATCATAGGCCTACATGATATTGGAATTTTTAATATTTTATTAAACAAGACCTGTAGCGAGAAAACTTTGAATTGTTTCACCTTTTCTGAGCTATCAAGGCAACATTTGCATAAACATCTTCTTTGACATACCTTTTTTCTTAAAATGTATGGATAAACTATCAATTTCAGCATTAAGAAGTGAAAATTCAGATCAAAGCTTCTATAAATTAAGTCAAACTTTTATAGATTTTTATGATCCGCCAAGTTTTAAGAGGAATATCAGCTAAATGATGTTCATCAAGGGAGTTTTTTGGAGATAATAAAAATATATGTCCGTCTTGATGAAATATCCAAACGTAAATATATTTTGACACTGGTCCATAATCGTCGAATGGCCCCTTTGCACTAAGTGTTGCACCTTTAACATGTGCGTAACATGGGCCTATAGCCAGAGTTGAGGTCAGCTGCACTGAATTCCCATTCAAGGAATTTTCAATACTATTTGTAGTAAAAATTAGGCCATAATTTTAATGGTTTGTCATGTAAAATCATATATTATTACTACCTTGCCGGGCCAGTTCTAGGGGTTTTAGTGCAAGTTTAGAAGGCGTTTATTTTACTATATCGACCTGAGAAATGTGTGACGTCATAGTAGTGGTCCATATAGACCGGTCTAGAATATATTCTGGACCGGCAATTTTCCCCGGGGAATAAGATTTTCTTGCTGTTTCAGTCCTGGTCGTTAACGGTGGTAATAATACTAATAACGTCATTTCTGGGCGAGCAATATCGTGACATATTGGACCTTTTTTGCGCCTTCGGCCCTCGGTCAAGGAGGGGCCCTCGGTCCAATATTTCACTATATTGCCCTTAGAAATGACTTTATTGTACTAAGAAAATAATTATAATCTATAGGATTGATAGGGTCCTAGTAAAACCATCATAAAACTAATGATCCGAGTTGCCTCAGTTGTACATATTATTTTGAGGTTCATTTTACATCTTTGGCCATCGTTCCGTCTCACCCCGCGTTCAATCTTATCCCGCTCCCCATTTATGAGATATGGGTTGGAGTCCAATTTTGACGAAATGTTACATTTTGACGAAAGTGATTGGACATGCCGCGTACAGTACTTAATAAACGAATCAAATCAAGTTGCTTCATGTACGTACGCATGCGCAGTAAGTGAACTAACGCTTTGCTAAAGCGAACCTGGCGCAGTTAGCCCTTAGTGTGGTCGCTATGAGACATATTGCCCGTCAAGTCAGTTTTGTTCAGTGTGAAAATTTGGCTGTGCTAGGGTTCATGCGTTTATTTGAACATCTAAAATGCTACGAATCTATTCAGTATACTAATCTGCATTATCACACGTATATCGATCCTTGATAAACAAGTATTCTTTGTAATTTTCTAAAGGTAGAGTCTAATGTCCGGAAATATTTGAATTGACGGCCTAATCCGAATTCAAATTCAAGCGAGAAACAATATGGCGGCACTCGAGTTGCCTTAGATGACTTGGATTGAACTATAAAGAGCTAATATAGTGTTGATCTAAGAGAAATGAGTTAGAGGCAAGGCCTGATGGTTGCTTGAATTGACAGGTAGGTCTAGAAATAATAACGTAAGCTTGGGTGGTGTAGGAAGTTATGTTTCCAATCCAAGAAAATTTTATTTGTAAAAGATTTGCATTTCAACATTTAGGCCTATCAATATCATTTATAATGACTTCTAATTTTAGATCTGTATTTAAATATATAGAAATATAGAATAATAGGATCTATTTGTAATGAAGCAAATACAGATCTAGAATATATAGGATGATGTAAAAGGGTAGGAGGTCCTATCAAATTATGGTCCTACTCTCCATCAGAGACATGAAAATCAGGGACGGACAGTAAGGGCCATTAAGAAAGGGGACCAAAATCCCTGGGGGACCATCATTTCTTTCACACCGGCCCGGGAAGAATTTTCTTCTGAGGAAATTTTCATCATTTTCACCATGGATGAAGAATAAGGTCGATTTGTGTCCAAATATGCCAATTATATGTACAGTATACTCTACCAATTGAACTACAGTGTATGAAGGCCCTTTGAACCAAGGACCACACCTTCGTTGTAAGCCCTCCTTTCTCTAGTATTACCTTCCTCTAGAAGGTCAGGCTACAATATATGTCTTACCACACACACATGGGCACAAAGGGTCAACCTTACCTTATTCTTCGGCCACAGTGTGGCCTTACGCTATCATCAAGCCCTGTTTGTTTTATTGCTTTTTACTCTATCCCGTGTGGACTGTTGCTATAAATTAACTCAAATGTAATAAACATACCTTCATTGAACTTAGTATGTAGTCTTAGTTCATATGACTATCTACATCGGCCACATAAGCTGGCTGGCGTGTCATAGATTTATTGAATATTTTAAAAATCGCCAGATAAATAAACCATAAATTAAAATGTCACCGACTCGGCTCATTGATGAGATATTGCAGGATTTCGTCTTAAATTAAAACAAATGGCTCCAAGAAAAATGGCGATATTCGAAAACTGGACGAAATGTTGTTAATGTCTGACATTAGTAACTGGCTGTAAATTCTTAAAGTTAGCGATCCAGGACTTTTGCCTGTATTCATTGGTCTTTTAAAGTATGTGAAAAGTTTTGTGTATCTAGGAATATTATCCCAGTTTTCTTTTTCAGATTTGCATAAGCTAATACATGTTCATGTGAAAGAATCACACTACAAAAATGTCTGAAACTAAAAAGCGTCACAGGAGGTCCAAAGTACAGCCGATGAAAGAATACAAAAATTATGCTTATGACCAGGAGAGCTTGGAAAGCGACCTCAAGAACAATAAGTGAGTTTAAAGATTTAGAGTGGGAGCAAATAACAAATGATTCCTCAAAATGTATGCCAGTCGGTTTCCCTTTCAATTTTATTCTCTAAGATCAAAAGAATTAGTTGTTAAAATGAGGAATAACATTATAATTTCAGTGTTTTTTTTATTTATTTGGATTATGCTGTATTGTAGCATTAGCATTTTTTGTAATCATTTTTTCAGAAAAACTGAGTTGTGGAGAAATGCTACGGATAAAACAAATGCAATAAATGTCATCAGTAATGTAAAAGCATCAGCAGCAAAATGGCGCTCTTACACAACCAGTAAACGAAAAGGAGGAAGTAAGCACATTTTAATAATATTATATAAAACTGTTCATATTCATACTACTATACTAACACCATAGTTTGATCCATTTAAAAGTATATACTTAGAAGAATCGGAAGGATCCTGTTATTATAATGACAGTAGAACCTGTCTAATCTGAAATCCACTTGGTTTGGCCTTAAGTTTCAGATTGACGTGTTCAAAAAGTTTTTTAAGTTGGTAGTCTATGCTCGGTAGTGGTCGCCGGGTTGGCCTAGTGGCTAAGGCATTGGTCTGAAAAGCAAGAAGTCTGGCTTCAAGCTGAAAAGTAGAGGTCTTGGGTTCGAACCCAGGTCACAGCACTTCTTGTGATTTGTCTTTGACCTATGACTGCTGACCTATACCGGCGATTACAAGAGTGCTGCTAACTCGATAAAAGTCTGGCGCTGGCTAGAATTGTCTATGGTTCTAGCCAGGATAAAGATACCAGTTCTTCAACTCGACAATGGGAAAAACTGCTCTACTTTAGTGACTAATTTGTCATGATATGACATCTAAAGAGTCAATAAAAGATATATATGCTATTGAAGATTACAAAAGTGTTCACATTTGGCTGGTGTTCAGATTAGAGAGGTGCCATATTCCCTCTTGGGTCAACCTCTGTCTCAAAGTCACTTGAAAGAAATTATTATTACACAGACCAACTAATTTTCAAATGGGTCGATAAAAACTGATAATTACCTGACTATGTGATCAACTAGTATAAATTCGACATCTTGGTTTAACATAGAAAAAGTAAATAAATGCTTCAGAATTTGAAAGACTTAATTTAGTTTTTTCTACTTACTCAATTTGACTTATTTGAATAAAGTCGGAAGAGTTGTTTGCAGTTTTATGAGAAGTTACAATAATGAACATTTTTGCAATTAACTTACAGTCCGATAGAATTTAGTACAGACCAGACTTATTTTGATTCAGAAATACATGCACTCTGTCATTACTGTCAAATGCTAGTCAATGTGGTACTGGTAATCATCACTTAGGTATATAAACTGACAGGTTTTTAACATGTATTTCTTCCAGTTGAACAAGCTGGAGGAAGAAGAAAAACTGGAGGAGATGGATTGGATGACATAGCAGATGAACATTTTATTCCTAAAGATCCCAAAGATACAAAATGGCAAATGAAGGCTGCCTGTAATAGGAATCTGATTCAGTATTTTGCCAAGCTTGGTCAGTCAAAAAACCAAAATGAGAAGATTGATCTAGCATTTGTTTCAAATCTTCTAGAAAATGGAGCCTTAATTGACTGTTCGGACAAATATGGTCAGACTGTATTTCACGAGGTATTGTTACCTTTGATCATTATAATTATCTCATAACATGGAAGTGAAATGGTTATCCCATAGAATGAAGTGAAATGGTTATCCCATAGAATGAAGTGAAATGGTTATCCCATAGAATGAAGTGAACTGGAAGTAGGAAGTAGGAGAAAATTCTTTGATTGAATAAAAATTAAATAATCATTAAAAGAATAAAGAAATCTTAATAAATCTAAAGGACTGGCCTCTTATAAAGGGCCCCAGAATAGAACTTTACTTTGCAAAACCAAATCAGCCACAATCATCACTTGATTCTGCAAATCCCCATTATGGTTCTGTTAAATTACAGGTTGCCAGAGCATGGCACATAGATGTTGCCAGGTTCCTTCTTGAGAAAGGTGCTGATATAAACAAAGCTGATAACTTTGGCCGAACTGCACTACATGTGGCAGCAGCAGTTGACTACCCAGAAATGGTCAAATTCCTTATACAAAGTGGAGGTGAGATTCTCTTTATTTCAACATTCTCATCTTCCATTGATCCAGTATCTTTTTTGTAGTTCTGAATTAAAAATCTGGAGGAATTAGTCTGTTTTTCTCCACTATTGACGTGTTCAATTCTTTATTAAATTATTATGTATTCTATTAAGCTGTCAGCATACTGTCTATATCTGTCAGTTCTGCATCAGACTTGATCAAATGTGCGTAAAAACAGTAAAAACATGATTTACACAAGCCCTGTAAAAAGATAAAGTGTTTCTAATTATGTTACCCCAGAGGTGTTAATAGACCTATATTCTTCGTAGTTTTTGTTCTGGTTGACTACACATTACTTTATCAATATTGCAGTGTGTGCTAACTGTCTTGTGTGATTATTAAATGATCATATTTTCAGCTGACAAAGAAGCTTTGACTCTGGGCGAGTCTCAAACTGCAGTTCACTTTGCAGCAAGGAATGATGCCTGCAATTCACTAAGGGAACTAATAAAGCTGGGCTGTGAATACAAATTAGTCAGGGACTACAAGGGCAGAACTCCCCTTCATCTGGCGGCAGAACTTGGTAAGCATCCTTGTACTAATGAGACAACAATGTTATGTAACTTCATTTAGTTGTAAATGTTTGATTCTAAGATGAAAGAAGTGTTCATTCCCACAAGGAGATAACATCCTTTCAAATGAAAAATGATTCAAGAGCAATAATGATTCATTTGAATAATACTTCATTATATGCTCGATATCAGCACATGGAGCCATGCATGCACAAAGTAAATGGACATAACAATCACAAAAAATGTAGAGTATCATCTAAATCATCGAACCTTAAAAAACATAATTTATGTATAAAATGTATATTGCTTGTAGACCGTAGTGAAACAGCTAGGCAGCTTCTTGAGTTAGATGATCCTGCACCTGCTGGTGTAGAAGACCACAGTGGACAGGCAGCAATAGTATGGATGATTACAAAAATGGGACCAGTGGTAAGCAATATATTCTTAATACAAGCACTATGTACATTTCTTGTCTTACAATATAAGAATGTTGAGGGAATTGGATCCTAGAATGATGCTGTATACAATATTTGTATCATAGTTCAACCATGTTTAATAGCTACCAAAGTTTGAGGAAACAGAATGCCTATTTCTTTGGCATCATAACTCTCCTATTCTTCAGAGTGAAGACAACATACATGTACTTCCTGTTCATAATTACAATTGTATAACAGAATTATGGAACAATTACAAGTAGCCTAATTTTCCTTGAGTGGGTGGTAAAGAGAGCAGACTCATATATTTATGCTTTATCCAAATGGAAATAATCATACAAATATTGTTGAATATTAATAGTGTATCCATATATCCTCACAACATGAGAAAAAATTGATTAAAGTCTGATCTGATTCTTTGTTTGAAGGCAAAAGAAGCTCTGAACCAATTTCATACAACTGACCGTGCCAACAGAAAGCAATACTACCATCTTCATAGGTTAGAACCAAGAAAACCTGGAATTAAAATAGATGGCCACCCTGCAACAGCAGTAAGTGAAATTGTCTTTGAACATCTAAATGTTGTTAGGGACGCTGTTGTAAAGACTCTACTCAATTGAGTATTTTTTCATTTTTGAACATTTATCTCAATAAAGTTTCTTGAAAAGATCATGCATGATTCTTGAACTCATTGAGAATGTTATAAGAACTTGAGATACTTGGTGAATTCTGAATTATCAAAGTTTTCTTGAATGCATTTTGAAAAGCAGATTCTTCAAATTGTTTTATTGAAAAAATCTTGCTTAGATATTTGAATCCTAATTAAAATAGATTGTTCAGATGTCTGTTTATGCTCATGAACATATTTTGAATTTATAAGAATACAGTTGATTCAAAAAGTGTTTTTTACCACATTTTGTTGATGATTTTCACCATCTTAAATTGATGCTATTATTTAGACAGTTATGGTGTGTCATAAAAGGGTGCTATGCAGTGTAGTACTGTTTCCATGTTTTTATTTTATTACTATCTTGACTGGTAGCTTATACTAGATCAAGAAGTCAGTAGTTTACCCATACCGCTACTTAGGTTGTTAGATGTGTTAATAAATGCCTTTTCATTTAAAAAAATAGTACACAATTGCTGCTTCACAGTACTGCTATTGTACTACATGTAGTTGTGCTTCATTATTGAGTGCTTTTCTTTATTAGATGCAGGTCTTAGTTTCGCTAAAAATGTTTGATCTCATAACACATAATTGTGTTCAGAGACTCATTGATGTCAAGTGGAATGCATTTGGAAAGTAGGTCATACAAAGCCAGCAATATGTCAGGTTATGATTGAAATGGATGAAGCATGAAGCATTTATACTGGTAGACTATGAATTTTGTGTAGGGATACAGAGAATTCATCTGCTTGTCCATTTGTTCATTCATTTGCCCATGTGTCCTGCCCTAAAATATCTGTTCTTGGATTTGACTCATATTCATAGTGGATGTATCTTGACTTGTGCTATATACATAGAGGACTTCTGCTCCTGAAAGATTTCGAAATGAATGGTAATTTTGAATTAGTTTTCGGGCATATTGCGTAGATTATATAGTGGGTCATTTTGAATGATTAGCCTTATCAAAATTCCTTCAGTTGACTAAATTTTGTCCGTGCTGCTTTTCTTGAAGTGTGATATGTTTCACTCTGTGTCTTGTTGACTTTCAGTAGCCCTCCAGTCCATACTATATTTGAGTCTAATCATATATAAATATACCTAAAAATCAAAATATACTTTGTGCTTCTACCATTTCCATCATTACTGAACATATTGCATGACTGAAGTGAATTTAACATTTAACTTATTAATTAAGGTGGTGGTAAAAACATTGCTGTCAATAACCCTACTCTTTCTATATATAAATCTTATATATACATTTAGGACATTCTTGGAATATTTAGCCACCAGTGCTCAGCTATTAACATTGTTAATCGAATGAGAATTGGTAGTTTCAAAATCTATATGATGGTTTTTGAATTGGTAACTCTGGGGCTGAATCTGCCTAGAATGTTCTGTAATTGATATAACAATTCTAAAACAGTTGCATTTAAATGCATAGTAGATTAATAAAACCTTTTTTAATTTTTTAGATACTGTAGTTTCCTTTAATAACCTAACAGTTTAAGTGGAATCTTCATGACTAAATTGCTTTATATACAGGATGATACAATAATGCAACCTTTTAATTTTGGGATATTACTTCCTCAATTATCATGACTCAACATAATTTTCTTGTCTTGTGTACTTAAAGTGTTTGATGTGTGAAACATCTGAATGACTCTGGATTTAGAGAAACTCGGTGTACATCATATTTGTAAAAGATAAGATGGTTGTGTTTTTGACTTTGTGTCATCCATTTGAGATTTGTAGTTTTACCATCAAACAAAGTTTATTATCCCAATGAACGAAGTTCGAGGGGATATAGAGAAGCCGTCCATCCGTCCGTTCGTTTGTCCGTGTGTCCGGGCGATAACTCCAATACCGGTTGACAGATTTGGATCAAATTTTATAGGCTTATGCCTTATGAGTGTAGGACTTCTGCTCGAGAAGGAATTTTCAATATGGCTGCTTAATTCAAAATGGCAACCATTTTTCATGAAAAATGTAATCGTTGATAACTCAAATACAAGTTGACGGATTTGGTTCAAATTTTATATGCTGATGCCTAGGGACAAAGGAGTTTCGCACAAAAAGAGATTTTCAAAATGGCGGCCATTTTTCGTAAGAATATGTAATCTTTGATAACTCAAATACCAGTTAACGGATTTGGTTCAAATTTTATATTTTATATGATTATGCCTAGGGACACAGTAGCTCTGTTCAAGAAATAATTTTCAAGATGGCGGCTGAATTTCAAGATGGCGGCCAATTTTCGTAAAAAACGTAATCTTTGATAACTCATATACCAGTGAACGGATTTGGTTCAAATTTTATATGATGATGCCTAGTTCACAATGGTATAAACTAACTTTGTGCCTTTCATGCTTCTATCACAAAGTGCACAAACATTTCAACATTTACACTAGGTATAATAAGCATAATATGTTTTGTTCGGTGGGATTTGCTACTCCGTGGAGTTGCTGTTTTTCTAGTTGCCATTCCATCAGAGATTGCCTTATTCCAGTACTCTGTCCCTCTCTGTCTACATCTGGTGATATCTGTTTTGTCTGTCTGAAATACAGTTTTATACCAATATATACCAATATATTTTTTTCAATATCAAAAATGATATTGGAAACATAGTGAATATGATCAGAGTAAATACTTTTTGTTCATTGGGCCATGGGATTTGCTTCTCCATCAGGAGTTCTGTTTTTCTCATTTTAGTAGGTACTGTCACTAATCTGGTGTTATATTAGTCAACTCTTATTTTTATTTAAAATACTTGGTTCTGTTCCAAATTGTTCACCAGATACAATCCTGATATACTTTGGCATCTTAAATGACTAAGACTCATTCACAAAACTCAACTTTCTTCACATGTTGCACCATTAGTAAAATGTGGTTCTTATAGACTATAAGTAATATTTTGAAGTAAATAAATGCTTTGCATTAGTTGCCAGCCACCCAGTATTACATTAATGGTGTGAAATATAGCCTGATTTGTGAAGACATCATATTTGGAACATTTTACCAGTGTTATGTGTTTTCTAACTATTTTAACTCTCTATCTATTAACTTCTAACTATTTTAACTTGCCTGTGTTATTCAAACTTTTGTTATCATGGTTACTGGGTTTATTTTAGCTGCAAGTTGCTGTGGCACACAAAAAGTTTGAACTTTTAGTTCATCCTGTATTTCTAAAGCTCATACAAATCAAGTGGCAACGATTTGGAAGGTATTGTGACACTCTAATATGGTTTAACCAGTGAGCTTAAGTTAACATGAACAAAAATGTACTGTAACTGTGTAACTGTATTGTAATTGCTTTAACATTAACATATTTTTCTCTGAAATCTAGAATTAAATAGAAAAAATTAAAAACTTTCGTCATACATTGATAAAAGTGTAACATGGTATTGAAAATAAGAAATAGAACAACATGATCGGACTGAACTAAGACACAACTGTATTTATTTAGATATATTAGGTAATGTTTGAATTTTTTACTATAGATTGGGAGCTTGGATATCTCTCCTGGTGAATATGGCTTTTATCATAGTCTGGACCGCTATAGCATGTACTGTAGAATACAGTGAGCGCCATATCTATACTTTACCACAAGACTGGTGGAGAATACTACTAGGGGTATGTGTCTCATCATTATTGCATAGAACTGAGAATGTATGAATCTTAAGATTTTTGAATTGCTGGTTATTTCTGGCATGCTTTTTATTATATTATCCATGTGTGGTAAACATTTCTACAGGATTTACTTTAGTTTTGCTTGGATATAATAATATGAATTTTCAAGGGTTCCAAAAATGAGTTACCATTTTTTAATAAATTTAAATATTAACGTCAAAGTCATAAATTCATCAACTGTTTACTATAGTTTATTAAAATTGGTAGATTGATCTATGTATGACCCCGGGTGTATGACCAGCTTGCATGTGATCTGAATGAAACTGGAAAAGCATTTTTAAAAGCTTATGGTTAACAGATGGAGCCCTAATACATGTATGTTTGGATATCTTCTTTTTTAGGCTGTAGCTGTTGGCCTCACTCTCTACAATATAGGAGATGAAATCTTGGAGTTTCGGTCCTCCAGGAAATCACATAATGTAAGTACTGTATATTAACTGTTGATCATTCTGATACTCATAGCATCTCTCTCTGTTGCATAGAGATGGAGAGGGTGTGGCTTACCACGATGACTGTTGATGGCCTTTGGGAAGTCAAACAACTTTATGTGTTATCAAGGTCAAATCAAGGGAAAGATCAATACCCGGTGATTTCAGCGGGAAGTGGCGTTTCCTTCAGTGGATGAGCTGCGCGCGCACGCATAAATGTGATTATCCAATATAATTAGGGGAGGGCTATTTGAAATAGTTTTTGGTCTCAGGCGCGACCCAGGGCTGTTGTCTTAAGGACATTTCGTTTAAAATGAGCCATTCGGCTGATAATTGGTAAGAGTTTGCGATCTTATAATGTATAACTGTTACTCAGACACATATTTTGACACGATTCTGTTGGAAATAAGCTTTGAACCGAGAGATATTCACGATTGATATGAACATTTTTGATTGTGCCATTGCTTTTCCATTGTACAATCCATGTATTGATAGAAGAAACATTAATGATGCAGATTGGTTTACCTTCAATACATGGCAGACACTGCATATCGGTCTAATTAATACCAGTTTGTGCCTTAAATAGTTTTATATTTCCATCCACGGCCTGGAGCCTGGGTGTGTTTGTCTCTTATGTGTATGCTTGTGCATGGACTTCTAATCACTAGCAGAATTTAACATGATGCAAACTCAACATTATAACTCATGCTGTAACATTTTGACTTCGCTGGAAAACAATAGGAATTATTTTTCTTGCCAACACAATCAAAATTTCAGAATGATCAATCAGGCAATGGTCCAAATCAAGTTATAACATTATATGATATTCAGCAAGAAGTCCGGTAGAAATACAGAATATTTAAACATCAAAGCTGAAAGTTAAGAGCTAATCTGTCAATTTTCTGTCTGCAAAAGAGCGTTTACATTTGAAACAATAACAGACTGAGGCTTTGAAATCTAGGATTCCCCAGGAAAATATGACGTCATACTAATTAGCATAAGGATTTCCCTATTGGTTTGGGTCGAGCCTTGTTCGAAAACACAATCCATAAATACATGCTAATTTCTAAGGAGATAGGAAGTGTATAACGTGTTTATCGATTTTGTTTAAAGATTTAATCAATTATCAAATTGTTTAAGTGGATAAAGTGGTCACACTTGCTTCAATTCATAGCGAAATCGACGGATAGAAACTGACCGAATTCCCGATATCCTACCCCGTATTACTGTAGGCTATAAGCACAGTGACCTACAGAGGGCGCTATCACAAACAAGTACTGCACGAACCGATAAATTCCCGGGTATTGTAACGCCCTTGGTCAAATGTGTCATTTAAATGAACTAAAGCGATTAGAAGAACATGATCAGTGCAGCATTCAGAAAATGGCAGCATGAGTCCTATTACCTTTTGGACACCCTGTACATACTCTTGAAAAGTGTTCAGATATTGATGAAGATGTTTAAGAAATAAGAACAACTGAAAACTTAAATGCATTATTTTGTGAAACAAATACAATATGAACATACTATACTTTATCAAAAGGCATGGAAAGAATGGCGAGAGAATGAGATAGATCGTGATAGAAAATACAGCCATCCTCGCTGGCCCGAGGAGGATCTCTTCCTGATACAAGAGAAAAGAGACCTGGACGATGCTAAACCTCAGTACTTTAATGATTTCTGGTAAGAGACAATGCATTTACTACGTATTAATTAAAGTATTATTTGTACCACCCTGTATATTTGAGATCTAAATTGAAAAATAGTTGCTGGATTCGAAAAAATTAATGGGAGTGCGAAAAATTGAACATAGTCAGTAACGGCGTCCCGTACATGTTAAGGACTCAAAAATAATTTGGAGGACGCAAAAATTGAAAATATTTCCGTTTTTTGGACGCAATTTTTTTTTTATCAATTCTACAATGTGATACCTAACAAAAACAAATTTTTTTAAAGAAATTGCGTCCCTGGGACTCACAAATTTTCTAACCTAATGCAAGCGCTGATAGTGTATTCAGCTGCAAATTTCAAAATCAAGTTTTTTAGATATAATTGCATTAAGAGTAAATTTTTGATTTCAGGAATGTGTTTGACTGGATCTGCTACTTTATGCTATCTGTATGTGTTGGAACACACATAGGGGATGTTTTCTTCCACACTGACTTCTTGGCCAGGTTGCACATACGCATCATGGCTGTCACCATCATACTCATATGGCTCAGACTCATGAAAAATGCCAGGGCCTTTGCAACATTGGGTAATAAATCCATTATTTACATGCAATTAATAATAACTTTTTTGTAAGTGTGTCCAATGTGAAAATGTCAGATATAAAACATTATTTTCATAAATGCAAGATATGAATTATAAACATTTGTGTTTCAGGGCCATTCATTGTGATGCTTGGTCACATGGTTGGTGACATTGTGAAGTTTGGATTCTTGTATTTAGAATTCTTCATACCATTTGGTAAGTATGTTAAAATGTTCTTTAAATTAAACTGACACAATGACAGTCCAAATACATACTGATGCCTTTATAAACCATTTTATACCTTTTAGCCCCATTATAATTATCCCAACAAACAAGTTTGTAATATTTACAATGATCACCCAGATGGGGTATTGTCACTTATTTTGAGATATGTCCAAGCATGTCTTTATCCTATTCAAATCGGAGGTATTTAAGAGCAAATGATTTTTTTTTATTTCATGTTGAGATTTGCAACTGCCTCAACTTTCTGTATTTCAAGTCACAAAAGTCATGCATGAAGACCACCTCTTCTTAAAATCCCATAAATTATATATCAATGATAACCTAATGATGACTTCTTACTTCAGCATGTGCTTTCTGGATGATATTTGGAGGCAAGAAGCTCCCCCAGAGTATTGCTGGGACACCTGCAGCTGTGAATGCTACCTTGATAGAAGTGAATGGCTATGGAGATTGGAATCAGCTCTTATTCAGCATGTTCAGACTCACTCTTGTGGATGAGTATGACTATGCAGTGAGTATGCCCATTTGGTTATGCATAACTAACTTAATATATTTTAGTTCAACAAATCTTGCAGGACGCCTGGCCAAAAATTCTTTCAAAAACATGCAGTTTTTCATGATTCTGAACAAGTGATTTTGGGTCAAAGTTGTCAAATGTGAACCCCCCAGACTTTTTGGAAAAGTGACCCCCCTTGGCAAAAGCTGGCTATCGGTCTGAACTTGCTATTAGAAAGTGAACACTTGAATACTACAAAACTGCTGTACATAAAATAGCCTTGACCATATTTTTTATTGCAGGGAATGAAACTTGTTGATTCTATAATGGCAGATATCTTAGTTGGATTATGGCTTTCTCTCTCTGCAATTCTGTGTCTCAATCTCTTCATTGCGCTGCTGTCTGACACATTTCAGAGGTATGTTGTTGACATGATTTATTTGCTCATGTGCCAATATTTCATTATTCAGTATTCACTATTATAGCTCATTCTGCACAGCTTTATACACCACCAATCCACACTCTGAAATCATATAAGAATGTGTATGGGGCCATACAGTGTTCACGGTACTGTTATAGTCTACATTACCATATGCTACCATATTTTATGGTACCGCACAGTATTGTAGTCAAAATGGTACCATAAGGTAATGTTAGAGATTAGCTGTCTAAAATCAAAAAAAATATATCAAAATCCATATTTGGCTCCTGTATTAACATAAATCTGATTCTATATGAGACATGGCAGATCTTTGATTTTATGTTTCCATGGAATTTATATAAATACATAGTTCCCTTTTTTAATTTCTCAATGGTTTGAGGAGTGGGGCTATAGCTATTGTTCCCTTATGTGTTTTTGGGATATAGGGATTTGCTTCTAGTATACATTTTGGTTACGTTTGTCATACTTTTTGTATGTACAATTATGACAAGTGATTATGCTATATCTGTTGTGGAGAAGGCACATGCTTTTTAATCATTGACTAAAATTGTTATATATCCTTTTGTAAATTAAATCCTAATATTTTATATGTTATTTATTTGATTGTTCTATGTTCAGGGTATATGACAATGCCCAGGCTAATGCAGTCATGCAAAAAGCAATCACCATACTTAGCTTAGAGGGGGGAATGAGCTTCAAAAGACGTGAAAAGTTTCGCAAACACATCCATACAAACTGTGCACCTGAAGAGAAGTTCTATGATGATGATACCACTACAGAGGGTGGCGATGATCTGAAGAAAGTCACACTGCAAATCAAAGTTAGTATTCTGTTACTGCTATCTCATTTAATATGCACATTGCCATATTTTTTGCTTTGCAAATGGTGGGTAAATTACATGTTGGTCATTTTGCTCTTCAAAATGCTATATAGATTGTCACTGTAAATGATCAAAATATGTCAATTTCTTTATAAAACACCATGTGAACCCATTATTCGTTGTCCTATATTTTCTGTTATTCACATTCAATGTTACAGCTGGGTGCCAGCCACAGCCAGTAGATTTGTAAAAGGGTACACCTGTTCATATTTTCTCTTTCATATTCAATGTGGTAAGATCAAAAATCATTTAATGATTATAATGTAAGTTTAATTCATTTTTTTCAATGTTACTTTAAAATAATTTTAATTACACATTGTAGGATGATCTTGACCAGCTGAGGGAGCGTCTTGATGATCGAGCAACTGATCATGACAACAATACCCACAATAGAAGAGGTATGTTGTGGTTGATGTTGTAATTTAAAACTGGCTTGGAATGGAATCTGGAACTTTTGGAACTTTAGACCTGTATATGCTTTATATTTTGTCAATGATGGTAATTATTTAAAAAGTATGAAATAAAATATGTCAAATCAATTATGAATCTTTCATTTGCATTATTTATCGCATATGGGAACAACTGTGATGAGGGAACAGTGTACTGTGGGTATTTGGCAAGTGTTCCAAATAGAAAATTGCCTGTTGCCATTTGTCCAAATAGAAAATGATAAATTCTGGAGATATATACTGTATGTATAGGTCCATGAGGAGCCAGTTCTGAAAGTCCATTTTTGAAGGTATAATCAGACAAATATTCCATTCTGTGCAAGGTCTAGTAGTAACTTAAAAGGTCCTGCAAAAATTGAAAATATTTTGAGAAAAACATTTTTTAAATTCATCTTGGTATGATGATCTAAACTGCTTATTTAATTAGACATTCTAGTCATGCTGGGTAAATGGAATTTTGTGCTTTAAGTCTTGTCTGTTGATACTTGATAATTTACACATGATTTCTCAAAGGTGGAGATATACTGTACTGTAATATTGAAGAGTGTTCAGCAACCCCTGTCCCCCTGCCCATTTACTTATACATGTACGTTCATTTTCTTCCTTAGGGGGTGATAACACCAGAAGACCCCCAGGTGATAACTTTGACGATGATGATGATTTCGGACCTAATGTAAAGCCATCAGATGCCATCAATGTGCGGAAGTTTGAAGATGAAATTGACATCCTTTGGAAGGAGATTAGAAATGTGCGTGAGAAACAGGAAGACATATTGGACCAATTAAAAAGCAGCATGAGTACAATTCACTCAATGTTGAAACACATCCAGAATACTCAAACTGATGGAGATTCTCCTAGAAGAAATATTGCTGTAGGTGAAAGTCACATTTACGCAAATGATGCTGGCAAAACATTAGATATGGCAAACTGGTGAGTTTCCTCTTTATTAATGCCTCGGTCACATTCGATCTTCAGGAACCCTACGGCCTTCACAAAGTTGAGATAAATATGCATAAAATATAGGGATAATCAGTACAATATAGATTTTCTATGGCCACCTTTGAGCAAATTTGACTGAGGCTTTTCTGTCATACTTAGAAGCGCAATCATTATGTTCACTGGTTCCGATCTAGTTACAAGGACAGGTCATTCCTGTATAAGTATGGTCGAGTAGTAGGGATCAAAAGATAGCAGAATTAGAGAGATGACCATGCAGAGTCTCCATATACACAATAAAGCTATTTAGCTTTGATGCTTGAGCAATCTCAATGTAATTTTTACCGCATAACAAAGATTTAAGGGATATTTGTAAAATATCTTCAGGGCAACAGTTGAGAAAAAGAAGAAGAAAGATCAAAAGAAGCTGAAAAGGAGGCAGGAAAAACTGAATATGATGCTAGAACAGAGCCACCTCACAGGTGATACTATTTTCATTAGATAGGCTTTGAGTCAGGCACTATGTATTATTTCCAGCAATGGTTAATACATACGTATATACTATTATAATCGGATACACAGTCTGAACAGTAATTATGGTCTGATATATGATAATAATACATAATAATACTAATATGATAACAGTCTGATATATGATAATAATGATGGAGGTTCTGAGCAGGAAGCATGAATCAACTATAATAGACCTAATATATGATTGAGTCAAAGAATGGCTACCTATATAATATACATGAAAAGTCCAATTATAAGCCCCATAGAATCATAATTTCTGAACTCTGACAATAAGAAAAAGTAATGTTGATAAATCCTCTTGCAGTGTCTGTAGGTTCATTTATTGATTCTATTGATTCTCATGTGTTGCAGGTGATGATGTGCCACTGATCCAAACATCAGATCCAACTATAGAGGTCTCCACTAGTTACTCTGAACCAGCAGAGCCACCTGCCATACATGCGCCTAGTGAATTCTACCCTGGGGCCAATGAGGCGGAGAATATGAATGTGTTTGCAGAGACTATGACAGAGGGTGGAAGACCTGATGTCCGAATTATGCCCACTGTACTGGTAAGTTTATTAGCATGCTAAAGACCAAAAGAAATAATTTTAAATAAAGATGGCAGTACAATCAATTTGTTTTACATCAAGAGATAATACAGTAAAATTCTACTAGTGCTGTTATTATGTCACCACCAAGAAGTGTTATGGTCTCCATTTTTTGTGGTGGTGGTTGGCGATCGGTGGGTGGTGGCTGGCAGTTGGCGTCTGTAACAAATTCTTAAAACTTCTAATAACTTACAAATGCTGTTTAGACTGACTTCAATTTTTTTCAAATTCTCAAAAGTTCATATCTGACTATAGGTTTGACCTTCAATGGCATGCTCAAGGTCAAAAAATATTTGACCTTCAATAACCCTCTCAATGTCAAAAAGGTCTTTTTTCAACTTGCTTCAAATTGACCAATTTTTTAGTTCAAATCTGACTTAAGATTTGAAATTTCACCTTCAATGACCCTCTCAGGGTAAAAAAAAACTTGCTTCAATTTGACCATTTTTTCAAAATCATCTACAGAGTTCTCAGAAATTCAAATCTGACTTTAGATTGAACTAATAATATTATGAGCAACTAGGTGGTGACATTTTGTCATGTTAATGCCTTGTCTTTATACAGGGTGTCAAATAAGTCCCGTCCCCCCCTCTACAGCCAAAACCAAGATATTTGGTACCAAGTGTGATATATCATTGGAAAGGTCTTCCAAAGTTACGTTGATTGGCATATATCTGACACATGTCAATCAATCTCACAAATTTTTACATTGTATCAATTGAGGTGGCCATATGCCTAGAAACATGGCAATTTGGCATATTTGGCAGGATTTTGAGAATCAGGTTTAAGAAAGGTCAAGGACCAAAAGATGACTAAATATGTTTATGGCAATGAATTTAACCAATTTCTGGATAGGGTTAGATGTGTAGAAAATAGAGGGGCAAGGAAAGTGCTGAAAACCATTTTGTAACAAGTGGAATGCGAAAAAGATCAACTTTTTGACATATTTCTGAGGTCATATCCTTTTCATTTTGACGCAAAAAGCTACTTAAAGGAGGGCACGTTAACTATAAAAGACATCATAAAAATATAGGTAAATTTCATCCAAAATACTTGAGAGTTGGTGAGTTAACATAACTTTGAATGATCTTTCCAATGGTATATCACATTAGGTACCGTCTGTTAAGGCTTTAGCTGTAGCAGGGGGGACGGGACTTATTTGACACCCTGTATTGACCTAAGTTTATTTCAAAAGTATTGTGTTATTATATAAAAATTGAAGAACCAAGCAATCCTCTTTAGTTATTTTATTATTTAAAAAGCATATTGTGTTTCTTAATTCAAATTATTTCATTCTCAAATCTGATTTCACAATATCTTCTTGGTTACATGCATGACACATCTATTAAATTGTTTTTTGAGGGAGAAATAAATAGAATGGGAAAACACATTGGTTCCAGTGATTTAGATTTTTTTAGCATGTTAAATTTCTATTAATGTTCCATTTTACTTTCCTTTTGATAAATTGTGTCCTTTGTCTATATGGTTTGGTTATTCTAGCTCCATGTATGTTTGATACAACTCTCATATCAATAATATGTTCATCTTGTTTTTCAGAGTATGGAAGGAATGTCTGCAAGTGAAGCATAGCATAATACTTAGCATTGATATTATACAAGTGGCTGATTTTATAGTGATATAAGAACATTCAGATATGAGTGATTTTTCACCATAAAGCCAATTGGACTTAACAATACTTTTAACGTTTTGAGCGTTATACAGCTGACTTGAGTTTAAGCAAGTAACATTCCAGAAAAGCAGATTTGGTTTTTCAGGCTAGGGGAAAAAAGGAAGAGTAAAGCATCCTCCTAATACTGTAATAGCTCAGTATAAATGCATCATTTATTAGGATACAGATTGAATCTATTTATGCAATCTTTATAGTTGTTATACTTGCAACCTATTGCTTTTTATTATGCAAAGATCTGAAAATTGCATGTCATAATGGAAGGTCTGAGAAGGCATATTAGTTTGGTTTTTTTGAGAAACGTTATATGCGGTTTGCATTGATCACAATCATCTTGTACAAGTATGATCATATATTTCCGCATCTATATTACTGTATTTTGTTATCAGAAATCAGAAAGGTGTATTTCATGATTTTTGAATTATTGATGGAAGGCAAGCTGTTTTGTAGCTTGGGAAATGTGATATTTGCTGGTTGCATCTTTGTACAAATCTGTATACCTGCATCTGTATAATTTTGTTGTCAACAAATCTTGAAGCTTTACACCTAGGCTTGCTGGAAAGCAAGCAAGGGAAATTCATAGATCTCAGCAACTGTTTTTGTGGTAGCAATGGATAGGATAATGGTAAGATTTTCTAAATGGTTGCTTTACAAAGAACATTTTAAACTAAGCAGTTTTAAAAAAGACGTCCAAATGATTGTGCAAAAACATCAGTAGTTACTGGTAAGTTTAACATTTGCCCATTCAGTTATGCATGGAAACAGCTAGAAGTCTGATTTATGCAACCATGGGCTTTCAAGAGACCATGATGCAACTGATCACATAACATCCCTAATTGTGTACACTCTTATATAAGGTATGATTAAATAAAAATTGAGTCTAAATTTTGCTGGTATATATTTAGAATGACTTCTCAATTTTGAAATTACACAGAAAGGTAAAAAGAATTGGTGAAAAGCATCATGTGTATTGGGGATTTCTCATGATTTAAACACCAAATTGGATCTCTGTACAAATTGCCGTCCATTTTATTATATACGTATTCAAAATGAAATATTTTGATATTTATTGATATTGATATTATTTATTAAAAGACTGTGTATATTTGTTGGTATATATTAGTTATACACTTGTATTGTATATTTTATGTATCTGATTGTAAAACTTTAAAAGTATCTACACATAAACATTATATGTATATTTGAAAGATTAGCCTACAGGCCTATAGTTATATTTTATAGACATTTTTGCTCTGTATACATCATAATTCAATGTATAAAATAGTAGCTTATGAAATAAAGGTTTTTACAAAATTGTAGATAGCAAAAAATTAATTTGTATTTTTTATGGCACAACTAGAAGTGGAGACATATTGTTATAGTCTCCAACTCGTTTGTGGATGGCGTTTGGTGTCTGAAACATCAGCACCTGTAACAAATGGCAGGTGGTGACATTTTGCATATTAATGCCTTGTATAATTACAACAGCAACACTAATGATACTTGTACAGTTATAATGACCTTCACATCTGGAAAAAGATTGATTTCCCATTTTTAAATTGATCAAGAGCTATGAGTTACACTCCCCTCCATAAGTTTGGCAACCTTAGCTCCCCCATTGAACTACGTGTTAAAGCCTCTTTACGTTTGAATTTTTATTTACTTAGCCTGCAATGAAATAACTTATAATATTGATGGAAACGTAACTTTTTGCCAAACTTATAGAAGGGGGTGTATCTTATAAGTACCAAAACTTTTTGTTTGCATTGGAGGTGTCGTTCACATTAGAAATTTTTTGTGAAAAACAACATAGTATAACATGCTAAAGCTGCCAAATTAAAGCAGCTCACACCAATGAAGTTTAAATATAGACGCAGTGTTTGATTGAGGTTTATGACCAAAATCTTAAAAAAAGGAAAACGTTCGCTTTTGACAGTCAAACTTGTTACTTAAGACCATGATGTAAACCACCGAAATAACCCTTTAAAACAAAACCACAGTCAGCATTAATATATTAGAAATCATAACATTGAGAGATAAATAGGTAATTCGTACAAAATCAGTCATTTATAATCTCATGATTCACAAGCCTGGCAAAAGAATCCCCTAGGTTCAATTAAGTGTGTGAATACAACATATTAATCCATTTCTCATATGTGATATATCATTTTATTGGAAAATTATATCATACAACAAATACTGGAAGTATATCAAAGAGTACTTGATTTTATTTATAGCATGCAGTTGCGTATTTCGCGTACATGCACAGGATGGTACTGGTACCCTAAAATACTGGACATTTTATTGATATTTTAGTGTACATTGAGTGTCCATACATGTTAAAAATGAAAACATACATGTAGCTAGCAAAAATGTGATTTCTCATTATTTCAAAGCTGTGGATGCTACTTAGTTAGTACAAGTATAATTAGTACTAAGTATACCACCAGTATCCCCAAAATTAGATGATATCAGTTTTTGAGACCCTTAGCCTGTATTCACGCTCGCGGGGGTGTATTAAGTTATATTAAGGTTAAACACTTGTGTATAGAGTCGATGACTTACGTTCACGAAGTAAACTTGATTTTGGGCTTATAATCGCAAAGATCAATATTCTTACTATGTTATGAAATCATTCTGTTATTTGTTGATTGCTTCGATCATGGGCTTTCAAGAGTGCATACAGTAGAATCTGTCGAACAAATGGCCAAAACATGTTCGGGTAAGGTGTTCATATTTTGAGTTTTTTAACATGGACGTCTATTACAGATTAAAATGGGATTAAAAAGTTGTTCACATTGTGAGGTGTTCGGATTAGACAGTTATTGTTTTACTGTATATTTGTTTAGATGTTTTAAAATGTGATAAAGTATAATTTACACGTGTTCTTCAGATATAAACGGTTAAACCTATGAGAGTTCACTTCCCCAAATTAACAATCTGAATGCAAGCTTGGAAAGCCGAAACACTTTATTATGCATGCTGCAATTTCAGATAAAGGAAAGGGCATACACTCTCAGTTAATCTTCTTCAGCAACCCGTGTATGATGTTTTGTAAAGTACGTCTACTTTGAATTCTTTTGGCAGCTATCGTGGCTGTAAAAACGCATCTCTCAATATAAACTGTCAAATCATATCTAATAATTCACTTGATTAGCGATTCCAAATGGTTCATACCTTATCGCGTATTAAGACAGATGTACAAGAGAGGTGATGTGCGTTGCGTTGGTTCCTAAAATAATTGCAATGCTTTATTTTTACTCAAAAATGTGGCGTTGAATTATGATTTCGCATGAGGATTAGGCGAGAGATATCAGTGAACCAAAAGACCCTACGGTGTTTAAGGTACTTATCTATTCTATACCGTAAAACGGTATGTAATATTAATACGCTATTGTAAAGATAACAGCTTCTTTGAATTCTGTTCCACATTATTTCATTATAATTTTTGCTTCTCATTTGACTAAAATTAGGAAGATCTGACACATGTTAATGTGCTGAACGATTAGAATTCCATCTCCTACGTGTGTACAAGTTTAAATAAATGATGGAGTAATTACTTTACCATTGATTGACAATACAAAATAAGAACTTTGCAAATATTCAATTAGCGATATTTGAATTTTTAATAGGCGCACAGTTCTGATAAATGTAAGCAGTTATTATTAGGCCTGTCTTCAGCAAATGATTGATTCTTGAGTCAATATTTGAGACAGAGTTAGAATCGACCACTGGCTCACAATGCATTTAAATCGCCGTTCAGTGGGCGTTCGTAAAATGCCAAGACAGTGATCTGATTCGGACCATTTATTTTTACTTATCAATTACAATTTTCTAGAACTCCATATAACATTTAGTTTTACTTGTCACATGAATTCGATTCACTAAACGACAGGGTTGAAAATAAACGAGGTATTTTAAAAGATGATATCCACGTACCATTCGACATCATTTACACAGTTAAAGTTTAAGTTAAAGTAAAGAAGTATACTTTCTCAATAAAATATTGATGAGACCGTTGAATCCCCTGCCTTAATGTCTGGCAAATACTTTTCCCAGCCACAAACGATCTAATAACGCTTGCCTTAAAATGAAAATAGATAAGTAACTGACACGCGTATTTTCCCGTAGGGGATATTAACGCCACAACCACCGCCATTTAAAGTCGATGGAATAACACATTCCATGTGTTAAAATGATTAAACTTTATATTTTTAATGGAATGAAATACACAGTATGAGTTCACCAGAACCGATTGTTATTTTTTATTCAATTATTTCCTTAAAGAAGGAACTGTAATTGTTACCTCGTCGAGCATCATGCTCATTCCATGCGCATCTTACGAGTAGGTGTAAGTGGTAGTGATCAACGATGAACACATTTATGACCAATATGAGCATTGTTCTCAATTTGATTAGAATTCTCTCATCATTAAACCGATCAGTTATGGCTATTATTGAATGGAAGTTTAGCACGCAATAACCAGGTAAATGATTATTCTGGTACACCAATCTCCCTTTGTTCTCCAAATCACAACTTGTATTGGAACATTACCAGTATACCGGTCTCCATTGTTAGTTTAATTATTTAATATTGACAAATTGTTGCTAATAACATGAAGAGCATCGCAGTAGTAATCCTACCCATGATATAACTTATATTTCGATATTCTGCTTTCCCATTGCAAAATCATACCAAACTCATTCCGAAACTCATCACACCTTTCTGCCTTCAATTAGAACTAACACAACGTTCCTGCGGTCACACCAAACTAGTTCTCAATACGCTCTTGACTTTTTGCCAAATGAGCTTAATCTGCATAAGAACGGATTGGACGTAGTCTTTAACGTTTTTTATGGACGTGCTCAGAAGTGAATGTGTTCAAGAACGTTGAGCCTGTTTAAAACTTTTCTGGCAGCCATTCAATCGTAGTCCGTTCATTCTATTCGTATTCGTAGACAGGTCCAATTCACCCGAATTACGTCCTTATTCAGTCGTTATCCGTTTATTCTATTCGTAGACAGGCCCAACTCGCCCGAATTACGTCCTTATTCTGTCGTTATCCGTTCATTCTATTCGTAGACAGGTCCAACTCGCCTGAATTACGTCCTTATTCAGTCGTTATCCGTTCATTCTATTCGTAGACAGGTCCAACTCGCCCGAGTTACGTCCTTATTCGTGCAAATACGTTCAAAAATAAATAGTTCTGAGGGGCTTGAAAACACGATTTCAAATTGTAATACGTAAATAAATGTATTCGTAAATAGGTTTATACATTAGTAATTGACGACTTTGTATCTCTACAACAATCATCTTACGATTTTTAGGACGGTATTGGACGGTTTGAGAACTAGTTTGGATTGAGTAGAGGTCAAAAGCACAAAGCAAACCTCATGATTTATTTTTCACTTATTTGTTCATTTTATTAAAAAATGACATACTCAATGCAATTGGCATATTATCTGTGTGATATTCTCCTTGATAATAGCCTACCGTTCCACAAACTAGCTATTGATTATGAAAACTACACCATCCTATCGCACTCTGAAATGTTCTTTTCTTTTCTAGCTTTTTTATAATATTTACATATATTTCCACCATTACTACTTATTTAGCGAACGAGAGCTTCAAAAACTTTAAAATAAATGAATAACAATGTGGACTGAATCATTCCCTTGAAGGTGTCGTTTTCAAATCTTGACATGACCCCGCAGCAGGAATGCAAAGTTTAGGAAACAACGCCTGAGTGGAATGAATCAGGCACAATCAAGTCTTGGGCTTAAATTCTTTTTACACATTGCAAAATCACTAAAAGAACATATTTTCAATGAAACTTTTTGCAAGGGTCAAGTTGGTTAAGCATCACTTTCAATCTGTAGAGTTATGTTGTCACCTGAACAAACATATATTTGAATGACTTTGGGTGCAGTGATTGGTTATATAATGCACTGCATATGAAATACTGTGTTCGGATTGGCTGGAATCGGACACGCCTCGCCTTGTGGGAAAATGTTATCAATATTGTAAACTACTGGGTGCTTCACGTAAATATTTTCCTAATTCACCCACCTACTCCTTTGCTACGAGGTTTTTTGAAAAGAAATTGAGTATTGAATAAATGGCACACGAACTGTTGGTTTAATTTGTTCCATAGTTTATTACTTTCATACCTCAACGGAATTCGCCTGTTTACTGAGTGTAACAGAGAGCAAAAAAATCGTGGCACTTCAAAAGTCTCATTTTCATATTCATGAGAGCACTTTTCAACATGGTACTTAAAACCCTGGAACAAAAAATGGTGTCATTTTTTACCCTCGTACTCAAAGGATGTTCCAATTACGCGTATCTACTAATACTCTAAATAGCATATATATTCAATGAAACGTTTTCTACAAGAATAAAGAATGGGTATCGATATGGCGAACTTTTTGAACACACGTTTCTCTTAAACCAGTCATCAAACATTTCTGAAAATCTTACAAATTGTCAATTTAATGGCCATCTTTTGAATGGTAACAATATAATTTGAAATAGATATACAAACTTTCATCTATATTGTTTTAAAAAACACATCAAACACTTGTTTTGTTCTTAGTATCGTGTGAGTGAAATGACACATCTTTCCGAACCTCATTGGAACAAAACGACATAAACAACATGTTTGTTTAGGTCTCTCAATATTGTAATTGTACAAAGGAAATTTTGGTTGATTTTAAAAAAGTATCTTGTTAATGAAATAAAAGGTTTTTCTTGATTTTTATCTATTTTGGGGGGATTTTGTTTTAATTTTTTGAATACTTTTTTAAAATCAACCAAAAAATCCTTTGTATAGCTTTAATATTGAGAGGTCTAAAAACATGTTGTATATGCTATCTTGTTCCAACAAGGTTCGGAAAGACATCTTACTATACTAGTATTTCAATCTCAAGAATTGGTAGAAAGGAGCAAAAACAATTGCACTAAAAAACAAAAAATCTTAACAAAAACAGTTATATGAAATATTTCTAAATAATTTTCGCATTAAATTGTTGTCAACATTACATAAAATACCATGTTTTTTTTACAGAATGTTTTCAAAGATTGGTTTAAGAGAAAAACATTGTTGAATTCAGTTCTCCATATCGATACCTATCCTTTGATTTATACATGCAGTTGTGGCTTTTTCCAACTTTTCTAAAGGAGCACGTAGGTTATCGCAAACAATTTCAAACGATTCTAACTTGAATTATGAATATTTTCTGATTATGAACATGGGTGTATCTTTTAGATCCATTCATTATCTTCAAGAAAAGTATATATAATGATAATTCAGTTAATCAGACCTAAGTGATATTGAAGGGGCAATGGACAAATCAACATACTTTTTCAAAAATGTTGACCTAATTTTCACCAAAAATGCAACCTATTATTATATTGTTGAATGCATAATTAGAATGTGCTTTGAGACATGTTCGATTTCCTAAAAGGAAAATTTGATTGCTCCGGGGACTTTAAAGATATTCAATTTGGATGACCAAAATGAACTGAAACCAATGGATAGCATGAGATTTTTCAATGGAGAAATAACATGGGGAACACTTATCTTAATGCAATTAAGTTTTTCTTTCAAGAACTATTTGATACATCAAAATAAAGAATAGCAATGCATTAAACATTGTAAAAAGTGATTGCATTTTTGGTGAAAATGGGGTCAACATCTTCAAAATGGGGTCAAAAAGTGTGTTGATGGATTAATTGCTAGTTAAATATCTCCGAGTTTGTTTGAATTTATTATTACTGTGCATAATTTTTTTTGAGATAATGAATTGATCTAAAAGATAAACTTGTCTTCATTGTCAGAAAATAGTCATAATCCAAGATATAACCTTCTGAAATTGTTTGCGATAACCCACGTGCTCCTTTTCTAATTTGGGCCAAATCTCCATTGATGCAATGCTAAACTTTAAAACCTTAGATCATTCGTTCGACAATCAAATGTTCGTTATATGTACATAACAGCTTCCTCCAATAGTATGCCATTCGAGTTTCAAACAGATTCAACCGACACTTTTTGATATAAAATGAAAATCATGAAATTATGTGAATATTGCTATTTTATAACATGGAAGTCTATGGCAGTGTGGCCCATCCAAAACAAAGACCCATAAGGGTGCCATCTATTAAATCAGCTTAATTCAGTTAGGCCTATATAGAAACTACCTTATTGCAGGATGAGAAATTCAGAAATTCATGTTTCCATCGTTCGACGAAGATGTGTACTTGTTACATGTTCATCCTAACATATCTGAATTTACCTTACATTCACTCGTCCATTAAATCAATTGGTCTAGTGGCATCAATACTCAAAACACAGCCGTCTAAAAGAGACGTAAGCTGAACTTGACCACACCGACTCATGACATTGGTTACCATAGTTACCATACTAACTAAACTCTTATTTGTTGATTGTCAAGTAATTTCCATTGAAAATATCAGATATTCATGTATGCACTTTATGTGACATATTTAAGGTATGGGAGGATTTAGGTTGTCAAACTTTTCGATGGAAGTGTAACGACCCTGGGCACGCTTGTCCGGGGAGCTATAGTCTAGCGGTAGAGTCTGGCGCTCGAGCAAAAGGGACTAGCTACTCAGCTAGGCTGCAACTATATCTTTACTTGATTTAACGTCAATAATCCTTATCATAGGGCTTCTCCCGGACCCGGGAACCTGTTATACATCAGACACCAATCCCTCACCACCGGTATAACCTTACTTAACGTAATTGTAATGTGTTGTTAATTCCCTATTAAATTGAAAATTATTCCATTCAACAGGATTAGTTTGTAATTGTTCAAATCCTGAAACAATCTATGTCATTGAGTTATCTAAACATTAATGATATAAAGGTTGTTGCAATTACTGACTACCTTACATCAATAATGAGCCTTTGCAAAGCATGAAACTAGGAGCAATGCAATGATTTGACCGGAGTTGGGCGTGAGAAATGGGCAGAATAAAAACGAATGTCATACATATATTTGACATATGAATCATACAATCCTTGTTACGATTCTACGTTACCATTGTATTATGATGAAAACAAAAAATAACTTAGTACCCATATATTTACATGGAAAGAGCCACAACCTTTGTTCAGATGAGTGAATTAATTTGTCCACAATATAACACACCTGTGCTATTTTTAAAAGAGAGTTCAAGAACAATTATATTTAAAATACATAAACAAACGTGAATCACTGTTCCATAATCATGTGAGAATTTGATGTTCCCTTTTTATGATGTTCGTTTTCAATGGAACTGGAAAGAGAGCAAAGCCTTACTAGAATTGGCAACTGGTTCAAAAAATGTTTGAAGTCCAGCATGGTTTTGTCACTTCCTGTTTTGTCATTTCCTGTTTTTTTTTGTAACGTCCAGTTTCCAATTGTAAAAGAGCAACAACACATCAGAGACTCATTAGCGCTTTCCAATCTTACATTGAAATATGATATGCTAGATACGGTTATGCAACATTGTAGGTTGACTACCTAACCACACCAGACGTAATAATAGAAAAGTATGATGTCTCAAAAACTCATTAAAAGCTAATTGGTTTGTATACTAATGTTGCCATTATGCGTTGATGAAGGTGGAATCAGAAAATGTATTTTACAACAAAGACCCACGAAAAATAATATTAATGAATAATTACACCCAGACAGTAATTGCTCATGGAACTACAATCGCATTAGTTCAAAACAAAATACAACGCATTGTAGTCTGAATAGGCTAATACTTATATTTCATGATCATTAGAATTGTGAATTCCTTGGGCGCAAAAACCTGTCGATGAGAATGTAATCCGAGCGCATTTTTGTCCCAGCGACTTTCAGATTAGTCAAGTTTCACTGCACTAATGTAATGTAATCTTTGCGTCTACGATTAGACCGTTACAATAGTTATTACGCCGGGATGATAGAACGTGTTGGACAAAATACTGTGGGTAAAGAAAAAAAATTGAAGGATTATTCCGGCATTTTTTCTAGGGAATAGAATATGATAATGAAGAAAATAAGTCTATGTTTATTGAATATGACTGGTTAATAGAAATTATTCTCACACTTGAAATGAGAATTTGTTAATTACATTCAGACAATTTGTAAAATAGATTTTACGCATTCTATTATTGGATTACCATCCTATTGCACAAAGCTAACAAGACTAACTTTCAAATCAATCAATATTCGCTAATGAGCTAAGTGAGGCTTATTTCATCATTAGTTAAGCTCTAGAAAACATTTCTATAATTGATGATCGGATGTAGATACAGTACTACCATAGGACAAAGGTTGTTTTATCAACAGATTGTTGTATCTCACGCTAATAAACAACAGGTGTACATATAATATTCCTGTTAATTGGAATTTAATATACTTAAACCTGTGACAGGTCATACACTGTCAATATGGGTCTGGCTTCATTAAAACTAATACTGGATTTTGTGAAATCAAAACGTCTTGGTCGTGATCTATGACAAAAGTAAACATACCGTAATAGAATCTTGTTCTGCGTTACGTGGTCAGGCTGTTAACTTGGAAATGTACTCGAAATCTTATGCCACATTGGACAGAACCAGTTTTATTACTTAGATGATATCACGAACCTAGTACACTTGATTACTGAAAGTCACTCAGAAAGATCTATAAACATCTTATCAAAGAAACCAAAAAGGCCACCTTTGCGTCTTACTATATTTTCTTTAGAATGCTATTGATTTTTTAAGAAAACGAAGAGGCAGAGGTATTATAAAATTCAGATAGTTTGGGATGCAAATATGTTAACCATCAGTTTCCGAGTGTCAATTTCCTCGGGCCTTGTAAGCCTTAGCGTTTATTTGCTATAGCGCTCCTGAACATTTCCTCCAATTTAATAAGACCGGCTAATCATATGTTATTTCAACATAACATCTAGGATATATGATTAATTGAATTCTATTGTTTACTGACCACCGCAGGAGGCTATAAATATGAACTGGATATGGTTACCTGCCACTATTCCGCAAACGGCCCGTGAGGATTAACAACAAATTAGGCCATAACTTATAGAATTAGGAACTAATAGTCAATATGACAAACTTTATCACTGGAAGCGTTCTACTTTGTCTTTTACAATGTAGTTCTAGCGCTCCTCTTGTACAGGTGAGCTAATTTGTTATATAATAATATCATATAATATCAAAAATTAATATGCATTTATATGGTTTTACAAAGATTAGATTGCTTTTAAAGATATTTAATGGTTCTTTCTTTTTTCTTTATTTCTTAACGTTAAGACCAATTTGCTTGAATATTTCATGTTGCGTTGAGTTCAGTTCGTTGAGTTAATTCATATATCATCGAAAATTATTACTGAATTGATATTTAATGGCAACTTTTTGAAGAAAATAAATAGCATTCAACATATTTTGATAAGTAATCATTTTGGATACAAAATGATCCAGTATCTTAAAAACAAAAATGTTTTTTTTATCATTTTTAAATATTTGTTCTACATGTACACTACACATCAATCCTAATGAATTCAACTTTACGTTTAACGTTTTGGTAAACTAAATTCACTTAAATGCTGTGGTGAGTTCTAGTTATTTCAATGTCCAGACACGCTTGAGATATCTATATATTTATTCGTAATTCTTGGTTTTAGAGTTTGGAACAATTTACCCAGCCCCGACATTAAGAAATAATGATGACATGACGATATACTGAGCTATTTCTTGAAAGTAATGATATAATGAAAAACATAATTGCACCGACTCGCTCGAGTATATTTGTCGGATCTCGGCAATTTAAAACATCCAAAATTATACACTTACACTTACAAAATGTAGTGTAAAGGCAATGTAATTTCACAGTATTTAAGATAAGGTGGTGAGTCTAGATTTCTAAATTGTAATTTGGTTTAATAACGCAGATGCGAGTAGGTAGTTACCAGTTTCACCACCAGGTGGCTCGTTCGGGTCAGATAGCATGGCGGGTATAGTAGAAAAATCCCTTTAACTTAAATAACATCTGTTTTAGTGGTTCGATTTTCATATAACCCTTATGTATCTAATAGTTATGCAAATCAAAATATGTCCAGTAAATGAAAATGTTATCTTACCACTACAAGAAAAGATATTTCACTTTTAAAAACAATGAAATTTTCAAACTTGATAAACAATTTTCGAATCCATATTTCTAGATGTACTTTACATGTAGATTTTTAAATATAACATCGCTTTGACTGAATTTTGAATATTTAATGGCGTAAATCAAGATTACTTCTACTCGCATCTAGTCTATTTGCGCTTCGTATATTCAGAGTCTAGTCGATCAGCAGGACAAATATTTTTTCTTTCTGCAACACAGCTATTTGGCTTTTAAAAGATAAAAGGATCGATATGGAGAACTGAATTCAACAACGTTTTTCTCTTAAACCAATCATTGAAAACATTAGATGTATAAACACGGTATTTTATGTAATGTTGACTGATTGACAACAATTTAATGCGAAAATTATTCAGAAATATTTTATATAACTGTTTTGCTCCTTTCTACCAATTATTGAGAATGAAATGAAATGTCTTTCCGAACCTTGATGGAACAAAATAGCATATACAACATGTTATTAGACCTCTCAATATTATATGCTTTTTTATGACTGGTTTAAGAGAAACGTGTTCAAAAAGTTCTCCATATCGATACCACTCATTTCTGTATATAATGTTCAGTATTTCGGTTTCAAAACAAGTTATGCAAACCGACTGTGTCCCATTTTTGCGCAGATAATTAGATGGTGAGAAATGAAACATTTGTATCGCAGTTATTTTGTAGGATATACGAGGGGTGATCATAAAGTTCTCATAAAAGCGCACTTCAATTGTTTTTGATTTATATTGAATAAGACATAAGCATAAATCTTAAGTCACAAACGAAATTGTGAATTGTGAATCTTTGAACCCTCCAATGGAATATCCTAGCTTATAAGAAAGTATGGTGTTTTCACAGGCATCCAAGTAATCAAATAAGCAAAAATCTTCTTGCTCTTGATAACCTTAAATAAATCATTAACCGTGTACTATTTTTATTATTCTTTAGAAAGACGAGCTTGTTAACAGATTAGATGAAGATTTCGAAGCCCTACGATATTATCTTGATGCAAAGACACAAGACAAACGATCAGTCGACTCCTTAGATGAAAGCCAAATGTATGAAAAAAAGAATTTTGATTCACTCGGTGGTGCAATGGTGCATGGTAAACGTCAATTAGATACGATTGGCGGTGGAATGGTGCACGGGAAAAGAAATTTTGATTCCTTAGGCGGAGCAATGGTCCATGGGAAAAGAAACGTTGATTCGTTAGGCGGAGCCTTGGTTCATGGGAAAAGAAACTTTGATTCCTTAGGCGGAGCAATGGTCCATGGAAAAAGAAACTTTGATTCATTAGGCGGAGCAATGGTTCATGGTAAAAGAAACTTTGATTCCTTGGGCGGAGCAATGGTCCATGGAAAAAGAAACTTTGATTCATTAGGCGGAGCAATGGTCCACGGTAAAAGAAACTTTGACTCATTGGGCGGAGCAATGGTTCATGGAAAAAGAAACTTTGACTCATTGGGCGGAGCAATGGTTCATGGAAAAAGAAACTTTGACTCCTTGGGCGGAGCAATGGTTCATGGAAAGAGAAACTTTGACTCATTGGGCGGAGCAATGGTCCATGGAAAAAGAAACTTTGATTCATTAGGCGGAGCAATGGTCCACGGTAAAAGAAACTTTGACTCACTGGGCGGAGCAATGGTTCATGGAAAAAGAAACTTTGACTCATTGGGCGGAGCAATGGTACACGGAAAGAGAAACTTTGACTCCTTGGGCGGAGCAATGGTTCATGGAAAGAGAAACTTTGACTCATTGGGCGGAGCAATGGTACACGGAAAGAGAAACTTTGATTCATTAGGTGGAGCAATGGTTCACGGTAAACGAGACGGTTTAGATAACATCGGTGTTGGTTTGGTTCATGGATTAGAAGAGGAAAAACGTCAGCTCGATACAATAGGAGGAGGTTTAGTTCATGGCTAGACTACTGTTTCAAGAACTTTAAAATGACCATGTATTACAGGCGGACACTATTCAGGAATTAGGTAAGTTGTTTCATAGAACTGTGGTTTCAAGTCCGATGGTTTGTGCAGATACATTTATCATTTGGTCCAAACATAAAATATAATATCACTGCTGTGTCATCAAACCATAATTGCCGATGGTTTTAATCCGAGGGATATGTCTCCTAACCAATCAACCCCTCGGTGTATGTATGTGTGTATGTATGTATCTTTATTATTCCCACATCGAGGTGGATTTCATTTTCATTTATAATTATATTAGGCTACAAATACGATTTTGCTGTTTAATAGCATGAAAATACAAAAATATAAACAATAACTACAATAACCTTTATTACTAGACTATGCGCACAGGGTATGTATCATGGCGACGAGTAAAGTTACTAGAAATGATTTAGAACCAATAAGACCGCCATGTAAATGTATAGGATGGACCGATAAATAGTACGTTAATAATTCATCTTTATGATATCTTGATGAAATAGGTTTTAGATCCTGACTATATCCCGATAGCCTTCATGTACAGGGTGAGCCATGAGATGGCATAAACCAATGAAACATGGTAGAATGAAAGAACATTGAACAAGGTTTTATTGTTCCAAATATGACTATAAACCAAAGCTGAATGAGTCATTAAGGTGCCGTGGTACTTAACAGGAAATGACAAAACAGGAAGTGACAAAACCATGCTGGATTTCAAACATTTTATGAACCAACATAATAGAGTTCTGTTTTGACATCCAGTCAGTCTAATTAGGTCTACGTCATTTTATTGGGCACATTTTCTGAAAATTTCAAAAAATTCTGTTCAGTTTTCCTAAGCTCCTACTTTTAGCTATATTTCAGTCACATTTTCAGAGGGCTGAAAAAGTAATTTCATCATGTTTATGGTCATTCTGATCATGTACATTGATATCCTGGTCATGTAAATGATATGTGGAACTAGCTAAACTGACTGGAGGTTGGTTCAAAAAATGTTTGAAGTCCAGCATGGTTTTGTCACTTCCTGTTTTGTCATTTCCTGTTAAGTACCACGGCACCTTAAGGTTTTTTGGATTACCTTTTTTCACCCTGTACATGCATGTATTTTTGATCCATACAATTGATTGTAGGAACCATTCGATTGTTAACATTGCAAAGTATCCAATATTAACCGCCTCCTACTCGATGTTGTTTAGATATAGTTTATAAACAAACAATGGTGTAACAATTTTGTTTTTGGTTTCACAGATATGGGAGAATCAAACATTACAAAAGATTGACTTTTCACTCAAGTTTCAAACTATAACAGAATGTACAGACACAATATTAATTCAACATCAGTCACAACATCAATCCAATACGATTTTGATACGTAGGGGTATATCATGTTAATCTACGAAAAATGCACCACTTTCAAGTTTCAACATTAACGAAAATTTTAGACCTAGCAAAATGTGATTATAATAGTTCGTGGATTCATATTTTCATAATTTTGAAGATGTTGGCTGAAAATAGCTGTTATCAAGAATTGAACATTTGACGTATCATTGACGCCAAATTGACACGTTTTGAATCGAAAATTACACAATGATCAAAAGGATCGGGTTTTCTTATTTGCTTAATTGATAAAACGTGTCCTCATCTTAATTAATTTTGATATGAAATTATAAAAGCGGGGTCGGCAGATGGAAAATTACGTTGATGATGTTTCCCCAACACAAAGGGCATTGATCAATTCGCGCCATGATTTGATGAGGTATGCAGATGACTTTAATCTTTAACTTATGATCTTAACAGGAGCAGGATTTAAAACCTTGTTTCTATCTTGTTAATCTACAGGGCGTCAAATAAGTCTGTTCTCCCCCCTTAACTTTTTTTAAGTCAGAGATAACATAGGGTTGGTATATATCATCTTAAAGGGAATTTAATTTGCTGATCACACACCACATTTCAGAGTGATTGGTTATATTCCAAATTTCTAGAGAATTTTTAGTGATGTCCATATTTCACTTTTTTAATAGTCTGTATGTCTCCCCCAGCAGCCCGGAGGGCCTCAATTCTACGAGGATATGATCCTGTATAAATCATATAGAACGTTTAATTTTAGGTGTTATCAACTATTTTGTGATGAGAGATGCCCCTGCTTCAAAGGCTCCCTTGAATGTAACACATTTTACTCTGTAATGATATTGAGAAACATCGAAATCACCCAATGTTGGCATTGTCACTGCAGTATCAACTTTTCACTTTTTATTCACTATACCTGGTAATTTTACTTGTTTTGACGTAATCAAAGGTCAACTACAACCTTACAAGAAACACTGTAGCAATTTTATTAGGAGGAGTTTATGATTGATTTTTTTTTCATGAGCTTCAAAATGATATATGGGAAAGTATGATAAATCTAAAGATAAAAAATTTAAGGGGAGAACAGACTTATTTGACACCCTGTATATTGAATCTATCTATTTTCTATCTTGAAAATTTCTATTTCTGAAAGAGACGAGCAATCGACGAACCTCAAATCTTGGGAATGTCTCACGTGGGAAGCAAAAAAATATTAACTGGGTACTTACTGCCTTTTGTGCTAATTGAAAATTAATGAGACTTTTAATGTCAAAACCGGACACAGCCAAGGAAATACATGTAATGCTTAAAACATTTAGCATAATCGAATAAGATACGTTAAAATCCGTATCGTATACGAAATGTTCCAGTCCCACTGGTTTGGACCTTACCTTACTAGTTTTATGTTCGAATAATAAAAATGGTATGGAAAGAGTGTAATAGTATACCAAATGCAGGGTGAGCCAAAAATCGCCACTTACTTAGTATGAAAAATGCTATGACTTTTTTATTTCCCAACATATAAAAACCAAATTTTGCAGTTATATAGTGCTAGATACCCTGCGCGCAGAGTCTAGTACACAGACTTTAATATTTGAACCAATAGCTATGTCCACGACTCCACGGTCCATATGACATAATAAATGATTTGTAGATGTCTCTATAGACTGAAAGTAATCAGTCTAATGCTTTTTTCTTCAACCGTTTATGTTCTGTTATAACTCATTAAATGTTTTATCAAAATAGTGTTCAATTGCAGCAATGTAATCCTCTTGACATTCTGTCTAGTCTTTAAATTGATAGGGATGTCAAGGCTTCTCATATATGTCATAAACTCCATTCTTCATCGTGCATTTATCATCTTTTTCCTTCCACCCTTTATGATAATCTTGTTTTGGAGTTCTATATCATTAATTTATTGAAGAACTTTATGAAATCAGGTAAGAATGAGGGCGGCAAAACTTATTTTTGAAAAATCATTGCCTGGAAAGCATTTATACATTTTCAAAATCTTGGTCCACTTTAAGAAACTGCCAATTTTTCCAAATCATCATCTTTTAATGAAACATATTTTAAAAATTGAGAATAAGATTTAGGCCCATATTTTGGATAACTAGTCTATTAAAAATGGACCGACGTTTGGACCTCATCCCCAATCCTATAGGACTAGTAAATAAATATAAGTGGTTTCATAAAAACAATACCAGTAGCCATCATTCTACAAAAACAACAAGTTCAATGAAAATATGGTCAAAAATACGATCAGTGATTTTTTGTGGTGTATTTAATAAAATAAGTAATCTCTTCAATTGGGTAAAATCAGAACACTTCAGCAATAGTAAGAATTCTAGGCTAGCCCAAAACACTTGGAACTTCACAAGCGTATTTTACCAATTCAACATCCAACATAATTTTTATGAGAATACACACATGGATAATTTTAGTTCTAGTCTTTTGCAACATTTCGCTTGTTGGATTTACACTAGCGCGCTAAGACGTCTTAGCTAAACCGTTTTAGCGTTAAAACGTTTTACAAATGTAATGTAAATCCAGATTTACTCAAAAGCTCTCGGCTAAGAGCGCTTAGCTAAAACGTTTTAGGACCCTAGTCATAGCTAAGACGTCTTAGCATTAAACGTTTTACAAACGAGTGTAAATCCATCGTTTTTAGCTAAGAGCTCTTAGCCCGGTTTTTTGCGTATTGCGCCGAACGAAACATTTGAAACTTTCCATTTACATATGTCGTCTGGTCCTTTATTTTGTTATATCCCTTGTTCCCAATATCATCCAAAAATTATTGAGAAGAACTTATTTGCCTGGGGATTTATCATAATCCTTATTTATGCATAAAATCTTCCTGTTCTCTTTCATGCTTTTAACAATGCTGTCTTTAGAAAATATTTTTCTGAAACCGATGCATTTAGTACAAAGTCGGGTACAAAGTATAGAAGCGGGAAAGGAATAGCTATATTGACTGAACCGTCCTTCAACAAGTACTGAACTGCCTTTTTCATTTTACATGTATACCTACATACGAGTATCTCTAAGACGTTTTAGGAAAACAGGTGTAAACTCGATCTTATTTCCTAAGACGTCTTGAAAATGGTAATGCAAACTCAACTTAATTTTTCTAAAACGTCTTGGAATGCTGCTCGTAGTGTAAATTGGGCTACTATTTGTATCACTCTTTTAGGTATCTAAAAGCTTCGTCTAATTACTGTGTATAATACTATGTAAAGCCCACATAAAAACATTACACTAACATTGATCCTAGCTGAATCTGAATAACAAATACAATTTTTGATAATTATCCCAAGTCATTCATCAATTAAGATGACGTTCTGCACTTATACCTATGAGCTTCACAAAGTGCAATTTTATCCAAATACTGCACGTATTTGTTTGACAGTGAGTATTTCCTCTGATTATTATTCATTGGCATCACCGACCAATATCATCACCATTATTACTGTATTAATATCTCATTCTTGTCTCTATATTTTATGTACTAGTATAGAACATTAGATCATTTCTAAACTGTTTAATTTCAGGATCTCAAGACCAAAATGACGGGAACAACTCACATGGCCATGAAAAAAAGATCAAGACACCACAAATCAATCCACAGAGTGCATTATTCTTTTAAATACAATTTACTATACTAGTAACTATAGCAAACAATGATGCTCGTTTCTGTTATGATTTAAGGATAAAATAATACACTTTGCAAATTCTGCACAACACATTCAAAGACTTTTTGTGTCTGTTCCATTATTATTTCACAAATATGGTACATTTCTCAAAATAATGCTGATTTAGTAAGACATGTTGCTGTTCAATAGTTCCACAGGCTCTTTGATTTCAATTAGTTCTAGAACATTCGTTGTATTTGTTTCTGAACGGCTTTAAATCCCGCGCCTACGTGCTGTAATCCGTCCAATATCCTTTCCTATGTCTGATTACGCAAGCAACATGAGCCTAAGATTCTGGGACACTTAGCTCGCATTATGTTGACATCCTCAGAAAATCGAACCCAATTATCTGACAAACAAGAACTGAAAATTTGACAGGTCTCAACTGACTAAATCTGACAAATCGAAATTATTAATCGTGGTGGAAGTGACGTAGATAAGCAATGTTCAAAAAAGTTATGTAAAAATGAAATTTTATGCGAATCATTTTTTCAACTTTTTTATTTTCGGATTCTAAACGTAATAGTTATCCTATTTTTGGTAACTAACAGACTTTTAGGGCTTCATACAAGAAATGTAAAAATACCTTGGAAGAATTGAAAGTGAACTTTGTTCACTGAACACAGTTTCGTTCAGTGTGAACGTGTTTCTTGGCTTCTCATTGCGTTTGCATTTTTTAGAGTTCAAAACTGAACCGCGTCTATTTCCCCTGAAATTGCCATCTGGCGATTTATACTCAAGATTATGTTCAGCATTTCTGTGTCCGCCATCAAAAACGTGTATCATTCTGGCAAGAAATCTATACGATAAGGGCCGGGATGAAAAGAAAAGTCAAAATTTATCACTTATTTCAGTGCTAACGCGTACCCAAATCAGTGAAGATCTGTCAGATTTACAGGTATTCTATTGAAAGTCCACCGACAATGACTGATGTCAGAACCGCACCATCGAAAATTCCGCGTAGCATCTTTTTCACTTTCTTGATTACGTCTTGAAAATCAATCGACGGTCTGTAAAGAAAATATTTTTCATTTAGAAAGGAAGCATGACTTTGTTTATAAAGTGTAAGATATTGAAATTTGTACACATAAGACGGGGCATAAAATCAATTTGATTTCATAGAAACCATCCTGTTTCAAACGTTGTTACATGACTTTGATGTCTTAATAATTTACTTTAATCAATAACAAGTTAGTTGAGAAGCCCACCCACCTGCAAAGACGCCCGCTCACCTATCAGTTTCAGGATAAGATGACGACACTTATCTGAATATAAGCCTAATACTTTGAAAAGGTGCAATGAAACTAGAAATATACTGGCGGATTACATTATAACAAGACACTACATGTAAAATGTCACGACCTGCCATTTTATACAGACGCCGAGCACCAACCGCCGCCACAAAAAAGTTTGAAACCATAACAACTTATTGTGGTGACATAAAAACGGTTATATCTTAACATCAAACATTAATTTATGAAATATGCATATGGCGTATCAATTCTGATAATTTATGATTTTCGCACTTCTAACACAAAAATTTCTATTTTGTCATTATTTGAAAGGTTAATAAAAAGTATGAGAGCAAACGTCATTATTTCAACATGACGCTGCATGCATTTTGGAGTGTTGGCGAGACGTTGACAAGAACGGATACACTTAGATATGGTCTCATTCTCTAATATTGCGGAAATATTTTGTCATCGAAATGACTTGTTTAAAATGGTTAAGATTAAAAAGCCATGACGTGGCTCATAAAACTAGCGATTTTGTGCAAATTAGATGTCACAAGCACGATCATAAGTATAAACTATTACCAATTATAGTAACTAATATATTATTGAGTACGCTTAAAGACCGTGTTTTTGCATGAAAAGGAGGGTGAATTCCGGTCATTCACAAACTTGGACTTAAACTAAACGGTGAAATTATTAATTGATGAGCGCCATTATTTAAATCAGTTCATTATCACCATCGTTATCGTCATCATTGTAATTCTTTTCAAGAAACATTGTAAAATAGAAGACGCACGCAACAAAATCATATTGGTCAATGTTGGTACCCAAAATACATTTACTAAGCGACACACTCGTGTCACAAGACTGTGGCTGCCTTGTCATGTTACATGCCATCTATATGGCATCTATATTATGGTATTGTACCTTGATTTAAATTGTTTCATCAGTCATTGCGTCTTTAACTCAAAAAGCACACTAAACGTATTTAAAACATTGACATAAAAGTGCAGCCCTATAATTTTGAAATAACAGTCAAATGATGATATATCTTCATGAATTTTGTGAAGAACATTCAATGCGGGAAGCACTTGTGAACTAATACTCAATGGATAACGACTGTTTGACATTCAATCGTTTTCTTCGGATTACAATGTTTTTTTAACTTATCAACATGAATATAGGATTGGGACCTCAAAACCACTGGATGCCGGTGCGGCACCCTTGGGCAACTCTCTACAGAGCATTTCTTATACCCCCCTGATAAAATATACAGGGGGTACTATAAGACACCCTCATATCTCAGATACTGATAAATATATTAACTTGAGATTTTCAGGAATTAGTTTTAGTATGATGCTTGACATGCTTCAGCATTTAAAAATATCCATAAAAACATGAAGATAAACTATTCAGAGATTTATTCCAAAAGTTGTTGAGCAGATATCCAGCCTCCAAACCAAAATGATGAAGTTTCTTTGCTTTTCTGAAACTGGCCAAGTCTAGGATTTCCAAGCATATTAAGACCAGGGTTGAACAGAGCGCTCCGAGGGGCCATGTATTTGTGGTGAGATACTCTGAATGAAGATATACAGAGATTCCTGCATATAGATGGAAGCATCATACATAGGAACTAAATGAGCATTTATCCAAATCAGTAAGACATCAACATGTACAATGGCAAATGGCGGACATTTTAAATTGAGCGGCCATATTGAGATCTCCTCCGCAAGAAGAAGTCCTATGCCCGTTAGGCATCAGCTTATGAAAGCTGAACACAATCCGTCAACTGGTGTTTCAATTATCTCCCGGACAGACGCTAGACGAATGAACAGAACTTTTCCATATCCCTTCCGAACGAGTCTGTAGAATCATTCTGTTGGATAATGAGCGTTTCTCCTGGAATGGCAATAATACGATTTTCGAAAATCCTTTCAAATAGACATTTCCAAGAAACACTGTCACCTTTTGGTATATCAAAGAAACAATGTTATATTGGCCAGACTGATGATGAAAATAAGCAAAAAGTTAAGCCTATTTTTGCTTGAACCTTGTTGCTATCTACAATGACATCATCAATCGAGTCAATATGCATAGGGGTTATGCACTGGGAGGTTTTGGATACAGGGAATATCCCGAGGGATATACAATATATCTTCCCGAGGGACCGAAGGGACCAAGGGAAGATATGTTGTATATCCCAAGGGATATTTCCTGTATCCAAACCGACCGTGCATAACTGTTGTATTCCATACCTGATGAGGTTTGAAATAATTAGCATTTATTCCATAGTTAGCATGATATTCATAGGATAACATGTGAAAATAAAAACGGTATTTTTGTAATCAGTGGTAAAATATGATATTTTTGACAAATTTTCACTTAACCATAACATACGGTTTTTTAGCCATGACATACGACGTCGTATGCGATGGTTTATGGATTTTTGCTACTTCAGACTCAAACATAAAAAGAACATCCTATGATTTACTCGTGATATGATTTTAATCCACTCATGGATATTGATATCTGCACTCTCTCGCTACGCTCGCTCGTGCAGATATCATATCCATTCGTGGATAAAAATCATATCACTCATAAATCATAGGATATCCTCTATGTATCCCATATGCTCTGGTGTGTTTACTTGCAAAATATGTTATCATTTTGAAAAAAAATTCTTTTCCAAATTTTTTTTCAATTTTTTTTCACCAAATTTTTTTTAAATTTTTTTCCCAAATTTTTTTAACATTTTTTTCCCAAATTTTTTTCACATTTTTTCCCAAATTTTTTCACATTTTTTCCAGAATTTTTTTTCAAATTTTTTCGCACAGTTTTTTTCAAATATTTATTTTCAAATTTTTTCCCGAATTTATTTTTAATTTTTTTTTTTAAGCGGGACATACGATTTATATGTCCCGGAGCTCCGTTGGAGTGGGACATACGAAAAATATTTGCCCGGATATGGAATATATTCCCGGTTGATATGTCCCTGAAACCTCATCAGGTATGGAATACTTAGAGGTTATGTCACTATCGTGGCATATATGCCCGAGGTCTCAGTGATACATGGCCCGACCTTGGGAGGGACATTGATATCTGAGAACCGGGGGCATATATGCCACGATAGTGACATAAACGATTTATAACATACCTATGATGATGTAGACTGGTCAGAGAGTACCGTTTTCTTATAGAATTGACAAACAAATGGTTTGAAAATGATTGAAATGAGTTTAGAAAAATTGCTCGCGCAGTTTTATCTTCGATTGATTGGTTATGACATCAGGGCCTTGACCAATCAGAAAGTTAGCGGGCGCGGGCTTTTCAAAACTAATATTGGCCCGCTGTCTTGTGTGCACTTTGCACTATACATCATCATAGGTATGTTATAATAAGTTTTATAGCAAAATCTTCCAGGTGTTACAGATTCCGACCGTTGAACACAAAAAGTTAGAGACTATAACATTACAATGATATCACCCTTGTATATTATGAACATTTCTAATAGTATATCAAAATCAAACTTCCCATGATTCAAATTCTATTATTTCTTTTCAGCGTAGTCCATACAATGAGTTTACTAGCATTCTAATAAAAGTTTATATAAAGATATAAATCAAATATACAGTCAAGTACAATTAATTGAAAGATAAAATATCTCAGGAGACTTATGTCCATATTAGGAGTTAAGCCTTGACTGTTCTCTCATCCATATAAGGATCCAACTTTGATTGACCCTTCTTATCAGTCCCCTCCAACTCACATCTAGCTTTTAGCTTGGCCACATAGTTCTATAGCCTGTGTTTGTATATGATTCCTTGTGTCACTTTACTGATGGTCTTAAGCATACTTGTGCTTCTTATGATGATGTCCGTGATGTTCAGCACCATCTGGTCTTTTTCGTTTTTCTTCATCATACTTTGATTTATCTAGTACATGTTTTGTTAGCTCATGCACTAGTCATTCCGGTGAACTTGAATAATGTCTTTTCTTATGTTTGCTCTTATGTGAACTTTTCTTATGCGAATGTTTGTGTGAATGTTTGTGTTTTTTGTGTTTTTTATGTTTTCGTCTGTGTGATTTTGAATCAGCATCACTGGAGTCATCAGAACTATCACTGCTGCTACTGTGATGTCTTTTTTTCTTTGCATGGGGAGATCTTGATCTGAAAAATACAATGAGGATTGTAGACACGATACTATATATCTAAGTGTATCTTTTCCAGTGATCTCCCTAGCAAGTGGGCGCAGCACCCACCTGAGGTTTTTAAAATAGGCTTGCACCCACCTGAAAATCAATTTGCACCCTCTTGAAAATGAGAAAAATCTTGAAAAGTGTGCATATTTTGACTAATTTTGGTCTAAATTGTGAAAATGAGAATTTTGCACCCACTTGAGAAAAAAACCTGTGGAGATCACTGATTTCATACCTAATCTACTGTGGGTAGCATCTCATTCCTGTCTATAATTTGAGAATCACTCTGCAAAAATTTCGGGAAAAATAAATTTCTTTTTACCTTGGTCATCTCAAAAATAATTCAAAGATACCCTTGAACGACTCATTCCTATGAGGACAAGTCACTATATCACAACATGTTGCCAATATCTGATTTTAAGAGCTTAGGTAGCATTCGCAAATTCAACTGATGGCTGACAGTTTAACCTAAATTTTATGGCCAAATCAATTAAAATATGAATGGAATAGTACGAATTACTATTCATATTTAAAAGAAGAGGTAGGCATTTTTCTTGCAATTTAAGTCAACAAGATTTATATGGTGCCAACCAACTCAGTCCGACAGATGACATCATCATGCTGAAAACACTCAACAGGGCACGAGTGGCAACCCAGGCTTACTAAATATCTTTTGAGTATTGACAATGCTCTTGGATAGATAGAACACCCACATGTCTGCAATTCTGCAATTAGATGCCCACAACCCCATATACCATCCCAACTAGGACAGAAACTGAGAGAGAATTGTAAAAATGTAACCTTTTCTACAGACATTTGAATTACCTCTTAGATTTAGATCTGGATCTCTTTTTGTGTTCTTTCTTCTTGGTTTCTGCTTTCTCTTTGTCCTCTGAAAAACAAATTATAGATTTAATATCTCTGTACTCTGCATATTGTATGTAACAAGTGATTATATTGCTGACATACCATAGGCGTAGCGCCCAGTACGCCTGGTACACACAGGCATACCAGAAGGTTGCAAATACACTCCAAAGTCCAAATACAACCAAACTTCAAAATTTTCTGGGGAGAGAAACCCCAGACCCAACTGAAGGCCTGTTTTTTGCTTTGCAAAGCTCGTATTCCAGTGGTGGCGTTGTACTCATAAAAATAGTGCTACGCATACCAATTAACATTCCACATATTCTTTTTAAATGTTTTTTGTAAGATAGCGAAGACAAAGTAGAAATAGGAAACATATTCATGAGAGATTGGTCCTACATTTGCTAAGGATCAAACACAATCAAACTATCATATTGGGAAGTTCAAGATATTGTATTTTCATCAACAGATGACAACAAAGACAATAGAGGCTGTGACTAAAATTTTCTGCTATTTCAGATGATATTATGTGTGTAATTTGTAATTTTTGCCCAGCTTAGTTTCCTGAATTATTAATTTTAAAAATCATTATTTTCAAATTATAAACATCATTTGTGTATCAACCATTGATCAAGAATGTTGTACTTTTACATAAGACCAATCTTTATTTTTTGTTCTTCAAATCTAAATGTGTGAAGCCTAACACATACCATTAGAAAGCTAGGAGCAAGTATATTTTAAAAATTGAAAACATCAAAAGATGTGTTCAATAATTTTCTCAATTAAACATCATATAAGCCAATTGTATATTAGTGTATTGGTTAACCTTTGTAGTGTAAATTTCATACCTTTTGCCCATTGTGCCAATGGAGTAACAAATTCATCTTCTGAATCTGAACTTGTACTGCTTACATCAAGTACAATGGATTTCTTTGGGTCACTTTTTAGGAAGTTGCGACATTGATAAGTCATGTGACCAGCTGAAATTGAACGAGATGTGATAGTAGCATCATGTGAAACTCCGTCTCCAGGAAGAGCTACTACTTTTAAAAAAAACAATCATGCACACCATTTCAGGTTTTTTGAAAGGAATCTATAAAAGAATATTTTCATTAGTCTTTGAAAATTTGTCTGTGAACCTCGTACAGTAACCTTGTGTTAAAAAATCACCCTTTTTATATGTAAAAAACTTAATTCTTCAAAATATATTAATAATTTAATATCCATTAAAATGAGAATACTGACATTAGATTTCTGAGAAATAATAACAAGAGTTTTTGAGACACCACTAAAACACCTAAAGCACTGCTCCTTCCTTTTGGCTTCTTCTGGTACAGACCACCAAATATCTTCATTATTAGATAATGGGAAATTAATGTTACAACTGATCCTGCATTTCAACTAACTATTCTGATATAGATATACTTCAGTCCTGCATGTGAGCGAAGAATAATTGCTTACCATATCCACATTTCCGACAGGTACCTCTAGTACTTTCCACCTGTCCACTAAGCTTCTGGACAATACCTGGAATATACAGATCAATGCTTTAATTTATATATCATGGTGATCTCCCTAGCATTAGGTGCAGTATTGCAGGACCCACCTGACATTTCAAAAACATGCTTGCACTCACCTGAGAATTCATTAGCACCTACTTAAAAATGAGATAATTGAACATATTTTGACCAAATTTGGTCTGAATTGTGAAAATGAGAATTTTGCACCCACTTCATCATTTGTTCACTTGGGGAAGAGTTGGGAAACTGGTTGCATGCTAGACAATAGACTGAATGCCAATCATATTAATTCTGGCAATCATGTTTTTGTTCATTCTCACTGAAGTCTAATTTTTTAATGAGATTTTAAAGCCCTGTTTACACTGACCAGTCTTTTTTGGCATATTTCCAATCGGAAAAAAAACCACCGATTTTTAGTCGGTCTTCATAGGATTTTAAAATCAGACTTCACAGAAGTTTTGTCAGTCTTGACATGTCTTCTAGCCTGTTGAGTCCAAAGAAGTCCAATGAAGTCTGCTAAGAAAAGACAGTCTGACTGAGCAGTTCCATCCTTTCAATGGACTCCAATGGACTTTTTCTTAAAATCCAAGGCTTTCAAAATCAAGCAGTTTTTCACAATTCTGAGCATTTTTTAAGTGATTTTGGCCATTTTTGGACCACAATTGTCCCTTAGCAAATCCTGGCTACGGACCTGAATCCATTCATGTGATTATTTTATGGTAATAGAGACCTTCATGCATGACATTACAATATCCAAGAGGATTCCATCAGACTAAACAAGACTCCCCATCGAACTTCATAAGACACGACAGGACTCCATCTCACTCAACTGATCTCCAGAAGACATACTGGGCTTTTCTGCAAGACACTTTTTGGTGTTCATAGGTCTACTGAAGACGTCCATTGTAAAAACATGTCCGTGTAAAGGGGGCTTTAGAGATTTACATATATTACACAAAGATCTTCTTTTTGATGAGATCTCTATTAAAATTCTGTGCATATTTTTCTACTAGAAAAATTTTGATTTTCAGTTCTCATTTATTTTATTAAATAGCCAGGATTTTTATCTTTTGTGAAAAAGTTCTGGCTAAATCCACATATTACAATGTTGAAATTCTTTAAATGCTGATTTATTCTATAAAGGACTACGCTTTAGGTCATATACACAATCTGCACAGCTACAAAAACTCAGCTACTTTTTAGAGTTTTTTAAGCAATTTTTCAATTATTTCTTCAGTAACCAAAGGTATAATATTAAAAATGTTGGCGTTTTCACTGAGCATCAAAAGCGAACACTATAATATATTAAAATCTTCTTTTTTTCATTTGATTTCATGTGTTTATTGGCATTTCACCTTTATATCAAATGAAAACTGATAACATACCTTGTATATCCCTTTGCATACTGGATGTCTTTGGATAATATTCTTTTCAAGATCTGAAACAAAATTCGAAAAATGGGTTCCTTTTTGAAATGTGAAATAAAGTCTTTTAATTGGTTACATTTCAAAATGGCGATACTGCATTTTGAAAGCTGTCACGTGTTATGTTGCATTCTGGGAGCCAATCCTCCTTGCGGCGTAATCAGCCTACAACCAAAATCCCACTAGAGGCAATCTGCGTGAGATTCCATTTTTTGATTCGGTTTTTGGCGCATGCGTATTAAAGAGAGAATCAGAGATAGCGAGCAGGCTAAACAAAAAATTGTATCAATTTTAGAATATTTTTGGCTCATGTCATTCCTTGTCATGTCTATTTTCTAAAAATCACAAAAGTGCAAACTTTATTCAAGGAAAACGAAAGATTTTTACAATAATGTATTATTTTTCTATAAGAATGGTTACCATTCTTATTATTTGGGAGAATTTAAACATTTTTCACCCATTTTTGCACTTTGAATCATTAATAACTTCAACAATTTATAACATATTGTGAATCTTTTGGGAGATATTGTATTTGATATTGTAAGGAATAGATTGGTAGGTCAATTATGCACGTTGCTTGTAATTTTGTCACCCCCTATATGTTTCGTATCAAAACAAAACATATACACCAAAAACAAATGTAATGACATAATATCAACCTGTCCCGGCTGGATTTGTAGACGTTTGTTGTACAAACTTAAGGTGCTATGGAAGTTAACAGGAAATGACAAAACAGGAAGTGACAATTTTTTTTGCATTTTTAGATATTTTTTGAATAAAGATAACAGAGTTCTGGTTTGACCTCCAGTCAATTAACTATTTCCACATATCATTTACATGACCAGGATCACAATGTGCATGGTCAGAATGACCCTAAACATGATGAAATAACCTTTTTAGCCCTTTGAAAGTGTGACTGAAAAAAAGCTAAAAGTAGGAGCGTAGGGATAGTCACTGAACAGAATCTTTTGAATTTTTCAGAAAATGTGCCCAATATAATGCTCTAACTAGTACAATCTTTGAAATTTTAGAAAATTGTCTTAAACAAAAATGGCGGTCATAATAAGAAAATAGATCGCTTTTCAAATCAGTTTTTTCATTTTTTTTTCTTTTTCTATGAATGATATCAAATTTTCAAAGATTGTATCATTTAGAGCAATACATTGGGCACATTTTCTGAAATATTCAAAAGATTCTGTTCAGTGACCTTCCCTACGCTCCTACTTTTAGCTTTTTTTCAGTCACACTTTCAAAGGGCTAAAAAGGTTATTTCATCATGTTTAGGGTCATTCTGACCATGCACATTGTGATCCTGGTCATGTAAATGATATGTGGAAATAGTTAAATTGACTGGAGGTCAAACCAGAACTCTGTTATCTTTATTCAAAAAATATCTAAAAATGCAAAAAAAATTGTCACTTCCTGTTTTGTCATTTCCTGTTAAGTTCCATAGCACCTTAAACCGAACCGATGACAGAAAAGTACTTTGAATCATGGGAGTGACATACTTCCCTAAAGAAAAACCGAACCAAGTAAAAACCGAACCTCGCGCAGATTGCCCCGACTTTAAAATCCCCTCAAAATTTGAAGAGCTGAGTTTGGGCTATTTTTCTTTCTAGGTGGCTTTGAACAACCCAGAAGTTCTGGCCAGAACTGAATTTTTTGAGCAAAACCTTAAATCCTTCATCGACACTAAATAGTAAAATACACACTGAATCAGAAACTCAGAAACTGTAAACTTTTAGATTTATAATTATTCTTACCTTATTTGCTCAATATTGATCTTGCAACGTCTATAATTCGATAAATTTAATTTTGATGTATGTATGTATCTTCTAGTCTATCGGTTTCATTTATTTCCATGTATTTACAATGATATTCATGTTTTTAAGCGATAATTTCACAAACAGACCATTTTCTATTTCACGCCAACACCTTTTATAAGCGCTCTTTTCATTGGTCAATAATTACTGCAAAGTTAATTGAAATACTAGCTTTGATTGGATAGAATTTATGGCGGCTGTTTTAAATTGTTTTAAAGTTGCGATAATTGTTTGATTTTCAAAACTTTGAAAACATCAACATTTCGAGTTTCACTTTTATTTCTATGAACCATAGATCCCGGCCAGATTATTTTGTAAGTAGGATCAGTAGCTCAATAAATTATTCTTTGAGCCTATGAGATCCTACTACAAAACGATCTGGCCAATATCTGTGCTATGAACCATCTCTAATTCTTAGTGTTTCTTATATATTCTTATTTGTGTATCAATTACTATATCTAATAGTATGTCTTTGAATAAATTCATTGGTAGTACCCCTGTGATACTGCACACCAGAGACATATATGAATGCCATTTTTTATATCAGATTATTTAGTTTTTAGTGCAATAAGCCTGTGCCCTCATGTAATCTTAGGTCTATAAACTTGGCATTTCAAATATCTACAGTATGACCTCAATGAACTTATTCAACTTATAATAGGAATCTTTGATATTTATGCACAAAGTCTCAAACAATGACTCAAACAACATCTTACTTTATGACCACCCTTACTTTTTTTACCGAGTATGTAAACATGTAGTTTTTTATATTTACCAGTATTATTTTAGTAGTCTCATATTATTATTACTGTATGATACTTTTTCAACTATTTAAATTGATTCCTTTTGCTCTTGTTAATTGTAGTATGTTGATAGGCCTCTTCTAAGCCCACTTTATTGTGAATTCACTAATTAATTGAAAGCCCTTGGTATTACATGTAGTTTTTATGTACATACTTTTTATAGTAAATAAAACAACTAAAAATGAAAATATCCTTTAAATTATATCATAAGTAAAATTACCCAAGCTTAATATAAGCTTACTGTACATAGATGGCATAGTCGACTCAATTTCAATAAAATATTGCCAGAAAGACAGGTCCCTTAATTATTGTGGTCGTTCATGAAAATAGAGGAGCCAATCAAATTTTTATTGTCATTCACTTCTGTAGCTGCCAGGAAATTACAAAAATTGAAGAGAAAGATAAACGAATTATTTGAAGAATTACTCGTTCATAGTATGATGGTAAGTGACCGTTTATTCACGTCTGAGATGTATATGAATATTTATTGCCATTAGCCTTCGTCATGTTTATTGAGATAAAGTTTTATCTTTATAAATGGGTGACAACTGGGAACTGAATGAATGAATCAGAATTCACCACTGGTCTCACAGTCGAAAAGAATGATCTGGCGAAAGGAGATTGGGATTCCAAATTCTTGTTTGTTGATAATGATACCTATCTCGTTCTAAGAACACATTAGACATCCGTGACTGGTCTGATGTCATAAAAAACCTTGATTGTCAGTTGCTCTGATGTAGCGCCCCTTTCGCACAGGCATACCAAATGGTTGAAAATACACTCCAAATACAGAAGAATAAAGAACTCCCACCCCAGAATGCTCGTTTTTTGCTTCGCTCAACTCGTGTTCCCGTGGTGGTTTACTACACATAAAAATAGCGCTACGCCCATGATTTGTCAATTTACTCATCGCAATCATTAATTTCGAATGTTTATTACTTTTTGAATAAAGTACAATATATTATTTAGGAACTCATGTTGTGATTGCAAAATTTGAATTCAAACAGTCACCATTTTTTCACTTCACAAGTTGAACTGGAGTTTTGGTCTCATTACCTCATGAAAAAAAGAAAATTCAGCAAATCTGGAAGATTTATTATTCAAGATAAAATTTACAATTGAATCGCTAAATGAATAGGTGCACTGTATCACAGACATCTGCCAGATTACCTCTATGGTGTGAAGGCTTAATAAATATACTCAAGGACAAGACACAAGATCTTCGGAAAATTTATTTTTCCTTGATTTTGGAGTCAGTTTATCAATTAGTATCACATGTCATACCTCAAATGATGCGTACTGTTGTTAGCTTCAACTCCAATCACTAAAGCCACACATCCAAGAAAGCGTCTATGGATAAAAGCATAAAATAAGCAAGCGTAAATTTAATGGAGTGCTTCGGCTATTTCCGTTGTTCAAATGTTTATTCCCGAAGTCAAATGTCTTTTCTGAGAATGTGACGCCACTCCAGATGACATCATCAGAGATTACCGAGAAGTCCCATGACGTATCTTTAAACTCCTGTGGAAACAAGAACAACGGTTTGTTAGGCTACGCGATCCTTTACTTTCATTGGCTGTTTGTTGCGATGTGACGTAATTTGAGAGATGAACAATATCGGACACTGCCGGAAATTACCGAAGCACTCCATTATCTTTACGCTCTGAAAATTTGAAATAAATGTCCAGGAAAAATTCAAATTACAGGGTCAATAATTGATACCATGCAATCATTCAAACTAATACATAAAGAAGAGATGTCTGACAGATAAAAAATAGATAAAGGTCAGTACGAGGGTCATATTTTTGGGTGGTCATTTTTTTGATGTGCCATTTTTGGCTCGTGTCTTATCTTCCAATTTATCCTTTGAGCCTACTACCAATAGAGACTGGAGCTGGCTCTAGATCTGTGCACTGTATGGTAAAATATGTTAGGTCTTCTTTTTTGAACTTATTCATTTCCAAGAGATCTATTAAAAAAGGCACATCGTCACTCACATGTTAAGTCAATGTTTTGCTATAAATCAGGTAACAATGGTCTATAAGACCTGTAATAAATACTCATAAGGGATGTTATTTTCACAAAACTAATGTCATTGTTGGCTTTTTAAAGTTAGTTACCATCATGTTTATATGTAAAAAATAATTGAAAAAGATTAAAATTGAAAAACGGAGGGGGTTTGAACGGAGGAGGGAATTCATATGTCTATGAACTGTTACTTGACTTTATTTCCAATAAATCCGAATTAGTGTAAACTTGTTCCATCTGAAGCCATATTAATTTCCACTCTGTTCAATCCCCCTTTCATTCAATTTTTATGTATTTTGATTATTTTTTAAATAACGTTACGTGTGGTAGCTATCTTTGAAAAGCCAACAATGACATTAGTTTTTTTGATAATAACGTCCCTTATGAGTATTTATTACAGGTCATATAGTTGTATAGACCATTGTTGCCTGACTTATAGCAAAAATACTGACTTTTGCACGTTGGTGATAGTGATGATGTGCCTTTTTTAATACTGAATTTGTCTTTAATTTGGCGATTTTCTGTTTTTGGGGCTATTGGCGTCTGTTTAACTCTTTTAGAAGGGAATCCCCGCAATAACATCCCGGTCTGGTGCTGAAGAACCATGAAATTTTGACGGTTGGGTTATCAATGAAATTGAGAACATGTAGACTTAAGTGCAAAACTTTTTGATAGGACCCTCTAAGCCATAGAAAAAATCAAGCAAAAGTAATAGCCATATAGCAGTCAATAAGAAATTCACATTATTACAGACATGTTTATTGTATAAATATATGAAAATCAGACATCTTAATTATTAGTATAAACTAATATCATTATCTAGAATGTAGAACTTTTTGACAAAAATCATTGGTACCACTTTTGGTACCAATATGGTACCATTTCCATTATCCTACCCAAACCCCATATTAGTTCTTTATTGACTCACACAGTGAGCCTATGGGATCGACCAGGCGTCTGTCCGTTGGTCCGTCCATCCACCCGTCCGTCCGTTGGTCCATCCGTCAACATTGGGCGCACACATTAAAACTGCTATTCGGATTGAGTCATATCCACATTCATTTTATGCATATCCATAATGCCTATTTTTTCATCGCCATTTCCCAAGTTCGCCCGGTTTCCGAGAAATTGCTGATTTTGACGTCAAAAAGTCAAATTTTCTGTAAATACTAGAGACTTTGTTGAAGTAGAGCTTTCAAATAATTTGTAGTAGTTGCTGGATATGCAACTTATGTCCTCTGAAGATTTCAAAGCTCTTGGAATTACAGTTTTTGGTGTTTACTCCATAAAATTTGACAAAAAGTAGGACTTCGTCGTTTTCAGGAAACTTTCTCATCTATAAAGTCAATGCCAGGTTTTGTGATTGACAAGTTTCTCAAAGTTTGCCTTATACTTGATCATTTCTTGCAATGAATTACATCATTATTAGATTTAAGCATTCCCTACATATTGCTCAATATATGTCAGCATCAATTTTTTACCGTTTTTGAGATGTTTGACGTAAAAAAAACAGTAAAAATAAGTTATTTTTCAACTTGCTTCAATTTGACCAATTTTTGGGGAAAATCATCTACAAGTTGCCAGGAATTCAAATCTGACATTAGTTTTAGGATTTGACCTTTACTTGACCTTCAGTGACCTTCGAAAGGTAAAAAAAAGTTGATTTTTCAAATCGATTTTTGGATGTAAATTTTGGTCAGCTTAATCACAAAAGCCCTTACTGAGCTCTGAATAAGTAAAATGTTCAAGGTCAAAGGTCATCAAACTAGGTCACACAACTGTGCTATCTAAGTTTCTCAAAGTTCGAGACTACAAATCCAAATCGATATTTTTGTTTGAAAGTCAGGTTATACATTCCTCTGAAGGTTCCAAACTGTGTGAGCACAGGACCGTGGGTCCTTTATTCAATATTAAGCCAAAGAATATTTTTGGGGAAAATGTAAATCAACCCCAATATTATATAGGTTCATTAAATGAAGGGACAAAAATCCAATTAAAGGATTACAGTGTAGGATATAGGATTTATCTCTGAAGTAATATAGACTTAGAGTAAACATTCTGGTCAAGTAGGATCACAACTATTTATGGATCATAACAACTTTTGCCTTCATGTCAAGTGATGGCTCAAAGAAGCCCTATGTGATTTGAACTTGTCACCAAGCTGAAATTGTAAACTTGTGTAAAAATAGTACTTACTAACTGTCAAGAAAATAATGACCAGAAAAAATATTTTCAAAGTTAATAATGTATTAAGATAGCATAAAGAAGTTCATTAATTTAGAATCAAAGTTAGAGGCTGACAAAATTGAGATTTGCCAATCTGTGTGTCCTGCACCGTTCAAAATATAATATCTAAAAAAAAGATCCATATGGTATCGTTACCAAATGGAAGTACTACACATCTAATAGGAGGTTCTCTGCAAAAGCTGTGTATATTTCCATTTTTATTTGAGGACATGTTTAAAAAATCTCTATTTGTTTCGATTAAACGCTACAATATAAAGGGGGATTTTGAGAAAAAGGGTGAAAAGGAGTCAAAACTGATTGAATAATTTACAAAAATTTAAATATAATTTCATTCATAAATTATATTCTTATTGAAAAAATGTGCTTTGTTTTATTAAATTTCTGTATGATAATATCATGTTTCTTTTAATTTTCATATTTGAATCTTTTGCACTTTTTATGTCCCCACCACATAGTGTGGGGCCATATTGTCGGCCTAGGCGCGTCCGTCTGTCCGTCCGTCCGTCTGTCCGTCCGTCTGTCTGTCCGTCTGTCTGTCCGTCCGTACGTCCGGGAGTTTTCTCCAAAACCGCTGCAGATATCACCTTCAAATTTTCAGGGATAATTTATGAGTGCATGCAGATGTGGATGAAAAAAAATTAACTCGATACCTACTTCCTGTCGGCCATTTTGAAGTCAAATGCTAAAATCCTTGTCTGCAAACTTTAAGAAAAACGGCTTCACAGTTGCTTTTAAAACTTTAACATCTTGTTCAGCTCACTTCATTCTAGATCTGATTAGGTTTTGGACCTGTTAGCTCAGTCATGTCAGCCATTTTGAATGTTTTAAGAAAAGTTAGCGCACGGTATCATATTGAATGGTGTTTTTCAGTTTTCATGCTTTAACTTTTTAGTAGCTTTATAAATAATTTCAGGTGTACTTTGTTGTAAAAGCTTATGTTATTGTTAACAGTAGGTATATGTGATAATTTTGTAAAAAGATTTCAGCAAAAACTCATAATCACTTTTTTATTGTCGGCCATTTTGGATTTTTCCGTCCTAAAATCTTGTCTGTAAAGTCTTGTCTACGCGTTTTCAGGTCAACCGTTTGGTAGATCAATTTCAAAATTTCAGGGATGATTCTTAGTATGAAAATCTAGATCTGATTAGTTTTTGGGCATTCTGGGTAAATGTCAAGGCAGCCATTTTGGATTTTCCGTCCTAAAATCTTGTCTGTAAAGTCTTGTCTACGCATTTTCAGGTGAACCGTTTGGTAGATCAATTTCAAATTTCCAGGGATGATTCTCAGTATGAAAATCTAGATCTGATTAGATTTTGGGCATTCTGGGTAAATGTCAAGGCAGCCATTTTGGATTTTCCGTCCTAAAATCTTGTCTGTAAAGTCTTGTCTACGCGTTTTCAGGTGAACCGTTTGGTAGATCAATTTCAAATTTTCAGGGATGATTCTTAGTATGAGAATCTAGATCTGATTAGTTTTTGGGCATTCTGGGTAAATGTCAAGGCAGCCATTTTGGATTTTCCGTCCTAAAATCGTGTCTGTAAAGTCTTGTCTACGCATTTTCAGGTGAACCGTTTGGTAGATCAATTTCAAATTTTCAGGGATGATTCTCAGTATGAAAATCTAGATCTGATAATTTTTACGGCATTCTGGATAAATGTCAAGGCAGCCATTTTGGATTTTCCGTCTTAAAATCTTGCCCGTAAAGTCTTGTCTACGCGTTTTTAGGTGAACCGTTTGGTAGATCAATTTCAAATTTTCAGGGATGATTCTTATTATGAAAATCTAGAACTGATTAGTTTTTGGGCATTCTGGGTAAATGTCAAGGCAGCCATTTTGGATTTTCTGTCCTCAAATCTTGTCTGTAACGTCTTGTTTACATGTTTTCTGGTTAACTGTGTGAGGGATCAATTTCAAATTTTCAGGGGTGGTTCTTAGTATGAAAATCTAGAACTGACTAATTTTTTGTCATTCTTGGTAAATTTTAAGATGGCCATTTTGGATTCTCCGTCCTCAAATTGTGTCGGTAAAGTCTTGTCTACTCATTTTTAGGATAATCATTTGACAGGATTACCCATAGGTGGGGACATATTGTACACGTTTGTGTTCTTGTATTTATATATTTGTATGAAGTCTGTTCTTAACCTGTAATGATGGAATTAGTTTTATTTAGAACTCTGACTCACTCAGGCTGGCCTTCAAAGCAGTCTGTCTATTTACCCTTTCACCATCATTTAGCCTGACACTACCCTCTAACTATTACAGACAATTCTAGGTCTATACAACTGATCTCAAATGTATCTTACAATTGGTTTTGTATTGATTGGGAGTTGAAATGTGAGAATGAATATTTAAGCTACATGTACCTAGGCAGGAATTATCATTTGATTTTCTGACATTCATTTTAACTGTTGAAGTATTTCAGTGCAGAGGATATTCTGCATTTAAGAACCACAGATTTTTTATCATTTTCACAAATCATTCGAAAATCAGTCAAATTTTGCCTGTTTTTCATGACTTCTCATTTTCAAGTGGGTGCTGCCCCCACTTACTTTAATGCTGGGGAGATCACTGAATCATCTCTAATTTAAAGAGTTACATAAAGTTAAGCTCTTGCAAAGAGGGTTATTTACTCCAACTTGATCATAACATATGGTCCTATTGAATTGATTGGTTTTGTGTTTCTGATCTCATAATGTTAGTTTGGATTTAATCAACACATCACTTCTGTCCTGTATTAGTTACATGAGTAACATGCGGTTCATATTTCCAATCAGTATTCATCATACATCTCTCCCATAAGATGCAAGGTAGTTAATGTCAATGGTATGACTTTTATAGGTGCTTTAACATGTTAAAAGATGGTTAGAAGCAAACAAAGTAACCGTCCATTGACATTTTTCACAGCAATCGACTGAACACTTGAGGCAAGGCTGGACTATAAACTACCTGTTAATCTGCTATTGGTTTGAGGACCAGTGTACTGGGCGTGGACTAGACTTTGTATTTTACCTGTCAATACTAAATGACACCTTGATTATCATACCTAATCTAGACTTTCTACTATTTGCAGGTGAGATACACACATGAGTACGCTACTTGATTAGCTTCAATTGAAGTTCATTGCCGCTATACCAACTTATTGGAACGATCGAGGGAATATTTCCAAAACACTATGAGTCTAAGCAAGGGAGAAATTCCACCCAATGATGTGGAACTGTTGGTTAAGGCTGGGAAAGATGGCAAAAGTCGAGGTGCGTGTCCGTTTTGTCAAAGAATGCATATGATTTTGCTGTTAAAGTGCCAAGGTGGAGATCTCCAGAAGTTTACCGTTACTACAGTGAATATGTCAAAACCTCCAGCTGATTTTATCAAGAAGATATCTAGTCGTTTACCTGTGTTGATTCACGGTAATGAGATCGTTTCTGATAACGATGAAATAGTCCAGTATATCGATGATAACTTTCCAAGTCCTAGCCTAGCATTTGATAATAAAAAAGCCAACGAAATCTGTCTGGAAGTGTTTTCAAAGTTTTCATATTTCACCAAAGAAGTGTCTCATTCATCGGCCCAGCTCCTTGCTGAATTGCGTAAAATCAACAACTTCTTAGACCAGCAGGGAACAACGTTTCTCTGTGGGGATTACCTAACACACCTAGACTGCGAGATGCTTCCAAAGCTTCAACACATCCGAGTTGTCGCTAAAGCTTTCAAGAACTTTGAGATCCCTTCAGAGTTCACTGCTCTTTGGCGCTACCTTAACAATGCCTATTCTTGCGAGACATTCAAGTTAACCTGCCCTTCAGACCAGGAAATCGTGCACCATTGGACTGTTAAACCGGAAATGCCACACCTCCCTCGGGACAAGGAGAACTATTATTCGACTGAGACACCCGAGCGACGATCATTTGATGTACCAATAAAAAAATCAATCAACGGTGAATATGGATACTAATGTCATTTTAAGACTGCCAGCCTACCCATATCTAGTACACGACAGGACAGGAATATACCATTCGCAAAATGAACAGTCTATTATTATAATGAATTTCACATTATCAATACATGTATAACTTATAATGAAATATTTATGAAGGATGCGGACTGTGAGTATGATTAACTAAGGGAATTGGATACCTGATAAATTATTCAACATGTTGTGTTCACAAGATTCTTGTCTTGGAATGCTACCAATATGTGCAACAAGAGGATCAAATGATCTGGGAGTCAATTGACACTATGTGATTTATAATAAAGGTGTGTTCTTTTAGTGTTATTTGCAGTCCTCCCAAACTTATTTACAGACAAATGAAATCAGATGATCTGTTCTTGACTCTCGCCCTGTTGATTTATGACGATTGGGCGTACATGTATTTTAGTGACAACCAACTTTGTAATGTTATTGAATAGCTCATAGCAGTAATAATTTACTGGATTGTGTAGGTTTATTCTCGGTGATCGTCCTTCATGAGCAGAATGAGGGCCAATATAATGCAATAATTTAATGCAATAAATGCCACAATTGTATATACTAGTATGTAATGATATTGAGAGCTACTTTAGTTAATTTGACTTTTTAATGTTAATTCAAGGACATGCCTAACTTGTTTGCATACGCTACATAGATGAACTCTATAATTAACGCTAACATAGTGATTTAATTAAGTTGTATTTAGATTGATTACGTGTAGGGCCTATGTGTGGTGGCATTCAACAAGGTGCTGACAAAAGTCTGTGAATTACAAAAACTAGCAACAGATGTATAATTTATATACTTCAGGTTATATACTATATTATATACATGTTGAATGTACTTCATAGTATATTAGTATATATGCTCACACAATTTCAAATTTTCGATATGAAAGTCCATATTAATTGATGATTTATTTTAAGCATTTGTTTGTATTTTTGCTTTTTGCTGCAATTTAGCAAGTTATATTACAAGTTTTCATTTCAAGTTCATGAAATTATTTTAATGGGTCCAATATCATATTTTTATGGTTATCGCAACTAGATTTTTCTAATACATTGTTGCATTTTGAATGATTAAGTATATCACAGCTGTGTGTTTACCAAGCATGGCAAATTGACTTTTTGATTTCACCTAATATGTTCAAGAATGACGTAGACTTATTTATATTTCTGGATGGGCAAGTCAGTATGGACTGCCAATCCAGAAATAAAAATGTCACATTGTGAATTTGTTATATCTTGAACAGTCACGTTAAAATTCAAGTGTAAATTAATGTGTCGGATAAAACATAAGTTTATTTATAATCATATTTATGTATTGCAGGAATGGACCTGTTCACCAAGCCCTGTTGACAGAGGCCTAATTTTGTTCTTAGAAGGTTCAATTAGAGATCAATTAGAATTAATTCATACAAGTTATCTCCTGTATGGGTTTCATTCCCTAGATTTCATTAACGGTTGGTATGAAAGTTGTTGTATTGTAATGTAACTCAAGCTGTGGCCAGGCAACATGTGGCACTAGTGATCAACAAAAATAACTGAAATATGAACATACATGTATATTACAGGCTCAATGTTAAAGTAACCTTCCCATGCATGAATTATCATTGGGCACAGGAAACAATTTAAAATAGTGTGGAATCAAGTAAATAGACATGCCATTGATACATGAAGTTGTATTCAAATGCTATGCAAACAGAATCTATTCAATATGCGAGAGAATTGATTTGACCAGATAGTGTCACTTTAATAGTGACTCGAGTGTCACTTTAATAATGACCAGAGTATCACTTTATTGTTGGGTTCCATAGGGTGCCGTTACAATTCAAACCCAAGCATCTCAAAAATATGTTAAACAATTATTTATTACCCACTTTTATTTTGAAGTGTTCAGTGCCACATTTCTATAAGTTCATACTTATGTATGTGTAATCATGTATATCTCAATTTGTAATCTCATTTTTGCCAAATCATTGGTGCCATTCACATTGTCAAAAATGTTCAACCAAACACTTTTACCAGTCTCATGCACAGCTCCGAAAAACTCAACTTGAGGCAAACTCTTCATTAACATTGGCTGTTCACTTGTTGCCAGTTTTTTTGGGGCTGTGTACAAGACTGACAAGTTCAGCTGCTGCATTAATCTTGTTGTTGCTAATTATTAAAACATTAGTTTTTTACTTCAGTGTTGTATGTAAAATGATGAATTCATGTACAAATCAGTACAATTGAAAAGTTATATAGTGTTTAGATTCCTAATTGCAATCTATAGCCATTTGGGATAAAATGTTTAAAGATACAGCATTTTAATAGTTTAACAGTGTTCTAAGTTTTTAGACGATAGTTGCATTACAACGAAGTATTTAGAATTTAATTTCTTGCCATCGGAAATCAAAATATGCACTCTTTAGCATTTATCAGTTGCATAGTTTTATTTAAAGTAGAATTAGATTTGCATTTCAACATTTGAAGTATTAAATTATTTTTCAAAGCAAAACGTTAACATTGTTGTATTTCGACAATCTTTTTAACAACAGTATTGCATTGTAAAAACGTAGAATCACACAGACACAGAACTACTTTTTGTAGATTAAAGTCTACCATAACAGATATATCTGTATGTAATCTGTATGGGATGGTGCCTAAATGTCAACAATTGTAGAAGACCGGGATTTATTTATTTCTGTTGTAGAGATGGTAAATGATAATTGTATTAGTAAAATATTGATTTTTGGCCGTAGGAAAGTAAATTATCATTAAGGCTAAAACTTTTGTTATATGCGTAAGTTGAGCCATCAAAAAATTAACTTTTTTGCTCCACACTTGTTGACATTTGGATTCCATCCTTAAAATTCTAAAATAGTCACTTAATTGTACAATATCTCAAAGTATGTGTTTTATCTGTATAACCCAGTGTTTTAGGTTGTTTACTCCTGTTATCAGGTTATAACTTTACTTATTTGAGACATTTTGGGTCAGAGTCACTCCTAGGTCATAAATTTCTCACAGATAATATATTATTTTTATTATATATTAATCACATTTTGTTGTACTAGACCATAAATACATTTTTGACATGCATTAAGTCCATGCTTAGAAAAACCACAGTTAGATAATATAAATACAGTGACCTCAATTATGTATTGAAGGTTTTTAATAAAAGCTTAGACTAGCAAACATATGGTAATGAGTGAGATGGGCCTACACATACAACTGCTGTATTCACCCTTTCATTGATTACAATGAATTATGAAAATCCACATATTGATTATAAATTAATGAAGAGTATACCGGATTATTGTTAATTAGTGAGTAAGTCTCGAAAAATCGATGAACATATTGATAATTTTAACAAAGCTATAGTTTTAATCAGAGACATTTTATGTCTCTGTTTTAATGTAATATAGTTTGAGTTTTTGATTTTAAAATGTGAATTGATTTGTGAAAATGATTCATCTATGCAACAGTAACAACATAAGGTTAATCCATATTAAAATATTTAATTTATCATCCCTGTGTTCCTGGGAGCTTCTATAATATACTGTTAGTTTCTAATAGTAAGACTGACCAGTGACCATTGACCAAGCCACTTCTGTATTTCGTACAGTACTCAATACTATCTCTCTGAGAGTAAACCTTTCCTAGAGGTAAACTGATAGGTGCTAATTAAGACAAGCTGAATATTGTCATTATAGCCTGTAGTCTGTTACTTTGCACAAGTTTTTCCTGATGAGAAAGTACAGTGTGTTATATTAGAAAATTGATTTAGCGTACACCTTTGTCTGCTTTCTAAATTGTTTTTTAATGTGCTATTTGTTCCATTTTGTTGTGTGTTTATCACTGGAGATGAAGTGAAATACTTTCATTCACTCCTGTAACCCTGTTAAATTAACATTGTTAATAATAACTGCTTGCTTTGGTTGCAATCATAAGACATTAATGTCTATTTAGGTTGTGTTTTAAATATTGTTACAAACACATTGTTATTGCTATATAAATTGTATATAGTCATATTTTACTTTGCATATTCTATTATTATTACAATCATATTTACCAGGAATAAATAGCCTCAAATAACTATAAATTGTTGTTTTTATTACATTCTCTATTTTAACTAATTGGCCAATGAGGGATGGATCATATGATCTAAGTTTTCAGAAAATATGAAAAGTTTATTGGGTCAGATGGTAGAACTCCTGATGAGATCAAGTGATGGAATCGAGATATCGAAATTATATTATCTTGTCCCTCAAAAGATGGCACTCAATATGTGTAATTACCAAAGCTCATACTTTAATTTCTTGGTTGTCAAAGGATGTGTCAAGCCATGGTTATAGTTTCAAATAGTAAACAACTCTTATTGAGAATAAACGTTATCCCCCAAGATCATATGGCACGCCATTCACTGCAGCAGTTAAAAAGTAATGATTTATCACGATTGCATTGTAAACATTTAGATTAAAGGGCAGTTTATTCAACATTAAAAGGCCTACGCTTGTAATAAATTAAAGTTATTGATTGTAAATCATGGTGATCATACAACTCCAACTTAACAAGAGATTTACTTTCTCAAGTCTCAAAATGTCAAGAGCAAATATATTACCATTTGGATTTTGAGCCTGAGTAGTTCTATTTTAACTTAAAGTCATATATTAAAATGATTATTTTCATCTACTCAACCTAAATAATTAGATAGGTTGCCACAACCAAAAGTATACTGTTGTAATATATTCTTATCAGAATTGTCAACTTAGTGTAGATACTTTTTAGAAATAGTGTGTTGCACTTTGTATCTCCAACTCTCAGTTCTTTTTTATTTTAGAATAAAGATGGCAAAGTTGTATTAAATTTAAATTAAAGGGCCGATCATTTTGTGTTAATATATTATTAATTATCACTGTGATTTCCCTCTTGTGATTTATTCCTAGCATCAAGATTTGAAAAAAAGAAGAAGTAACTTTTGATTCATCATGCTTTCAAAAGTTTCACATTAATTCCATTGCATTTGCAACTTAATCCACATCAAATTACATCAACACCACTCGTATAACCTTCCAAATGAAAAAGTAAATTTTTTGTATTATGAGCCGAAACATTCTACATCGTTTTATAGATGGCAATGGTATCCATCGAAAATAATCAATATGCTGCAACGTCACGACATTTGCATGCATGTGATTGGCCAGTGGTCGTATAGGCTAAATTCACTAACGCCATCAGCTGGGAGTTGTGGCGTGCTCCTGTAATCCAGTTACTTGGAGGCTGGGGTTGTGGAACGGTTTGAGGGCGGGAGTCCTGTTTGTCGGTGCTCTATGTCGATCGGGCGTCCGCACTAAGCTCGGCATCAATATGGTCACCCCTGGGGAGCCTAGGGTGCCCAGGTTGTCTAAGGAGGGACGTACAGGTCCAGGGCGGAAACGCAGCAGACAAAAGTCCCCGTGTCGAGCAGTAGTGGGATCGCGCCTGTGAATAGGCGACGGCTTGCAGCCCGTCCAACACAGTTGGACTCAATTCTTTTAAATTTTATTTTTTATTTTTATCACAGTTACATAAACATTGAACACAATAAGAATAGACCCAGAAAATTATTTCTGTAATTATTGTCACTTATTGAAAAAAGCATTATGGATGGGTGATGCCTTACAAATTGTTGATAGTTCGATGCATCAAATTTTGTTATGTGAAGATGTTGTCTCGGGTTGTGCCCAGTTGTCAAAATTGATTTGGAATGTCCCATAGCACGGGTTGTATCCAAAGCCCCGTTATAATTGAGAGGTCGCGAGCAAGTTCCCGCTGAAATCACGAGCAAAGTCCTTTTTATTTAATTCATCTGGAAATATGGACCAAAAAGGTAAGAATACGCATTACTGTTCTTTGATACTTTAGGTATACTTTCAGAACAGGTATATCTTCACAAACAATGAGATGAAAGATAACTATTTTTACTGACATGGAAGAAACGGGCGTCAATATGCACGTTTGCATAATTTACTGTTAACATATTACTTTTATGGTTAAAATAGAGACACGAACTACGATATACATACCTCATTATGAATATTGGACCAACATTGTATGTATTGATAAGTTTGTTTTCAAAAACATCCACTGTGGGGGGTGAAATACATCATTGAAGGTGTGCCAGTGGCCCCGCTGAAATTATGAGGAAGCCCCGCTGAAAACATGAGGAGGTCCCGCTGAAAACAGGAGCAGATATCACGAGTACCCGCTTCGATCACGAGGAAAGCTCATTACTATTACATAAAATATTGAGGTTCTTCAAATAAACGTACTCGAAAGACCAAGTTAAGTACTTCTAATAATTACTGTATATATACTGTTTCATTCTAGGGCCAGGTTTCTAATGTTTCCATTCCAACTTCAAGCCACCAGAGATTTCGTCAAACATTTTATAGAGTTGCATCCATATCAAAATGTATAGGAGAAAGGTGGATATCATTTCAAGAATGAACTTAATTGAAGCCTGAGGTTCAGGGTAATGAGTCTTGTATTAAACAAAGACACCCCAAGTTGCAAGAAGATGAAATTTAGAGAGAAAGGAGAACCACAAAGTCTCCATGATAATTCAGGTTCTACTTTTATAATTTAACAATAACATTTAACAATAACATTCAAGTTTTTGTTTTAAATATATATTTATTAAAATAATGATGATTTGTATTCCATACCTGATAATTTTCAGGGACATATCAACCAGGAATATATTCCATATCCGGGCAAATATTTTTCGTATGTCCCGCTCAAACGTGGATCCGGGACATATAAATCGTATGTCCTGCATAAGCCATTTTCCTGGACATATTGTTACGCGGTAAACACGATACAAATATATGTCATATTCCACAATGAATATGGCATATTCACTTGTGGAGTATGACAGATTCACCTGCGGTATATGGCATACTCACCTGCGGTGTAAGGCATATTCTGCAAGCGAGTATGACATTTTCTGCGAGCATGGGGTATTTACTGAAATCAATGCATCACATATTCAATACGGAATATGCCATACTCACCTGCAGAATACGCCATATACCACAGCTGAATATGGCACATACGATGTTACGCGGAGTATGGCATACATTTATGGTTGCGTGGTAGCTGTGATACGGGTATACAGTATATGCCATACTCACCTGCAGTTTATGTCATATTCCGCAGGTGAGTATGCGATATTCCGCCGTGAATATGCGATACCCTGATTTCAGTGAATACCTGATAGTCACCTGCAGAATATGTCATACTCACTTGCCGAATATGTCATATACCGCAGGTGAAAATGACACAATGATTACCCGTTTGTTCAATCAATGCAATTGACAATTGCGTACTTCCGTATCGTGTTCTCATTGCTTAGTGGGTATGCAATATACTGCAGCTGAATCTGTCATACACATAACATAAGTGAATATGCCATATTTATTGCAGAATATGACACATATTTGCATCATGTTTTCCGCGTAACAAGTGCGTTTAACATAACCTACAATTAATTGTTAATGATGAAATTATTTGATTATTATTATTTCGGACTCATAATCGGATGATGTACTCCTTTGTTACTTACATCTAGCAGTTGATCCATAAATTGCCTTTTCAAACGTGTGCGCCATTGGTGCTGAATCCTCTAAGGTAGTAATATACTGAACTACAGTATAATGTAACTTCAGTGAAATATAAATATATATTGCATACAAAGAAGAACGAGTTGTTTGAAACTTGTCAAAAGTCGTGGAATGGATTTAAATCTTGTCTTGGTAAATTTCTCGATGGAGTCAGGTCGAAATACATTAAGTGAAATGGTTTTATTGGAATCATGCTCGTAGCCAGCTTTTGGTAAGGGGGGGGTTGCTCGAACCGATAATAACAATGACAATGATATATGATATATATGTGCTCTGTAGAGTATCAATAATTAATATATTTATGACGTTGGCTACAGTCGTGGCAGATTTGCAAAGTCAAATCGGCCTTCACTCCATTTTAGAGAGCCACTTGCTCCTGATTTCAGCGGGACCTCCTCATGTTTTCAGCGGGGCCTCCTCATGTTTTCAGCGGGATCTTTAGTTTATTGCTCATTGTAGAAGCGGGGCCTCAAGGGATATGCTAAATTTGAAATATATAATTTTTTGTGAAACTTTAGGAAGTGAAACTCACAATACCTTCATTTCATATTACTATGACCATTTCAACTGAAGGGCAATGACCTTCTTCAGCTATAAGATATAGAAATATATAGATAAAGATTCAAGATGATACATTCTCTCTCCAATTATCAAATAACAAAACTCAGAACATCAGCTCGTGATCCTTTTTTGCAGAAGTTGCTTTTTAGTATCAATACCATGTAATAATTGAGTAAAATTAAATGAAAACGCTTTTTACAACATACAATTTAAGTAAACAAAAGATAACCCTTCTTTTCTTTTAATTGCTCGCGATTTCAGCGGGTATTTGCTCGCGACTTCTAAATCATAGCGGGGCTTTAGATACTACCCGTGCATAGGTTGTCTCTAATGTGTTTTGTGAGAATTTGTAGATTAGTTTTTATGAAAATAACTCGTATGGTGCAGTGATAAACGTGACTTTGTGACTACTTGTATGCCGAATTATATTACTATTAATGATATATGATCAGTCACTCGTAGACATGGAATGACCATGGGCTCAATCAGGGTGGTAGAGCCCATGGAATGACAGGGCATAAAATCGCACCCTTTCAATACTTTTTACGAATCTATAGGTAATATTAGGTATGTGTGAGACATAAATTATTTAAATACTTGTACTACCTATTCAAAAACAGTAATACGTGTTTTGTGATACTGCGTGCATCTTCGAACGCTCGGTCTTCACTGCGTTCAAAAGATATGACTGTACTTTTGCAATATTCGCCATAAATTTAAGTAGATTCAGGGGTAAAGATTCAGAATTGTAAATTTGACAGAGCGTTAAACACTTTTTACGCATATTTATAACCATAATTTATGACAGATGTAATCATTTAAATGATGTTTTTACCTCGATGCACCCTAATGCCACTTAAGTACAGGTGTAAATCCAAATACGAAATAAAAATAGTTTCCAACAATTTCTTAAAAACAATTATTTTTAAGGTATTTGTACTATTCTATACAAAGTCTAGCTAGAATAAATTCAAAAAGCTTGTTTTTTCCATTTGATGTTAATATGAAAGTAAGCTATTTAAAAAACCTGAACCTCTCTCTTTTGAAATACATTCGTCTGAAATAAACACTTCTAGTCAACGTACCCTTTTTTCAAACACTTTAAGAAGCGGAATCAAACGAATACAAAGGGTAAGTAAATATATATAGTGCAATGTTCAACATTTGTTAACACTACACTGATAATCAAGTAAATTGTCAAATTGCTGATCAATGGAATTACAGCTGGTACATGTACATGACATACGTCAAACGGGAATGAAATCAAATTGTTGATCCAACAACCAGTTTCCGATACCTATATAAGTTCATAATTGCATTTTAAGCTCATCAAGGTCAGTACATCAATGTAAACAGCACGGTTTAATAGTAAAACACATATAAATGAAAGCTTACCAAATGAAATCAGTATTGATATATTTGCAGTTGGTTGTTTTTATGCTGCTATACCATGCATTTTTAATATTGTTTCTCGTTTGCTCTCTTATTAGGAGGTAGAATGTATGAATGTACGTTGGACGAGAAGGATTTGCAGAAAGCTAAAGCTGAGCTGAATGAGAATCCCAAAACAAGACTGCAAGATGTCCAGAAACTGCGAGAGATGGTTCAAGGTCATAAAGGTGAGATAACAGATAACGCATACTAATAACAACATTCATTTTTCAATATTGGTTATTGTCGTTCTTTCGACGTGACGTGACGTTTTGAATGCTCAAAACGTAGTTATGTATGCCTAGCTATCTTATCTAATACAGGCCTCAAAGTGGACACATCGGACTCCTTCCTCCTTCGTTTCCTGCGTGCCAGAAAGTTCAACATACAGCGGGCATTTGACAACATAGTAAGATACTGCTCTATTCGAAATGAGTACCCGGATGTGTTTGACAAGTTGTCGCCTCGAGCGGGCCCTAATGACGTAAAGCAAGTACTGGATGATGGATTTGTCACTGTCCTACCAGGATTGGATAAGGAACGGCGAAAAGTACTTGTATTCAGACCAGGTAAGGATCATATCGACCACAATTTAGATTTAGTCAACAACCAAAATCATAAAGGAACCGAGTTGTAATTCTACAGGGTGGCCTCTGAAATGTAACTTGATTGATTTCATGTTACGTAATCCTCTTGGTCTTTCTAGGTTACAAGGTAGTGAATCAAAAGCAGAATCGGCCAAAATCAATAATTCAACTTGGCTTAATCTTATTTCATTCATATGAATCTAATCTTTTTAGAATCATATATTGGCTTAGTTAATATGTAAGTCAATGGAAAAATAGTTGGTTCTTTCGAAAACCATTCCTTGTTTACAGGCGTTCCTTCCTAACAGAAAGTTAACCCATCGGGCAGGTTTTATTATATACAGCAAGACCTGTCTTAGTGAACACCTTTCTCGAGTGAACACCTTTATTAAGTGAACACCACTTCAAGACACATTTTACATTGCCTCCTCTCCAGCTGTTGTATGCGTATTAAATCCACTCTTTGTAGTGAACACCTACCTACAGCGAACACTTTTTGTGGTTTCATAGGTGTTCACTGTATAAATGATTAAAAGCCGATGAAGACCTATTTTACATTTTGTTAAAAATTCATGTTTCTTTGCCTAAAAGCCAAAAGTCATTTCTGGATCCTTTTCTTTCATATAATTCCTAAGGCGTTCCTTAATGATACAAGAAAGACATTGCAGCCTATTCTTGATACGATTAATTTTAAACAAAAACAAGTCGTATGTGATATCTGAAATGGATAAAAAGATTTTGTGTATACATTTATTTTGAAATGACTGTTCCTTGGTTCGATTTGAACTACAATGAACTATGCATGTTGTTTTACTTGCCAAGACAGATGACTACATATGTACAATGTGAAAATTATTGCAGCCATGAGTGTTTCTATGCTTATTTAATTTTTCAGGTCGATGGGACCCTGAAAAATATCCGATAACCATGCTTCTTCGCACTAACATTGTCTGCATTGAACAGTTGTTGCTGGTGAGTATTCTTTGGCGCATGACAGACTTTCTGGCATATCTTAGATGTGTTGTTGCTCCTCCACTTGCTCTTCTTTGCACCTACACCGGTACCAACGATTAAAAACTTGAATCAAGCTCTGCAATTCAAATATTTCTGGCTGTACGAGTCAAGTGATTTCAATGATTTGTTAATCATTTCAGGATGAGAGCATGCAAGTAAATGGAATTGTGATTGTGAATGACCTGAATGGTATGACAATGTCAAAGGCTTATAACATAGGGCCTACCTATATGAAGAAAGCTTCTGCTGTTATACAGGTAAAACATACCCAGGCACCCAGGCTAGAGGGCTAATAGTAATTGCAACCCATGAGCCTCTTGGTGAAGATGAAGGTCTTTGTAAAGAAATTGAAACCAAATTATTAAGAAATTGTTGTAAATGATGTGTAAAACATATTCAGTGTCTAGCCTTTTAACCCTTTCATTGAAAACTGTTGAAATGAGACACATTTTTATTATATATTTTAGGAAGCCATGCCAATAAGAATGAAAGGCATGAACATGGTAAACGAACCTTCTGTCGTTGGATATTTATTCGGACTTCTTAAGATGTTCCTGAAACCCAAACTTTTGGATAGGGTGAGTACAATCACCAAATTATTTGTTGATTTGATAAATGGCATGTATTTACCAATGGTAGATGATATAAAAAGATCAGCACATGAAAAATCATACTTATATTTAACAATGGTCATAAGTAAAATTAAATTACATTGACTTACATTCTCAGACCTAAATCATATCATATCATGCCATAATTCATACATTTTGACCGTTTTGTCATTATATATATTTTGCATTTAGCTGAAAGTACTATACATAAAATTATGAGATTTACTGCTTACTTGTCTCCTGTAGTTCTCCTGTGATTACATTTATAGATATCTTTCCACGCCTACGATATGAAAAGTCTTCACAAGAATATACAACCTGAAATTCTACCAGAAGAGTACGAAGGAACAGCAGGTCCATTGAATAACAAGGTATTAATTTCAATTGTTTTCAATTGAGTCTCATTTCCTATTTCTTAACTCAGAAATCAATTCACCTTTTTGTTTCTGCCGCGTCAATAAAAAACATACTTCTGTATGAATTTGTCTAATGCCAAACACATTCTATTATTTCAGGAATGGATTGAAACCCTTAATAAAAACCAAGATTATTTTGAAAGGATTATGGGATATCGTCTGGAAGAAGTAAAAGATCTTTTTGGACATTCTGGGGACCTTGGTGGTGTGACGGGAACATTCAAGAAACTAAACGTTGACTGATGTCGCACTCAGAAAGATAATTTACTAATACTCTCTTGCCAAAATGTTCTTTACACAACGATGTCAAATTAGTTTCTGGTCCCTCTAATTTGTATTAAATCAGAAGATTCGTCAAGAGCAATACCTTTTCTCCTGAAGTCAACAATGTAATCAACAATTGCTTGGCAGTATTCGGTGAACCCACTTAGTGATTCTTTGATACTCATCCTGAAAACTACAAGCAAACTAAAGCTATCTAGAAAGCATGAAACAGTCCTAAATCAAATCAGATGTGACCTTTTCTTCAAATCACAAAAATTCTCTCACAATTTTACTGACACTGATGATAATCTTTGTGCTTGTGGTAAGCCTGAGACACCTAAACATGTATTTTTCTCCTGTGAGCGCCATAATCTCCAACGACAACAGCTAATGACCACCCTAGAGCAGAAGAACCTAATAGACCACCTACCCAGAACCAACCAAGACAAACTTGAATTTTTTCTTTTTGGTAACAATTTAAGTATTGATGAAGACACAACTCTCAAAGAAAATGTTATAAAATTTATACTTTCCCTAAATACTTTTAATGTGGTAAAGATTAAAAGGTGGATTGGATCGAGTGGATTGGATTCATGTAAAAGATGGATTGGATTGGCTATCTTCAAAATATGGATTTTCCTATAAAAAATTCTATTGATCTCCCTTTAGGAAGATTGGTGGTCTCTTCACTTGCACAATGTCAAATTATAGATGTAATATTATTTTGCTTGGGTGGGCTAGAAGGATGACCTGGTACCCGCTTTCTGATACACGATCTTATTCATTCCAAGTGTAATTTGAGACATTTCATAAATCATAAGGCAGACTGGTTTAAAGATCCATAATATCTGTTTTCACTCCAAACTGAACATACCAGAAATGTTTTGTGAACATTCACAAATTAATTTGAATGACAGGTTTTCTTTTTCTAAAGATCTATGTCTTACAAAAGTTGATTTACAAGGGAAAGCGGTTAAATACTTAAGAGTGTCCATGAACTAATTGGAGTATGTATTTGTCATTGCTTTGTTCTGATTTCTCAAAAGGGACCTGTAATACTGTAGAGGGAAATTGTTTAGAGGGAGATCAACAGAATTTTTTTTATAAGAAATTCCACATTTTGAAGATTCCCGATCCAATCCACCTTTTACATGAATCCAATCCACTCGATCCAATCCACCTTTTAATCTCTACCTTTAATGTACATTAATAACTGATGCTGTAACCATTGAAGGCATGGAGGATACATAATCCTTCTACTAGTCATCATGTAAAGTGTGTAGTCGCAAATTCATATTTAATCATTTTATGTTACTATATTTTGTAATTAATTAAGTAAAAGCTAGCCTATAATGCTAAGAAGCGATTGGCAGCTCATTTAGATTTGTAATTTTTATAGACTATGAATAAATTTAACATGAAAAATAAAATAAAAATCCTGAAAAGTAGGTCAAGTTGCAAATTTAGGTCAAATTGTTGATGGACGGAAGGACAGATGAAAAAGAGGGTGATTTCATAGGCTCAACATGTGAGCCAAAACGACACATACTCAGTATATCAGTATATTTGATAGCTATAAATATATAATTAATCATGCATGTTGTCATTTTAAAGTGATGTTAGTGATTGATGATCTTCCGAACACAGAACGTAGGTCTATTGTATCCCTATTGTAGATATCTCCCCCGTGACATCCTGCGTTTCGGAGAATGCCGTCTTGTCCATACGTCATATATGTGACTTCTTATGTCTTAAATGATTGAGATTCTCATAAGTTTGTGTTTTCCAACCCAGTGCTATGTCCAACATATGCATCATTCTCCTTTGCTGACCCTGAGATGTACCCAAACTGGCTACCATTAATATCCACACTTTCGGTCGTTTCTTCGTGTTTTTTGGAAGAAGATCCACAACAGTTCATTAGATCAAATGTTGGGCATGTTGGATTATATTTTGCACACGTCATTTTCCTCACTATGTTCATTCCAAAGGGAAAGTCATAACACTCTAGACCTACTGCTGTGGCGCCACCTATCTTTGTTTTGTCTTCATTGTCAGATTTTACCTCTGTCAACTTTTTCCAACCGTCAAGTCCTCGTTCAGCAGTTGTACCTGGAAGTCGTTGAATAGTAATAGCAAGTGTCCTGTTCGAATTCACATTAAAGCAACTCGTACAATGCGAGTATGTATATCAATTACAATTTAGAATACTTACAATAATTAGAAACATTTGAGTAATTTAAACAATGAGAAAAAAGACTTCAACGCAAATTATCTCATCATTTGTTCTCATACATACCTGGTATGGTGTTATCCAGGAAGAATCCCACCAGACCCCCAACGAACATACTTGTACTCATAAGCACAGTAAGAATATTGTCACCCGTCTCATTGCCAGTTTGTATAACACCAGGGTTAGCCTTTAGCCATTGGGGTAAACTGAACCCTGTGAATACGGCCATACCAAGGACGAACATATTTCTTGAGGAATTCAAATCAACATGCTGTAGGTTGGACATTCCGACTGCTGTTATCAAACCTACAAAATTACACACTTGCATAATTTAAGTGTTGACTTCAAAGAATTAAAAGTTATTTGTGAATGGAACATAATTACTTATCGTCAAATTTCGGGTATAGATAAGAAATATGTATCCACAAGTTCCAGAGGAATAGGACCGAAACTTACAACAGAACGTATGAAGAAAATATCTAAGAGTACTCAAGTCATAAAGAAAACAACCCCAACTATCCCAAATCATGATCTAACATGAAAAGGAACAATGTTTGATAAAATATACAATAGAATGTGTGTTGCAGCTTCTTACCAAACATAGTGAAGAATACCCCGCCTACGATTGGATCTGGAATGGTGACAAACAGGGCTCCAAATTTTCCCAGCATTCCTAGAAGTATCATTATTACAGCTCCAAATTGCACAACCCTTCTACTACCGACCTAGTGAAATCAATTATAAAAAACAAATGGGCATGCTTGCTACTGTAATTATGAGGAAATAGTTATATAGGTCCCTGGAAAAAACAATTGAGATGGGGATTATAATCCCTTGTTGTCATATTACGGAGGTTAAGCTGTACAATTCAAAATAACTTGAACGTGAACGTGTAAGGCCCTTCGCTTTAGCCATGATATCGTATGCTCTTCTCATAATTGGATTACTTATTCTACCCATTGTAATATACCTTTGTAATACCGATTGCTCCAATGTTCTCGCTATACGAGGTGGTACCAGATGTGGTCCCCCATGCTCCTGCCAATATGCTTCCTATACCTTCCATACCTATACCTATAAAACAGGGAGATCTAGGAATTCACAATTACCTGTATGTACGACCCGGGATGTACGAGTACGACGGACAACCACATGACAATGATGAGTTACGTTATTCATTGAACACCCACCTTTGAACTGTTTGAAGGTTTTATCCCACACTAGTTTCTCATTTGATTGATTCTATATTCATTACATTATATTCATTACTTATGGACACACCTCTCACCTCTGTTAATTGCGTGTGTCGGAGGTGGCGGTGCTCCGGAAAGTCTTGCGCATGCGTAGTAGTCGCCCACAGATTCTATAATAGAAGCAAGAAGACCAGCCACCATCCCAAGTACTCCTGATAGGCTTACGGTTGGAGTACCCCATTGTCCTAAAGTATGAGAATGATTTATGAAAATTGACAGTTACTTTTTCTCTGTGACCTGTTTCAAAATAATTTTTGCATCAAGGAAGAATACTACAAAATCAATATCTACAAATACTAAATATCTATCAAAATACTACACTCAAACAGTATTTTTGGAGGGATTCAAATGGCATGCAGATTTTGTCACCTAAGACATACCTGGGTATGGAAATCTAAACCAAGCGGAGTCCCTTAATACATCTTCTCTAATGTCGGTCCTTGCATAATAGCCCCATTGTTTTGAATCTTTTGGCAGTGCATTTGTCACCGTTAGGATGTAGCATACTGCCCAGGACACCGTTATGCCAAGAATAATCTAAATTATATAATCATAAACAGTAATTAACAATGAAAATTGTTGAACCAATCAACAATAGTTAACAATGAACAATTTAGCATAATATTCAAACATCTGACAAAAAAATTGAAGTCAGTATAAGCATAAGTATTTTAATGGTAAAATATGCATATCCTTAAGTTTCTGTAAAAAGATTTATGTCAATACCATAATGTTGTAATACACCCTGTATTATAATAAAAGTGTAATAAATAGTCGAACTACAGAAATATCTATCCATTAAATAGCAATCAATCATTGTTCATTCAAGATTGCACAAACTGCACGTGCTATGATGGCCCCATTCTTAATTATAGCATATAGCCGTAATCAGTGGAACGTGATATTTACGACAATGCAGTTTAAACAACCGAAACCTTGTAGATCAAGTTAGAAGCATGACTGATACAAATCATATGTGTGTTGTTAGTATACTTACCGGAAAGAGTGAACACCCTTTAGCAAACCTGCCAGCCATTTGTTCCTTCGACAGAACTTTATTCTTGGAATATACTGTGAAAATATTGCTATCAGAACTATAGTCCTACAAACAAATAAACAAACAAACAAATCATCAAATAATATAATACAATTGCACTTGAAACAAAAATTGTTCAATTTACTAAGACCACAATTGAACGCTAATCTGGATGGATTAAGAGTCGACACAAAATGGAAACAATGTCAACCCAAGGAAGTAAGGGGCGGTGACTAAGGACTTGTCTGATACTAGAAGAAACACGTTGTTGAAGAACAACAGCGTTCAACATTACTGATCAAATACTTACAATAAAGCGATCCACCACAGTTGAGAAGAGAATGAATTCGCTGCTTCAAAGAGGGAAAGCCCGATGAGGATGATAGTAGGGGTGATGCACAATGGCCCGATGAAGCTCATCAAAATGCCAAGTATACCAGTGAATCCTAATACGATCTGTAGTAACGAAGCCACCATGATTGCCCCTTGTATCTAAGAATACAAGAACTCAGTTGATGTTATGGATTGGAATATTTATTTTATCTATAAATCTGCTCTCTTACAGTATATGGAACCAGTTACATCTATTACCTCTCGCATTCTACTTTTCCAAATCTCCGACGTGTCTGTGGTTCCGTTAAAAATAGCATCGGTGAGGTTTAGTGTAACATTAGCAACTCCTGGAAAATAGCTTTAAAGTTTCAAAGGGCTCAGACCCTAGATTATCCCAAAATTATATGAATAAAATGAATTGCAACATTAGTTGACGCATTTGAAGCTTCTTTTCTTTAAATATGCAAAGAATAAGAAATGCATGATCCTTTGATAGTTTTAAAAGGCATTTGATTCCATTGTTGTTAATACACAGCATTTACTTTCGGAAGCGTTGGATAGAGAGGTATTGGTGAATCAGATTGTTGCAACAATGATAACATGATTAAACCAACTAAGTATTGCAAGCAGGCCCGTGGGGGTGTTTCAAAATCATGCAGTTTTCACCATTATGCGCACGTATCAAGTGATTTTGGGCAAAAGTTGTCAAACGTAAGCCCCCCCCCCCAGTTTCGAAAAGTGAATCCCCTTTGGCAATGCCTGGCTTCGGGCCTCATAAAGTCCGTCGATGGGAGAGTCCAAATATTTCACTACGTGACCCTTGGAAGTGACAATAAAATGTGTTTATCTATACTTACCTAGATCACCCGTAGAGGGACATTTCCACTGTGGTAAGTTTAAAATAGCGAATGTAGGTGGTATCAATGCAAATGTGCCTCCCTGAACGATCGGTAGTCTACAAGTGAAAAGGCCAATGAATTTAATACAGCTGCAAAGGACAAAGAGTGTAAAAAATTGGAAGCAATATATCCATTTTCATGTCAATCTGTTCGGCACATCATTCCAAAATTAATTCATAAAACGACCTGAGATAGCCGGTCAAATGTAAAAGTTGCCATGATACAAGACCAGGTGATAACAGAGTTTATTTTTGCTGATAACCTTAGAATAATATGAGAAAATCAGAATTTGATAGTTTTAAAAAATTGGTATAAAGGAATATTTTGAGCAAAATAATAAATAAGTCGTGAGCATTTTCAAAAGGTCACCACCATCCAAAGTATTTCCTTTGTATTAGAATATGAAAGTACTACTCCAGTTCAGACTTCAAACTTGTATGTGAAAAAGGTATTTTGCAAGTTGTTTTTTTGGACTGTTTGACCTACCTGCACCCGAATATCGTCTGGAGTAAAGTGCAAATGCCAGAAACAAAGAAAATGGTGGAAATGATTTCACTCTTTGCAACCTGGTCATTGCCAACACATAGCGCTGGTGCAACTATCAACGGTATTGCGATAGTAGAGCCGAACATCGTTAGGTAGTGCTGAAAGAAAATGACAAAACAGTACATGAAATAAGTCTCTGATTACCCCCTAATTCTACGGGGTGTCAAATAAGCCCCACCCTCTTCTATAGCCAAAACGAATAGCCTATATATGGTACCAAGTGTGAAAAAATCGTCCAAAGTTACGTTGAATGGCTGCTTTGACCATAGCATAGACCTAGAAACATGGCAATTTAACGTGTTTGACAGGATTTAAAAAATCAGGAATCAGAAAACTCAAAGGAGCTTAAGATGACAACTTATGTATATGGCAGTGAATTTAACAGGGTGTATGTGTAGAAAATAGAGGGATTAACTTTTTGACGTATTTCTGAGGTCATATCCATCTCATTTGACCCAATAAAAGCTGCTTTGGAGGAGGACACTGGGCACACTGATTATTAAGAACGTCATGAAAATATAGGTTAATTTAATCCAAAATAATGGGGAGTTGGTGAGTTGGTGAGGATGATCTTTCCATTTGTATATCACACAAACTACCATCAATACAGGTTTTAGCTACGGGGGGACGGGACTTATTTGACACCCTGTACAGTATGCCCCGACCCTGTGTAAGGGAGACATTTTGGATAAATGGAGGTTTGTGATCCAGTACACCCACCATGTAGTATCTATTAGCTCGAGAAAATGTCCGACATCGTTTCTTACATCTTTGGGAAATTGGTGCTTTGTTTTGGCCTTTTCATTTTAGTACTTGTGCACATACAATAGTGAGATTACATCAAAGAACAGTACTTATATACTGAGAGATTTTCACATGATTAATTACCTGAAAACCCAAGACGATGCAAAGATACCATGGAGGAGGTGTCTCGATACCATACAACAGGGCGTTGTCGCCTTCCTTCTTTTCGTGGCCATCATTGTATTGTCGTCCAGCCTCTGCATGATCAATATCGACATGTCGCTTTCTTGTATCCTTTACGGCCATTACTTCATGTATAAAATGCTATGGCTTGGCCTCGACTATAAACATATTTGCTTAAATCATTACAAAGGACAAGTATTTCGTGGTTTGATTAAACTGTTTTGAAAAAGTGAAAATGGAACCCTGGGAGAGCTTCAATTAATACTAAACCCCGTGCCTCTGCACGCTCTTTTCGAAACTCATATTCACTTACAAGTTTGATATTAAACGTTAGAACTTGGAAATTCAATGATGAAACTTCTACAGTTTGAATTATGTTTAAACCAAATCTTAACTTCAAATCAAACCATCTCTCAGCAAGGCTCTATCTTCGGTGCACTGTTAGCTAGATGTAAAATACCTAAACAAAAGCAATTTTACCTATATTTCTGCGACCTATTTGATCTTTACCGAAGGATACCAGTGCAGTACCACTTATGTCTTCTTAAGGATGTTAAGCTACACGTTTTAAGACTGGCCTTGTTCGTGGAACACGTAAATATTAAGACCCTCGAGGATTATCGTCCCTCTCAACTGTATTGTTTTTCTAGAGACCCAATTACAACTGTAACTTATGCCTGTATACTTATCGGGTAAGCAAATACTACGAAGGCGAGAATCATAATTCTACACGTTCAAGTCAAGTTCTCATTTAAACGTGTAGCTAAACCTCAATATTATTATTTTATTACGACGTTTTGAATTTATTGCACGAAGTGTGTTTGATTTGAACTTATTATTCAGTACATCATTCAAACGATGAATCAATATTTAGACTGTTTACATCTGTGCAACACGGGCGGATCTGGAAATTGACAAACGAGGCCCATTTTTCAAAATAGACCAATTCTCCAAAATTATATGTAGAACCACAAGTACGAAACACAATGAAGATTTGGAACTACACTTCTCTGGATATGCATCAACTTGAAGATGAACAAAAACCAAAGACCTAAATTGGCGTACTGCTTTTCATTTTTTACTTTCCAATACACATGTACCGCAGACATATCATTAATCTAATTTTGAAAAGGGATGAAACAGCAAGTATTTAGAGGTGTTAATCCTGCAGAATCGTTATGGACGAACTCTGTTTTGAACCCTGCTCTAGCATCCTTTTAATAAAACGAAGAAATAATGGTTGAAGGGGTATTATATAGGGCTAACAGACACCAGGGTCAAACTAGCACTAGAAGTTCTGATTTTGAAACTAAACATAAAGAAAAAATAGACATAACATTATATACTCCTCCTTCGCGACCATTAGGTGAATTTATCACTATTTATCATTTTACCTTTTTTATCATTGACGATCTTTCATGTCATGTCTTATATATCATTTTCAAGGTTACAATACATTCTATCCCATGCCTAAATGTACAGAATAAAGCTGCATGAGCTTTCCAAGGCCACATATTTGAAACGCATATTCCCAAAACATGCACCGTTTTTTACCCACTTAACGTTGCCGTTTGTGTGATATCTATAAGGAGGAATGGATTAAGCCTCTAGTTCTAGTTCTGGGTTTCAGCGAGATTACATTTTTTGTCACGATAAATAATGTTTTTCAAAAATCAAGTCTGTCTTGCTCCAACTAGTTCCAAATCCATGTCGTGTAGCCATTTTTATTTCCACATCATGATCTGATCATGTCCAATTTACTCGGATAACACTTTGAGTCGAAGGTCTCGAGCCATATTTTAGTGATCAGTAAAAACCTGAGGCCCAGGAATACGTTAAAAATGTTTAAAACGTCCCATAGTGTACTGAGTTGGTAATGCGTGGTGTATACATGTATATTAATAATCTTTTACTATATTACTTACATTGAATAAGAACAAGACTGATTTTTTATTAATGACTGTATACCCGGGCCTCAGGTAAAAACCTTTATTTGTCGAAACAAGACTAGACGGCTTGAGACAATTCCTTATCTAGTACGAAATACCAAGAAAATTAACATTACGAATGATACAAAAACATCAAGCGTGTTGCCAGAGTTTAACCATAGAAATGTGAAGGTAGTTTGAGTTACTTACCACTGGTAATAGTCTATTAGGATCCTGCATATAGGTTATTAACGTTCTCCAACTTCCGAAATATCACATTATCTGTACACTGTACAGGGTGGTCATAAAGTACGGTGAAAAATTGTAAACATCATTAAATTGGCTAAATTATTATAGAATGTGCATTAAAGACAATTTATGCATTACCAGTCACTGTTCATGTTTTTTATTGTATGGTTTCAATAGCCGCCCCCTCCCTGGCTAGGTGGATTCCTCCTATGCTACCTACCACACCATTCAGGGTCTGATATTTCATATTTCAAATCATTCAAATGCAGTATTCTATCATCAATCTCCACAAACTAAAATCGAATCTCCACAAACTAAAGTCCTAAAATAATTTAATGTACTGGTGAATAGTTTAGTTCTATCGCGTTTTGGCGTTTAAAATGACACGTAGGGTCCCTTGGGGGTAATATCACTACAATGTTTTAAACACTAATGCGCCTCAGTTATTACATTTACTACGGCGGTGGTACGGTGCAACCAGTCTGACGTTACGGTACAGCGGCTACAGCGACCGTACAAATGAAAAACATTACAGTTGTTTCACGTTCGTGTTAATTTCCAAGGCGACCCGATGCCCCTGTGCCGACCGGAAGATGGCCATAGATTTTCTCCAGCCACCTTAGCTCGATTTTGGGGAAATACGGTCGTCATAGACTGAGCGAATGTGGCCGAGACAAACGCTATATAGTTTCGCTCACAGATCCTACATCGTCGAGTGAGTGTGTTGGACCTGTATGTCAGCTCGATTCACTTAGCTTATTATAGATAGGGTCTGCTTACTTTGAACCTAAGTCAGTGAACTTACCGCAAAAGTATTAGGAAGGCGAAACACCCTTACCCACTTACTGTTGTGCTAAGTTTAACTTTTGTATCAAAATACCTAAGATACTAACATACACCCTTCCATTGGATAAATGATAAACAATATGATAAAATAGAAACAGAACTAAAGAATCAAACCCTACATAGTGTGGTATGGAGGGGTGGCAAATTATACAATTCCTGTGTGAAACCCCTATTTAAAGGAAATAGACTTTTTGTGAACACCTTGTACAAGCTACACATTTGGTGTGGATGTGTATTTTCAGTTCACTAGGGCTGCTGCTGAATTCACACGAATGTCAAGATCAATCCACGAATGCGTAGTAATAAAGCAAAGGAAAACATGAAACTTGAGCCTTCTGTACCGAAGATACCAGTTATAAACCAATTCGTGGCCCTGGATGAAGCTTCCCGCTTGGCCATGCAACATGTTGGTTCTGGCAATATAAACAAGAAAACCTCTGTGTTGTTAATGTGTTATTAGTTACTTTGAAACCCAGAAAATTCAATATGAATACAAAGTCAAGCTCTCTGGCAATGATTGGTTGTAAGCTGAAGGATGAAGAATGTTGGATGGCCTGGTACATCAGAATCAATTTTTATCCCATGGTTGCAAGGATATAGATCGAATATCACGTGAAGATAATTTGATATATGGATCAAGATATCATATTTTAGCAAACAGATCCCAAACCATCGAATATCACTTCTCAAACCATCGAATATCACTTCTTAAAACTGGTTTTGGATAGATAGTGCCAACTGCCAAGGGAACATTCTTAAAAAAACAATAGAAAATAATGCAAGTTGTTAAATTATTCCAAGTCGTTTCATACTAACTCCATTTTTAGTCTCTCTTTATCTAAAGCTAATGAGCTCTACATAAAGGAATGGCAGAGACTGTGGATCCAACAATGGTCTAACTCTGGCTCCTGTTACTATTTGAGACCATCTTTTTCTGTTTTGGGTAAAGCAAAATGATATTCGTTTTAACTTCTCTATTAAGATGGCAGCACTGATAATTAGTCAATCAAATAAAGGTGGCAGCACTTTACTGGCATGAAGGTAATGAGTGACGTCACGCGGAAGGGCTGTGTTTAAATTTTTACAAATATTTGGATTTTAGCACATTTTTACACTGTTTTAGTGGATTATATACAGATCGAGGATATTCTAGGGATAAAACAAACGTCCAAGCATATGTAGAAGTCATATAAAGTACCATGCTCAAGTGCTTTCCTCTGTGGAAGGCCTGCAACCGGCAGGTCGAGTACATCGACCGAACTCACGGAAATTTGACCTCGGTTCCGGATGATATTTTACGATATTCCAGAAGTTTGGAGGAATTATTACTTGATGCAAATCAAATCAGAGAGTTACCTAGGGTATGTATACTTTATTTATGCTTGTGTTTATTTTTCATTTACTATAGTTCGGCAAGAAAACAAATAATCTCATTGAGTCCTCAATTATCGGCCATTTGTTTTGCAGGGATTTTTCCGGCTTGTGAACCTTCGAAAACTCAGTCTGAGTGACAATGAAATATCCAGGATTCCACCAGATATATCCAATTTAATAAATTTAGCTGAATTGGACGTCAGTCGAAACGGTAAGTTGTTATATTTTGCTTCAACCTTCTATTTTTTTCTTGGCAGCCATCTTGGATTTGGTTATCATGAAGCCCATCCAGGAAGGGGAACACAGTCACTGAGATAAGGGTCTCAGAAGTGTCATCGTAGTATCTGTACCTATGGCATGTCTCTCATATAAGTCTCTAGTAGATATCGTCTACTAATCTTTATCCAACACACTGAACCTTCATCTTAGCTATCCAATCAGATACTTCATTGGCAAGTCGAATTGCTTATTTTGTCAATAGACGAAACAGTTGTTTCAAAAATTCCATAGTGTCTCCCCATCTGAGAATTCTATGTATATGAGTATGAGGTACTAGGAAGGAGGTATACCATAATACCAGTTTTGAAAGAGGTAACAAAGATGCCTCATAATTATTTTCAAGGCTTCAATACACCCTTACATGTATTTTCTTATGTAATTCACAAAATGAATTTTTGTATGATAAATATTCCTGTCCTATCTGCTACAAATGCTCAGTATATTAAGAAGAGGTTCATCTTAGATAGAGGTTTATCTGTGAATTCTGCCCCCATCCCCCTTGTATATATCTACATTTAGCTCGCAACCCTGGAAGAGGGGACAAGAAGTATTTCTGAGAATTGAGGCTGTGATCTGCCTTTGATAATTCTAAGGATGAGTGTTATTAAACTGTGATTATTCATCTCATCGTGATGACAACCTGCTATTTTGTTTCAAACAAAAACATGTGAGCAAGTAGCTTAACTTGTGTAAGTGCTCAGTAGGATTCTGCAATTAAGACACGTTCCTGGTACTTAGCAGTAATATAATTTCAATGCAGAAAAGGACCACACTTTTTTCAGAAACTCAGTCGTTATTACATCCAGGAGCTTAGTCTTATCCCCTCCCCCGTTTTCTTAATCAGAGCTATGAATTAAGTCCCAAAGGCTTGATGCATTAGACTCCAAATACTCTGTGGTAACATACATTATATGAATAGAGTGAGAAAAGCCTGTTTCAAATTATAATCAGGAGTAGACCATGTAATAGTTCTGTGACTGGAATAGAATGAAATGAAATGAAATGAAATACACTTTTATACACATTCAACATTTCTGCAAGTGAGTGTGGACTTCTGTGTATGTTTTCAATGTTAGATATTGTAGGTAAAGAATAAACATCTGATGTTTTATGGTTGTGATTGACTGCTAGTAGATCTTTCACTCACAAATCTGTTTATATGATAATCATAAAGACCTGCTATTATCTTTATGATAAACATTCTTGAATCTCAGTAAAGCCTGTATAAGAACACATTTGGTTAGTTTAGTACCTCTAAAATGTTCTACTTATAGAGATGTACCACTTATAGTGGTGTTCTACTTTGCAGGATTTACTGTATAATATATCAATTTGTACTTTACATTGTTAGTAATTGAGAAAATGCATTCAAACAACCGATCAGGATAACATAAAACTCACATGGCATTCATCATTGATTATATTATGGATATATACATATTTTATCATGTATTCAACAGATTAATGACCATTGGAATGTTCTGGATGGGTGACTACTGACACATATTTTGTGCTATACTGTCTAGTCATTACAATAGTCATCTCAGGTCATAATATATCTATATGGGAACAGTGTACCCTGTTTGTTTTTTTATTATGGGGAATTTAAAGATGAAAAACATAAGAAAATATGGTGACTTTTGAGAATAAATGATTATACAATAAAGTCAAGGTTTAGTTATTCATTATTTACCACTTTATCCATATTATTTCTAAGCTAAAATCACGAGATTTCTGCTCCTTTTAATATCAGATAGAAAGGTAATATCCGGTAGTCAGTGTTCATATAATTTATTTCCTATATATATTAGAGAGAATATACACTAAATATGATTATTAGATCATGGTACTAAGGTAGGGAAAAAGTCTAATCATTCACACATTTATAGAACTACATCCTCTCATTTATCTATATCCCTCTTCAGATAATCTTATATCCTTTGTAATCCCAGGAGGGATTAGACTGATCTATGCATTGAAGAATGTCAACAAGGCCATTGGTCTGAAGAATTTGAAAGATTTGTTTGTTTTTCTCCAGATCTGTATATGATATCAATAAGAGTTGACTATGTCACTCATGTTTTTATTATGGTTAGTTATGTTTCTTCTAAAATTTTGATTATTAAATAACATCACAGGTCTCTTAATACATAGATGTATGCATCATGGAAAACAGTCTGAAAAGCCAAATTTTTGGCTTACAATTTTTCAACCATTTTGTGTCGCTATGCTCTCTTACTACACAGAATTATACCTGTTTCTACATTTTTCATGCTCAATTATGTTTGGAGAGCTGAAACTAAACCAAGTCTTCTCTAGATCAGCATAGATTGGCAGGATTATAGTTGGGCAATTCCTCTACAGTGTACTATCCTCCTACACTTTCTGTGTTCAACAAGCCAGTCTAAAAGAGACAGAAAGACTGTGTTATTGTATTAATTATCCTGAAGCTCAGTACAGAGGCTCTTAGCCTTTTTATAGATGCAAAATTAAACTCTTAAAAATGAAGCATTTTATATCGACAAAAATTCGACAGGGTTGATTAAGCCGATGCCGGCTGGTGGGTTTTTTAAAAAAAAGTATTTATTATATGATATTGAATGTAGTTTTTAAACCTGTGACACAGAAATAAAATATTTTAAACTTTTTAAACTATTAATTTCACCAAGATGGTTGAATTCCGAGAAAATGAGTTTGTTTCAACTAAAATAAGGAAGTATAATGGTAATCTTAACGATATGTATATAACATATACACAGGTATATGTACCCTTCTACCCATTCTGATTTATCAGAGTCACACTCTATCTAAAGCTTGTGAGAGACTGTGGATTCCACAATGCCTTTTATCATAAACCTAGCTCTATTATGTTTCTTGAAGCTTCTTTCTGCGCTCTCATTCTGTTTTTACTGGTTGAATGTGTTGGGTATTATATTGTAAATGTATCTTTACTGGTGAGTTATGGTGATGTGGAAGAGTGTAGCCCATTGATATGTCCGATTTCAAACATATTCAACAATATTGTCACAAAGATACATGTTAAACACACATCAAAATAATTGAAAAGATTAAAAGCAAGAACTTGTGGTCATTTGTGATTACAAATGCTGTTGAAAATCTGAAAATAACACTCTATCATGTTGAAAATCTCTATATAATTTGTATTCATCCCCCTTTCGAGAAAAAATCCTAGGGAGATATATAGAATATGTATATTAATAAATTACTCACAGATAATGGTTTATATGTCAATATGAGTCACTAGGTAAGGCGTAAATATAAAGACCTTTTCTTAGTTCAAATCAACCTACAATCTTTATTAATAATTCTTAGTTTTTTTAAATTGCTACTTGAAGATTTACTCATAAGAGTACCCAATAATAATTGAAAGAGAGATATGATTTTGAACACATTTTTGAAAGAATTCAGTGCTTATGTTCAATGTTTCTAAAGAATTGATTTTACTATACATGATTTGATGTTATCATTATTGCCATGTTATTAGGTTGAGATAACCTGTATTCAAATATTGAATATTTACTGTCTCCCACATTGACAATGGCTAATGCTTAGTGATGACTCTATGCAGTAAAACCTGACTAACACAAACACTACTTCGCAATCAAAGCTTTTATTGAAATATAACATTTGTAATAAAGTGTGCTATTCACTGTATCATGGGCATTCCATGACTGTATTCACTAAGTAAATAGAATTATATTTTTCTTTTTTTCATTAAGTAAATCGAATTATATTTTTCTTTTTTTAATTCATGATAATTCTAATCCTCTTAAGCTACGTGGGCATCACATACATCATAGCTATCAAAATTCCTCAATTTTCATGAGATTCTTGAATTTGAAATGTAAGGAGCATTGTACAACATCATAATTCAGAAATTTCAAAATATTATCAGAAACATTCAATTTTTCTAGATAAAATAGTCTAAAGGTGTTAGTTATTTGTATTTGTATTTGTATATTTATTCAACCACCAATTTGGTGACAATACTTTCTTTTTTACAACATATTTACATTACAAAGGAAAGAGTAATAAAAAGTATTATTTACACAATGCTACATTTAGTTCTTGACTTAAATTAATTTAGTTCCTTCAATTTCACATTTCTATAGTTATACATATTGCATATCATTTTGCAGCTATGGAACTTAATAGTAAAATCCATTTCATCATTTATACCTGGTATTTCTTGTAATCCCATCATGATATAAAACCTTTCAGTTTCTGATCTCATGTAAAAGTTATCATAATCTAGTTTAACAAGTTTTGCCTTCATTGTATTTCTAAACAAACATCTGAATCTAGTAAAAACATTGCACTGTTGTACAAAATGTATTAAGTCACCAACTCCAGCATTACAAAGGGTACATTTCCTATCTTCCCTTATGACATTGGTTTGGGTAAATACCTCTAATGAACATCCTCCAGTTAGTAGCCTCACCATTTGGAAACATTCATTTTTAACTATAGGTGCTCTTTTGCTCATAGTCCACCAAGCATTCACTTTGAACTTGGGACATACAATTCTAAAAACATTTAGTTTGTGACTTAACATAAGGAGCATTTTCCATCTTTCAATTACAAGCTTATATACATTAGTTTTACATTTCTTTTTCCATATTTCTTTTGAAGGGATGATGTTTTGTTCAATAACATTAATTATCATATCATTCAACTCATACTTGATAAAGGTTTGTAACATGTTATATACAATACTCCTGTTCATAATTACTCCCGTTATATTATCTTTCATTGCATGCATTCTCAGGAAAAACAGTTTTCTGCAGATTGAGTTATATAGCATAGGTACTGATAAAACATCAATATTGAAGTGGTTAATAGGTTAGTGTAATCTTGCAAAAGTGCCAGGAAGTTACACAGGCGAAGATATTACATTGATCAGTTGATATT